CCGTGACTTCGCCGACCCCCATAGGATAGGATAGGGTGCGGGAACACGCACGCACTGGTGGCAGGGATCGGACGGGACGGACCAATCACGAGGCGAGGAATCGCAGTCGACCCCCGAGTGCGGTGGTGCATAGGGTACAGGACATCAGTGATTAGTACTGTGAATACTACGCACATACCTTTCATAACACTCACTGCGCTATCTATAGATCTTCTCTCACAGACCACACTATTACTACTTCAGCCTAGTGCCAGTAGACCTTCGGTGCTTGTCTAATATACATGCGTTCCGCCCTATGTCCGTAACAGGTGCGACCTGTATTTTGAACCCATGACACACACACACACACACACACACACACTACTACTGGCCGGTCTAGTCAACCGACCACCCAATAAACTACTCATTCCCACATATTTACATACATAGACTCGTTCAAATTAACTACCCCTATCCACTAGGCTCAACTTTTATGGCTTGTGTTGCACCTATCATTATCTGCTAATTTAGATACAATCCGCCAAATAAGAGACCTCTATCTCACGACAAACACTGTCCGCCCAAGTCTTTGCGTCAATCTCGAAGGCAGAATTTCCCTTGTGCCTGGTTTCCAGGGAAAACCGGATGTTGCGCGGAGAGGCAAAACTGAATTTGGAGATAGCAGCATATACCGTTCTAAGTTGCCACTCACCAAGCTCTTCATTTTCAATCCGATGACGCTTGTCATCTCCGTGGCCTTGCTCAAAGTTATAAAATGTGACGCGGCTAGAATGGAAGCCAGGGGGGTCTTCTTCATAGGCAATCCATGAGGCTTGAGCGCTCTTTAGTTTAGCGTTGTCCCAAGTTTCAATGCGCAGACAAAATCCGGTCGTTTTGATATCCTTTGCATATGCAAAGAGGTTGTAGTCGCCGTCTGGACCAAATTCGAAGGCCTGGAGCCAGACAACCAGTCTCGGTTGCTTCTTGAAGGGGGTTGCAAAGTTGATGCGCGTACTATACATATTGCCACTTTTATGTTCCTGGCTCGTAGTGTAGGAGCCAGTCTGCAGTGTGGGATTGTATCGTTCAGTCACCATGACATCGGCTGCAGCCGAGTACTGGGTGGTGCCGTCCATTGAATCAATATGGAGGTTGAAGCTCGTTGGCTCAATGGCGTCCGCGTATGCCTTGAGATGCATGTTTTGGTCACGGGCCAGATCGAAGTGCGTGATCCCAATGGTTAATTCTAGATGCTTCTCAAATGGATTTTGAAGCAGGACGTTCTTCACATTCTTTCCCGCCGGTTTGTACCACTCCCTAGATTCCTGGGTCCTGAAACGCCCACTCAAGGTCGTCGGCATTATGGGGCGGTAGATCCTCCCGATCAGCATCTTGTCTGGCTCAGAAAGTTCATTGGGCCAGTCAATGTGCTTGATGTTTTCAGCCCATCCTGGAAAAATGGGATAGATCATAATTGAATTTTCGTCGAAGAGAGTGGTTTGGAAAGAATCGCTGGATTCGTAGTGTAGGAAGACATTGGCTCGAACCCAATCCTCCGAATATCCTTTCTTATTGTACCAGCCAATAACCGCTTTTTCGTTCCATTCAATGTTTGCAACCGGACTAGCGTGCTCATGGACGCAGCCCAACGCATGGCCCAGTTCGTGTAGGGCCGTTCTCCGAAAGCGCTTCTTGCCCATCTGAGAACCCAGCACCATGGTTGGTTCGTCTAACGACCTTTTCTCTAATGCGCACTTTCCCACCAGCGATTTGCCACCTTGGAAATTCTCGTCGAATTCGATCCGAATCTGTGCGGTGGGGGAATCGTCAAAGATAAAGTGAATGTTTGCGTATTTCTCCCATGTCTTCGCCGCGACTTTTACCAGCTCCTCATGTTGGATGTCCCGGTTGAGAAAGCGAACATACAATGGCGTGCCGACATCCCAGAACCATTCTGTATTGACGGCCAATGCTAGCTCGTCTGGGTTTGTCTTGCTCTGTCTTAGATTGCGGGAAGGCAGATCGGGCAAATCAGTCGAAGGCATCGGCAGGCAGCATGGCAGTTCCGGTTCAAGAGACATGGTTGATTCTCAGCAGTAATTGACGCTGAAGACGACCAAAGAAATGACAATTTGTTCTCACTCACCACGGCTTCTATGTATAGGCTAAATAAAATATCGTGAACTGGCTGCTCTCAGAGAATGTGTTGCCTCCAAAGTCCCATTCTGCTTTGGTTTTGTTCATCACTTCATGTTGGATCTTCCGGTTGACCAAAAAGGGTAGGTATCAGTACGATCGTTCTGGTCTCATGTAATGATACCTGATCAACTTCGGGGCTGTGTTGCATTACTGCTAATTGAGGTTTATATGCCAACCATTATCGACATCAAGAGCTGAAAGAAAATGTTGCATCACAGCATGCATATCTCCACAACACGGACAGTCTTGTTCCACATCGGCAAGATATTTGCTGTTCAAAACGCAGCTACTGTTGCGCCCAGTTATCTACTGCCTGTTGGCGTTCCAAAGGTTTCTATCCACTATGAAGGTGCTGGAGTCGTACCTATATAGCTATAATGATAGTGATTGCTCAATGTTGCATTGATATGTATGCTCTTCCAGCAATCACCAAAGAGAAAGTTCTAGTAAATCTGATCAAAGTAAGTCATTTCATTTTTCTCATGATGTCAAACTATTCTCGCGGTGGAGAGCTGAAATGGAAAATGCCGCATTCAAATGTACAGTTGTACTGATGCATCTGTCACTTACTATGGCGCAGTATGATGTTTTCTGTATTACTATTTGAGAGTCTGGTTGATGATCAACCAAGGAGATCTATGGATAAAATAACCCAATTGGGAAATTATTGCAGATGGAGATGAAATATGCATAAATAATGTATGCATTTAGTTAGCGTATTCAAAATTTCCTGCGTATTTTATTCATCCCCGCATCACCTTCTACACCTATCCAAGCACATACGTATGACCTCAACATACAGAACTGATTCGAGAATGGTGACGTGTATCGTTGAACCGACCCTGCTATTCGGACTCGCAAGATATACATCCACATCCAGAACCGCATATATCTGCAATTCTGCATCCTGCATGAGCTGGCCTGGGCGTTAGTCTTCAGTCAGCCACCAATTGAATTGTTATTTTTCCTTTCTTCAATGTAGTTGTCTTTGTCAACTCCGATAGTACATATGATGCCTTAGCGATTGTTCCCTGGGTTAATAGGATAGAGGACCGATTCAAACCCTAAACGGGGTTATATATAGACAACCCGGCAGCCCATACCCTACTTAAACTGTGAAACAGTTGCAAAATATACCCAAGGACAATAAATATGAAACATACATAATGTAGTGGTGTGCTGTTCTGGTGATCATCATATTACAAAATAGGTAATGTGCAGATATGGCAGCATGCATATACAGCAGGGAAAATTTGCACAGCGTGCAGATGAGAAATTGCTTCCCTGCAGAAGTTGACAGTCTTTTGTTTTGTGTACACTCAATTTGATAGACGAAACTTTACCTTTGCAAAGTCACAAGGTGAGAGCAATATCTCATGTGATGTGAGATATCTGAAAAACATAAATAGGATCTTCTTCCCCCTTTGCTGTTCCTCGCTTCCCATTATCCATCATCCATCTCTCAACATTGTCATCATCAATTTCTCCCTTGCACTGGTCTCTCTCAAATTTTCTAATATCACTATGGCGTCCATGCCACTGGTCTTTACCCCCGACGAGCGAGTCATCACTACAGAAAAGTGGCATTCCGAGTTGTGCCAGAATGCCTCTGTGTACAAGGGTTGCTTCGTCCGACGAATTACAATTGTCAAGGATCTGAAATCCCGAGTGGTCCACGAATATCTTCAAGTAATCATTGAAGACACCGGTTCCAATTCTCACGACCGTACTCGTGTGTTAGCGGAGCGTCTAGAAAAGCAAGACCAGGTAATTATCGGTCGGTGGTCCTATGGTGCGAACCCGCCAATCAAATCTTCGATCATCTCTACCTTGGAAACCTACCTGTTTGGGGGCTCCTCTTCCTCTTCCTCCTCATCGTCGTCGTCGTCTTCGTCCGATGAAAGACTACCTCTCCCGCTGTGGTCATTAACCTTTGACGGCGACAATCTGGATGTCATTCACTTAGCCGCCATATTGTTGAATACCACGAAAACGCTAAAGAGCTACAATTTTGTCACCAGGAACTGTTACGTCTTTGCCAAAATAGTGTATGATAGCGCACAGTCCCGGTACAAGGGCCTGTCGAAAAGCTGGCGATTTGGCCACTTCCGGGGAACTCTGGCCGTTTGGCTGAAAGTGACTGGCAATGCAGATGTAGGTATCTCTTGATATTTCTTGGTTTTTCTTTTTTTTCTTTTTTTTTTTTCTTTTCTGAATTAACTAATCCGATCTGGTGAAATTCATAGGCGCATGGTTTCGAGTCCCAAAATAAGACAGATTTCCAATACGTCCCGAGCGACGCATTCGAAGAAACGCTGGACACCTTCTACACTGCCGCCGTTGAACTTTTTCGTCAAGATGGTATCGAAATGACCGATGAGGACAGCAAGAAATTGATCAGCCAATGCAAGTTGAAAGATCTTAGAGACTCTACGACCGAGAATGCCCTGAAGAGCACGGATGCTAACAAGGTATGTCTCTACATCTGATATACATTTATGCTGCTAACGAACTTGGTAGTTGGATGAATTGTACCAAGATTCAGTTGACAAGGTCCTTACCGAGCCTCGCAAGGATCATTATCTGGCGGTATATCAGCGTTACGCCGAGAAGGCTCCAGTATGTTCATCAATATAGGCTCACTATGTATGTAATCCACTAACAAACGTTGCTATAGGTAAGTACACCTAGCGAAGCTCCCGTCCAAAACCTCCCTGGTGTTGAACTCCACAGGGTTTCGGACGAGCTCTCGCAGCAAAATGATGAGGCAATGAAGATTCTTGTGGGAAATGTTTTGGAAAGACTTGAGGAAGGTAGCCCCGCAGAGTGAGTAATGTCACAGGCTGCGCCTGTCGCATAAACGATATGTTTAGTCAGGACGGAGAGGTTATCGAAGGAACTATTTACCCGCACTGCGCGCGCATGTATATAGAGCCGCCCGATCGGGCATTTGTTCCTCTTTCCCCAACGAAATCTTTTGTGCCAAAACTAGTCATTAGTGTCTCTGGGCCTGGCCCCTAACATTAGATTTCGTTCCTTTCCTTCTCTACTAGCCGTTCGATCGCGCAGTGGCTTAAGGATCGAACACCAGCAGAATCACGACACGGACAAGGACCACACACGACGAGTCCAGCTCTACGACGACAATAACCAAGACGACAACGAGAGCCTAGCTCTACCACGACGATAACCACGACGAACCCACTTCCTCTGGAAGTAGTAGAGTGTCATTCCCAACCCGCAATTCCCGTTCCCGAACCCTTCCCATCCCGCATAGGGTCGGGAATTGGGACCAATCCCCAATTCCCGCAGTGGGAAAGGGAGTAATTGGGAATTCCCGCAGTTCCCGTTTACTCCAAGTCCCATAGGGATGGGTCGGGTTGGGAAATGTGGGAAATGGGAGTGGTTCATATTCCTGAATTTCCCATTACATACTATTACAATACTTAATCCAACCATGGTTAGAATATAGTACGCAGTTCAACTTATCGGATCAGGAGGCTACTACCAGCTCAGTATTTGTTAGCATTGCCAATGATTCTTATTTAAGATTGTCAGCTATTCAGGAGCAACCAGTCTTCAAATCAGGGCTCCTTGCCACCAGTGAGCATCAGGGGACCAGGAATCTTGGTGGTCTTTCAGAGAGCAGGAGCTGGAGAAGATTGACAGCCATTGGCACCATCCATCATCAGTTGGGCAATCTGGCTGCCAAATGTGTCATGCTCAGCCTTCAATTCAGTGAGCTGTTGCTTGACATCCTCTAGTTTCTGATGCAGAAGGGCAGCTTCTCCCTCCTTGGCCTTGCCATGGAGTTCCTCTTCAGCAAGCTGGGCTCCACGCTCATCAAGGCACCCTTCATATCATTGGTGGATCAAGCGGAGCTTCTCATACAACCTCTCAGTCTCAGGCTTCTCAGTGACAAACTGCAGGAACTCCTCCAAAGTCACCATGTGTTGCTCTTCACCCTCTTCTCCATCAATGAAGATAAGAGGTTCACCAGTTCTCTTGGTGGGTATCATCGTCGTTCATCTCGTTTCGGTTGGCCCTAGGAGGGGCAACGGTATCGTTCGGTCGAGCCATACTGTCCACGATCATTGTATCGGTCGGTACTCGGTATCAATCTGATTCGTTCAGTCGGTTGGTGTGCGGGACGCACTACTATGGCTTGAGATTCGATAATATGTCACGGGCTCGGACCAGTAGACATTAACGAATTGATATTCCTATCTAAGCTAGTGTAGCCATCGACGAGAATATCGAATCTGGGGGGAAACGAGAAGAGGAAATCTATCTAGAGGAAGAATTGGATTCATAGGCGTTTGTTTGACATCACTAATGTCTTTTCTGGCGTGTTGGTGTCTTTGTCTGTGTCAGTTGTTGATGCAGCGTTGAGCCGTTGATGCGGCGTCGAGCCGTCACGGACAGGAACTGGGAAAGCTTTCCGCTACATTCATTAACGGGTTATGATAGGAGCTAGTGCGAACATAATAGTTTACTCAACACTCAATTGATCGTCAGGTAATTAATGACAGGCGCAATTATGCGGGGAAGGCTTGTTCACCTCCTTGTTCTTCTGCTAGCGCAGAGCGCAACGCTCACAACCAACTTCAATGCCGAAGGCCAAAACCGCATGAAAATGATACGAGCGCCAGTAGTCCATTAGTACTTGAATATATTGAAAGTCGCTTTCTGAAAGCTATCTCTCGCACTTATGTAATAACGAAGGCGACCAATCACCAGTAACTACGGAATGGACGCTTTAATGAACTGCCCTTTTAGGTAGAGTTATCCCCCGCATTTTATTTGCTGCAGATACGTAGGGTCACGCTATCTATAATTAGATATGTCATAGTCTCCCCAGATAATTTAAAACTTTATAAATCAGTCAATGTGTCGTCGGCAGAAGAGAACAAGGAATGCTTTACTCCGGAAAGTTCACTTACGATGCGGTCTCAAATTGCCAACGTACCTGTGCCTAATCAACACTCGGAAGTTGAAGAGGGAGGATTTGGCACGGTTGCTCATCCAAGTACAGTGGATGAGGATAAAGCGAATATTCAACCGTCCAACCAAGATGCCTTTGGAAACGAAGAATTTGCCGAGGTCAAGTACAAAGTACTGAAGTGGTGGTATGCAGTGGCCTGGATCCCGTTCCGGTGTGCTTATGCTGAGCTAACAGGTAACGTACAGGCAATGTGGTCTGCTAATGGTGGCCGAAACCATCTCCATGGGAATTCTCTCACTTCCAACTGCATTCGCGGGTTTAGGGCTGGCTCCTGCGATTGTCATCCTAGTTGGACTCGGCGTTCTCGCTACCTATACCGGCTATGTAATAGGGCAGTTCAAGTGCAGATACCCCCATATCTCTAGTGTTGCGGATGCAGGCGAGATCCTTCTTGGGCCAATTGGGCGGGAGTTGTTCTTCATAGCGCACATGCTGTACACTGTGTTTATCATGGCCAGTCACATATTGACATTCACAGTCGCCATGAATACCATCACTGACCATGGGACTTGCTCACTTGTCTTCGGGGTCGTAGGGCTTGTTATATCGTTTATTCTCTCGGTTCCTCGAACTTTGAAAAGGATGACATGGCTTTCACTGGCCTGTAAGTAACCACTCGTATCGCATTCTAACTGGATGCTGATAAATTTTCTAGCATTTGCGAGTATTATAGCGGCCGTCTTCGTAACAATGATTGCCGTTGGTGTTCAGAATCATGTGAGTAGCTTCAAGGTCACAGCCCAAACCAGCTTGGTCAACGCATTCACATCGGTGTCGAACGTTGTTTTCGCATATGGTGAGTCAACGGCCAAGGGGAAATCGGTTATGAGCCTAACCGAATATAGCCAGTCATAATACATTTTTCAACATGATGGCCGAGCTCGAAGACTATAGAGACTATCCCAAGGCGCTTGCATTGCTACAGTCTATTGATATATGCCTGTATCTCGTCACAGCCATCGTTATCTACTTGTATGCCGGGGATGGAGTAGAATCTCCAGCATTGAGCTCCGCTGGTCCATTGATTGCAAAAGTTGCGTATGGAGTTGCTTTGCCAACGGTGAGTTCAAGTGCGGTCAGTCACATTCCAACTCAGTTGGCTAATATCCCAGATTGTTATTGCTGGTGTTATCTACGGCCACATTGCGTTTAAAACAATGTATATACGGATTTTCGCTGGGACCGATCGCATGCACAAGCAGGACTTCGTCGCAGTCGGATCTTGGATTGGACTAGCACTGTCACTCTGGGTTCTGGCCTGGATCATTGCATCTGCCATTCCTGTGTTCAACAATCTCTTGAGTCTGATGGTATGTCATTCTATATAAAAGCTCAATGCTCAATGCTGAATCTAAACAGAGTGCACTCTTCGCTAGCTGGTTCAGCTTCGGCCTGCCGGGTATATTCTGGCTATACTTGAATCGAGGCAGATGGGTCGAGTCGCCACGCAAAGTGCTCTTAACTATGTTGAATGTGCTGTGCGTCAGTATCGGCATTGTTTTGGTGAGTCCCTTGTTCCTCTTTTCTCAATTTCGGTGGTAATCTAATAGGTCTCAGTGTGGCCTGGGCGTGTATACATCAGGCAAAGCAATTCATGATGATCCGAGCAGTGCGAGCTTTTCCTGTGCCAATAACGCCTGATGGATCATTACTGGCTAGATTCACGATTCGTGGGCAATAGACAATTCGCTCGTTTTCTGGAATTGAGTAAGGCGCAAAATACATTGCAGGGACTCACCGAAGTTGCGGAAAGATATCCCAAGTTATGCACAATACGCTAAAATTCCATGTCTATCTCCCCGCACGAAACGGGGTCTATGGTTACCCCGGCTGCGTGTCCGAAATCCAGTGACACCCCGCACTGGGACTGTGCCTCCTATATGCGGGGTGTGATATTGCTTGTATTAAATTCGATGGAGGCATTTATTGAGATGTATAAGTACTGTATTAGAGGTTCTATGTCAGAGTTCATTGTGCCTACGATGAGACGAGCCATCGTGAATATGAACGCGGGATGGGGGCAGGATGAATATTCCGCTTTAGGAGTAGATTTCCGCGGGGAGAATTGTACATCTCTTGCGATATCCCTTTTCATTTTATTTCTGTTTCTCCTGTACGCTTATCAGATCTAGCTCGCATGCCATAGCTCCTTTCTCTTTCTTTATGTATTCGTAACATGTTTATTCCTTTGGTGTTATCGGAATCGCAGGCCGAGTATCTTGAATTCGGGTAGCTTCCCGAATTAGGGCATGACAACCTTTAAAATTCGTATCTTCCACCTAGATTCTGCTTATCAAAGTATCGGAAATTATGGCTGAACTAGAGAGCACCACATTTTGCATCCTAGGCTGCGGTATGTCTATTCCCGCCTAGTTACTCGTTACACGTCTAATTCATGAAAAGGCAACCTGGGAAGCGCCATAATCAACAGCCTAGCCTCGAACCTACCTACAATCAACAATAGCGCACTTTTCACACACTTCATCGCTTGTGTGCGGACACAGAATTCGGAAACCCGACTGAAAGAGCAACTATCTCATCTGGAAAACCTCTCCATATCCCGCAACAACAATATCAAAGCGATTGATGACTCTGCCGTCATCATTCTTGCGACTGACCCCGCGGATGTTGAGAGGACGTTGACACAGCCTGGCTTCCGTGATGCCATCACCGACAAACTTTTGATCAGCGTAGCAGCGGGTTGGACACAACAACGCTTATACACAACTCTCTACGGCACCAACACGCCCCAGGCTCGTGTCGTGCGGACTCTACCGAACATTGCCGCCTTGGTTTCGCAATCGTTGACTGCGGTTGAAAACTCCGTGGATTCTCCTTTGTCTCCGGAATGCGCGGAAATTACAGACGCGATTTTCAACAGGATCGGTCGTACTGTGCACCTCTCCCCGACACAGATGGAAGCCATCACCGCTGTTGGAGGCTCGACGCCTGCATTCTTTGCGGTTATTGTTGACGCAATGATCGACGCCGCCGTCGCGGTGGGACTCCCGAGAGACCTCGCGCATACAGCTATTTTCCAGGCCATGCAGGGCACAGCAGGGATGTTACAGAGTGGAATCCATCCAGCTTTGCTGAAGGACCAAGGCACATCGCCAGAGGGATGTACCATTGGCGGATTGATGGTGTTGGAGGAGGCAGGAGTCCGCGGTCATATTGGAAAGGCGTTGAGGGAGGCCGTTACTGTTGCAAGGCTTATGGGGAAAGTTCCTCATGTAAATGATACTCGGCAATGAATGAACCTCACATGAATTATTCTGCTCATTGGTCAATGTGCTCTAGTCTAATTGTACTGTGGAAATATTCTCGTAACTCCATGTTCGTTAGACACCCGAATCCAAACGCCGGGATGATGCGAATACATCGAACAACGGTCGCCGATGGAAGATATCGTGCCATAAGTGTAAATCTCTCGCTCATTGCAGCCACTTTCGGTCGATTGTATATGTCCAGACCGAGCAGGTGCACCGGGGTCGCCATAAGCTGGGACAGAACTGGCACAACGATTTGCGTTATCACAGTTCTCGAGTGCAGATCTGTTGCTAGGCCGTCTGGAATAGCCCCGGCACAATACGAAGGCAGTGTGAAAGAGCCGGAAATAGTTATGCCATCGCGGAGAAGAAATATGGCCGTTCCAACGCTGGAAAATGCTCGAGTGGGCACGTTTCTTAGTGCAATAGTCGCCTCCTTGCTGCAGTTACTGAACAGCTGTGCAAAGCGCATATCCTTCCACACTCCCAGGGGCACGTTAATGGCGAAGGTCGACCCGAAGACAATGGAATCCCGTACTGGTGATGTAGGGATCGTTTCCTTGGTGATGGTGTCGGCCCCATTGGCGACGGCATAGGTGGCTGCGTACAATGTCCAGATGAGGCCAAAAGGACGAGAGAAGACAAAGCGGCCAGGTCGCTTCAGAGCATCCAAGGCATGGGATCTCAAGCCACGTAGTATCGGCCAGTTACATGACGCTTTTTCAACCAAAGCCCTGCGCGTCATTTTGTCAGTAAAGCAACTTCGCTTGCAAGGAGACTTACTACACTGACCGATCAATGATGGTTACCGCAGGAGTCACGATTGTCGCCGACACGGCAGAAGCAACCAAGTCCCCTGTCAAGTGTAATTTTGTTTCATGTCTCATAGTGAAGATGTGTCCATGATCGCTGACATGGTGGCCTCTACAATATATATATATATATATATATTCGGAAACGAACCCGACAGTCATGCGCTAACCAAGCGTATCTCGGGTCAAATATCCAAGCCCACAATGGTATAAAGGATGATCTATGGGCCACGGAACTCCCAGCAATCCAAGGATTCATGCGGTTCCTTTGCCGGAGGCCACTCGGTAATCCGTATAGTCCATTGTGTACATTCCGCCGGCACCACCGCCTCCTTATGAGCCCTGTTTACAACTTACCAGACCATTGAAGAAGGACTCTTACTCAGATGCTATATCTTTTCGACATCTTTTATACTGCAGCCCCCGAGACCGGCCCTGTCAAAAGTGGAAGAAATCGGGGACCCAGGGCCAATTCCACGTCGGATAGACTAACTAACCAGTCGAGCACTGCTGTCGACACCTCACAAACAAGGCATAAAATGACGTAACTAAATATTCCAAGAATGACGGCCATCCGATGACAAATCGCGGGGTCCATGAGGGGTTCTTAACAGGTTTAACAATGTTTCCTGCTCGTGGTTCAGTTTGATCTCGACTTCAACTACTTCAATTGCTTCCATAATGGCGACAACAACTGCTGTCTCTCTTACCACGCCGACGGGCCTCTCTTACCAGCAGCCCACTGGACTGTACGTCTGTTCAATGCTTGACTCTATGGACAATGCACTAAACGCAGCAGGTTCATCAATAATGAATTCGTAGCCGGATCCGGTGGAGGCACCATTGATGTGGTATGTGCTGCTCTGTATTTATTTTACGAGAATTGAGACTGACTGAGAGACACAGATAAACCCAGCGTATGTCAATTGGCCATTACACCAGCTCCCAGCACTGACTGTACCGTACCAGAACCGAACAGAAAATCTGCGCTGTCAGTGAAGCTCGCGAAAACGATGTCGACAAGGCCGTGGCGGTTGCTCGAAAGGCCCTGAACGGCTCGTGGAAACTGACCACTCCCACCGAGCGATCGCAATACCTCTACAAGCTGGTTACATTGATGGAAGAGTCCCTGGAGAAGCTGGCGGCGGTGGAATCTATGGACAATGGAAAGGCGATCAACGGCGCCCGGGGCGACATTGAAGGAGCAATTGGTTGTCTCCGATACTATGCTGGGTGGGCAGACAAGATCGAGGGTCGCGTTATCGACACGAGTCCCACGAATTTCAACTACACCCGACGCGAACCGGTATTGTTTTCTCTCTGTTTATTGAGCAGGTCAGGACCGGCCAGCTAATGTAACTACTCCAGATTGGTGTGTGCGGTCAAATTATCCCATGGAACTTCGTGAGTTGCCCTCGAACATATCCGTAATTCAGGCGAATGCTTACGCTCAACAGCCATTGATGATGTGGGCATGGAAGATCGGACCAGCCATTGCCTGCGGGAACACCGTGGTCATCAAGACCGCCGAGGTCACGCCGCTGTCTGCACTGGTCGCTGCTGAGCTCATCGTCCAAGCGGGATTCCCTCCAGGAGTCATCAACATCATCACCGGCTATGGCAACATTGCCGGGTCTGCTCTCTCTCGCCATATGGGCGTGGACAAAGTCGCGTTCACAGGATCTACAGCCGTGGGCCGTCAGATCCTGAAGGATGCAGCATCTTCCAACCTGAAGAAGGTCACGTTGGAGCTGGGCGGTAAATCACCGAATATCGTCTTCAATGACGCAAATATTGACCAGGCCGTTCCATGGATTCACAACGGAATTTTCTCCAACATGGGACAGAATTGCTGTGCAGGCAGTCGGATCTACGTGCAATCTGGCATCTACGACACATTCGTCCAGAAGCTGAAAGAAAACGTTCAGCAACGAGTCATTGGATCCCCCGAGGACGAAAAGACCGCCCATGGTGCCCAGGTCTCCAAGACTCAGCTGGATCGTATTCTCGGGTATGTCTATATTTTGAACCGGTCAAGGCAGGTTGCTAATCCACTTCTAGATACGTCGATTCCGGCAAAAAGGCCGGCGCCCAAGTCGAAATCGGAGGCCATCGAGTCGATCGTCCGGGTTACTTCATGGAGCCGACCATCTTTTCCGGTGTCTCCAGCGACATGGACATCGTACGGGAAGAAATCTTCGGTCCAGTAGGTGTAATTGCAAAGTTCGACACGACGGAGGAGATTGTCGAGGCCGCCAACGACACTGCCTACGGATTGGCCTCCGGTATTCACACCGAAAACCTCAAGACCGCCATCGAGGTCTCTAACAAGATCAAGGCGGGTACGGTGTGGGTCAATCAGTACAATGGAGTCCATTGGCAGTTACCTTTCGGTGGCTTCAAGCAGTCGGGCATTGGAAGAGAGCTGGGCGAAGAGGCGCTGTTCAACTACACCCAGACCAAGACGGTATCGGTGAATCTCGGTACTCCAGTGGTTTGAGCCGACCATTCGCAGCCATACTATTAATCGGCATTACGATGGCTTCAACTGGAGGATCGACGTGTGCGCTCACGCCTAGCTTGCATTAGATTACGGAGTTACATACCTGTCTATCAAATCTCGCCAGTGTATCCAAAATGCCCCTCCTGAATACTAGTGATCTATCTCGGATTGAGGATCCACCGTAAGCAAAATCCACAAAGGCGTGCCCAGAGTATAATTTAAACGATCTATATAGCTGGCTCCTCAATGGCAAATGTAGAGGTACGCAATTTTTTCTCGATCAATTGACCCGTTTGAATAATGAAGCCATGCGACGTTGAATTTGTTACTGGCCTCTCTGGCTACTTTGTGAAAGATCTCGAGGCCGTTCGCCAGAGCCCAACATACGATCCCCTGGTCAACAATATCGCCCCTCGCACGCCTGGATTCCAGCAAGTCGTTCAAGCCGGCCAAGTGATTTCCATCCTCCTGCATTTGCCCAATGGCCAATGGGCCGTGGGGGACTGTGTCGATGTCATCTTCTCTGGAGCCGCGTCTCGCGATCCACTTTTCATCGCCAACGAGCATCTTCCCCTGCTTGAGTCTGTGGTCAAGCCATGGCTGCTGAACTGCGACATTACGCAGTTCCGACCCAATGCTATCCGTGTCGATTCGCCGTGGCCAGAATTACAGAATCTTCGATTGCATTCTGCCATTCGTTATGGTCTGTCGCAGGCGCTTCTGTCTGCCACGGCATTGGTTCATCTCTGCCCCGCGGCCGGGATCATTGCCCGTGAATGGGGCACGAGTATCGTCGACCGGCCTGTGGATATCTTGGCTTCCTGCCACCGCGACGACTTCCTGCAATTGGACCGCATGATCATGAAGCAAGTTGCGATGTTACCCCACGCATCTTTTGTCCACGTTCATGATCTTGGACCACGGGGGACGAAGATGTTGGAGTTTGTGGAAAAGGTATCCCGACGCGTACAGGAACGAGGAGCGCCCGGATACCGTCCCCGGTTGCACTTTGATGTCTACGGCACCATGGGGGACTTGTTCCGAGACGATGACGAATTGGTATTATTTCTGGGCGAGCTCCAGCGAGTCGCTCAGCCGTACGATCTCCTCATCGAGTCCCCGATCATCGCCGTGACCAAGGCCGCACAAATTCAGCGACTAAAGAATCTCCGACTGCGACTGCGGGAACGATCCATTCCAGTGCAGATCGTGGCGGACGAATGGTGCAATACGCTCGAAGACATTCGGGAGTTTGCGGACGCCGGTGGTGTTGACTTTGTGCAGATTAAGATGCCCGACCTGGGTTCCATTCACAATAGTATCGATGCCGTACTCTACTGCCGGGAGAGGAAGGTCGGGTGCTGCTTGGGGGGGTCTGCTAATGAAACGGACGTGTCTGCACGCATCACGGCGCATGTGGCGTTGGCAACGCAACCTGACTTTCTACTGTCGAAGCCGGGGATTGGAGCGGACGAGGGGGTGATGATTCTCACTAATGAGATGCTCCGCACCTCAGCTGTGGCTCGGAAGTCTCGATTGAACAAGATTTAGCTCTAGTTTAGTCTCGCATATTTGAGCAATGACAACACATCAATTTATATTTGCTCCGAATAGGCGCGGTGTTTCGTAACTAGCTCTTGTTTGGCCATAAAATCAATTTACATACATTACCCCTCTTAGATCGGCATGGCACGCAGGGAAGAGCTGAACGAGAGTGGAGCTCACGGGCCGGTGGCTGCGCTGAACATTACTATGGTATCACTCCACGGGGCTATGAAGTCGATTCAGCTTGTATTCAAGAACTATCAACCAGGGGTACCGAGTACTCTATACGACTCAATCATGGAAATGCTTCACCGAGAAACCCGCCAGAGTAGTACCCGCGTTGGGATCCGTTGGCGACCTGGACCAATTCTTGCGAACACGAGCCCGAGTCCACTCAATGGCCGGAACATCAATATCGGCATTCTTTCCCTCCTCGTAGTATCCCAGCCGGCGCAAAAGCGGGCTATCCACAGTCTTCAACATCAGTCGGTCACTTGGACGAACGAAATAGAGCAGTCCCAGTCGGTCGTTGCATGCTTGATCCTCGGGCGGCACAACCACTCGATGGATCCCACTTTTCAGGTATCCATTCGACACGATCGAGAGCATGTCGGCAATGTTCACGGCGATGGCGCCGGGAGGGATGCGCAGCCATTCCCAGTCCGAGTTCTCGTGTTTCTTCACCTGCAACGCGGCGACTGGCTGCTGGAAGACAAAGGTAATGGTTCCATTGTCCGTGTGGCCACGCGAATAGAGGTCCCGGAAGTTGTTGTTTTCCTCCTCGGAGCGCGCGCGGTACATCATGTAGCGCAGACCACTGTCGCAGTTGGCCTCGTACCGATGACCGTTTTCCAGCTCATCCTCGGGGATCTCGAGGATCATGGCCAGCAAACGAAAGAGCCTGTAGGCAATGTGCTCATGCACATGTCGATGGAACTTTTCGATCTCCGCCCAGTGCTGTCGGTAGACATCGGGATGCTTGCGTTCATACTGGGGGAGGAATTTCATGACGTTGTAGAATTCGATGTTGTCGCGCATGCCCGGTAGGATTTCAATGGAGCCCAGGGGACGATAACCATTGTAGACTCCTTCCTCGAGCGGCGCGCGGTACTGCATCCGTTCTTCCTCGGGAAGAGCAAAGAACTCGCGTCCGATGGCGAATTGCCGGTCGATTTCTTCCTGGGTGACACCAAGGTTCGTAACGTAGAAGAAGCCTAGACGCAATTCAGGTCAGCGTCGGGCTGCATTGAAGGAATGCAAAAGAACAACGTGCGGGACGGGTATCATACCAACTTCATGTGCAGCATCCTTCAATTGCGCCGCAAGTTTCTCCTTTCCTCCCGGACGGTCGAACTCGGAGAGATCGATAGAGGTCAAATCTACGTAGTTGACTGTATTGCATCAGTTTTTGTTCTTACAAAGGACAGGGCCTCGATACTCACGCTTTTCCTTGGTCTCTGGAGGGTGGGTGTACTTTTCAAGATGCCCATTGGTGCTACCAAAGGTCACACCTGGTTTCACTTCTGTTTCGGCTGTCATTGTGCTGGGATATCAACAATCGCACCTTGTGAATTGAAATATGAGAAGATTGCTGTTAATCCTCGGACAGGGGACAGGTAGAGAGCTCAATAAATAGGCCGCCGAAGAGGGGTTCGACGTACATAATCAATCAGCTCAGGTGGCTCTTGGTCGATCTTATTGGGTCACAGCTCGGATCAGTTATGCCTCATTCTGATTGACTGAGGAGTCATCACTGCCGTGGCTTGCATTCGACCGACTTGCATCCTGCATCGTCATACGGAGTGGGGTTCATACTGGATTTTGCTATACCCTCTGCCTACTCTGTACAAGGAATTCAGTCAATGCCTCTGTTCCTGCAACAATACACAGATTTCATCCGACTCGAATGCCAGGTACACTGCGTCCGTGGCGAATCGGTGCTCCAAGATATCCCGTCCCAGGTACGATAGTAGCTCACGTACCAAGTTCTCTGCCCACCTGTGTCAGTTAGCAACCTCACTACGAGGCGAGTATCCTTGCTTACCGACTTTGAATGAGACGGAACCCCAATGGGTTCCGTTGCTCGGCTCGCGATACCATCACCAAGTCTCATGACCCTATAAACTTATTGTGCTCCTGCTTTTGTCTCGGTCAGTTATCACACATCACGTCGATTCCATCAGCTTTCATTATGTTGTCGATGAAAGGGAAGGTTGACGCTTAGAGAATGAGCGTCTCGGGAATTGGAGGTCTTCCAAGCATTGCTTTGCCAAATGACCCAGCTCTCTGCCGGGATTCTCCTACAACGATGAATCGACGCACGTTCGCTACTCTCTGATGGCACGTTCGGAAATCTATAGTCTTATTTCGGATAGAGTTTGAGGATGATTGAGCTGGCGCTGCGACTGGATTCAGTGTCTTGGGTGGAAGAGATGCGATATGTTGCCGCTACTGATCAAGAGGCAAGGCGTCGGGACCATGATAACATCGACAAGGGTTCGTTCAGCTTCTAGTCAACACTTCTGACACGGATCATCTTGTGCCTGGAAACTCCAGGATCTCGCTTGTCGCCGTAATCCATCTGTCCAAGGACATCAACAAGACTAGTATAATGATGGGCTTGTGGACTTTGCACCAGAAAGGGTCATGCTCCCAGGAGTAGATAGGAGTTGAAGAGGACAAGGGGGAAACGGCCGAAAGTCATGAGTACCCCGAGTCGGGGCATTGCGACTCTACACAGGCTCGCCCACATACTGCTTCTTGTCGGGTAAGCACTATGTAGCACCCGACTCGTCGTTATCAGCATCAGCTAATATGTTTGGCAGGACATAGACACTCTGGTCTCAACTCCTTCGTACAAATGCAAACCGATGGAATTCAACATTTCGATGCGGCCAGGCCCCATGGCGACGTACTCCCAATGTGATGGGAGTGAAGGAACATCACACATCGTGAAGAATCGCTAGATGTCAGTGGCAGAAGCATTGTGCCCGGGGTTCTGAAGAAGTGACCTATGTTTTTAGAATGATAGCGCTCGAAGCGTCGCCACAGGCCTCGCCTGTTCGTATCACACTGCAAATGTCCGCATCACGCCCGTCACGTTCTGGAAAACAAGGAGCTGGCGGGCTTCATTATGCAACTGTACCATTGGGGAAATGGTCCGTGGAGCAAAACAAGTTCGACTTCCGGCGGGTACTGGTGTCTCCCCGGAAAGCAACCAAAGTAGGATTCGACAGCAGCACCACGATTTCGCCAAGCACCTGCCATTTTCCCATTCTTCCCCTGAATCTCGCGTATCGTATTCAGGAACATGTGCACTCTCCCCCGGGGCGCTGCATAGTAGTCTGGATACCGGGAAGCATAGCCCGTATTTTCTCTAACCGACTAACTGGGCCCAGTCAGGGCGAAGGATTTGGCTTCTTTTTCTTTTCTTTTCTTTTCTTTTTTTCTTTTTTTTTTCTTTTTTTGTTTTATTTTATTTTATTTTTTTTTCTTTTCTAGCCCTTCTACCCGCGGCAACAACGAATGTACTTCTGACAGAAAGCTCCGGACCGTTGCCAGCTACATACCGATAGTATGGGTGAGTCTCAACGGTAGTTCCGGCATGCTATTGGAGGGAACTTGACAGGGAACTTGACAGGGAACTTGACAGGTACAATTCCGCAACGATCCAGGAAGTTTTCGAGCCAATTGGGCCGTTTAACGGCTTGAATCCTGGTTCCGGGGTCCTCGTTCCGGCACTTAGCGGCGGATTTTTATATTAGCCTATCGGCGCAATGCCTCCGGTTGGCTCTAGTTATGCTTACCCACAGCAGAAGCCAAAGTCCCTTTCTACGGTATGCCCAATTCTAACCAGACACTGTGTTCAACTTCTGCGCACAGCGATGGACGGGCCCCTATTCCAAACTGGCCGTAACCACGAATACTTGGAAGGTATGCAAAAATAAAAAATAAGAAAAAACCAAATTCCCATATTATTACTGATTATCAAAGGCTAACTATGACTTAACTATCAGAACCAGATCCCGAATAACCGTATTGTACAAAACGCCCCCAATAATTAATAGATTACGCCAGTTCACATTCAATCAGGCTCTCCACTCCCCGCTGGGCCGTCCAGATGTTCGTGATCTTCAGCCCGACGGATTCAACGAGAGAGTGCCAGTGTCGCTCCGTACGCTCCTGAGACGCGAAGTCGGCCATCATGATGATATCGAGACTGGTGGTCTCCCAATAGGCATTGGTGTCGGGGATGACGTTCTCGTTGATCAGGACCTTGCTGTAACCCCGGTTCATGGCCGGAACCAAGTTTGACAGGATCTTGCGGCAGTTGTCATCATTCCAGTCGTGCAGGATGGAGTGCATGTAGTAAGCGCGAGCACCTGTTCACGTTAGCCACGGCTGATGCCTAACGGGGGATATTTGGCGGAGCCTACCTTTCACGGGCTGCTCTGTAAAGAAGTTATGGGCCATGACTTCGACACGGGGATGAAGCGACGTGCTTTGGGCTTGCTGGACGACGTTGGGAAGATCCTGCAGCACCAACCGTCCAGGCATGTCGGGCCATTTGCGCTGGAACTCAGAGAGATCGTGGCCCAAGCTGCCACCGACGTCGACCAGAAGGACATCGTCTGCCTCCTTCGGCTCTATCGCCAGCTCAGGGACCGGGTAGAACCCGACGTCCATCCAGCTAGGACGGCCCTGGTGGTAGGCGGACATGTGATTGTTGAACTGGGAGGCATGTTCGGGATGGTCACGGAGGAACTCGAAGAAATGCGAGTCGGTCCGGAAGCCCAGCTGGAAGGGACAATCTTTGCCGTCGGTCGGGTTGCGATAGTTGTTCTTGCGTAGGTATGCGGGCAACGCCAGGACACCATCTGTAATGCAGCCAGTCCTGGGTCTGTTAGTCTTCGTCTCAAAAGGGGGGAAGCCGGTCTAATACTAACATGCAAGCATAGGCATCGCTATACCGAGGCACACCAAGTGTGATTGAGAAACCTGTCCGACGGTACTCGTCCGGTCCCGTTTCATCGATGACGCCCACGGCGCTCAGGTGTTTGAGCAGACGAGCTATCAAGTCAGTACAAACTTGGAAAGGGGAGTATGCAAGATAACTATTCATACCCAAAAGCGCAACGTCAGCACCGGTTTCCTCGGCGAGATAAGTCGCACTCTTTGATCTATCGTCTCGCGAAAGGATAGCGAACAGTCCGAGGTCAACACCGGTCTCGACGGCAGCGTAGGTAGTGGACTAGAACGTTAGTGTACCCTTCTACTAACATTGGTGGATGTTCATACCTGCGACCAGCAGTAGCGGATCATGGTCTCGCGGGGTGTCTCCAATGCGTGAACCAAAGACCGTGCCGCGTCCAGCAAGGTGGACCGGGCACTAGCATCATGGTCCGCGGAAAAAGCAAGGCCATTTGCGAGAATGTCCTTTAGCAAACCCGGGACCTTGTCTGGGGAATTGGCGGAGATGGCAACCTTGTCGTCAAAGGAGAAGTTTCCATTCGTATGTCCATTTTTCACGGCGCCATTTGCAGCGCCATTGGTCTTTCCATTGGTAGTGCCGTTAGTTGGGCCGTTTCTGATGGTCATGATGAATGGTTGGATACTATGCTGGGAATCACACGCCGGTTTGGATGGGGTAACGAACAAGGTGAGGAGCAACGCTCTATATATCACCTGTACTTTAGCCGGTCAGGGGATCAAATTCTCAACGAATGAGTCTGGATCATTTTGAATAGGGGCTGTACTTCTGTAGTTGTGCCATACTCGTGTACTCTGGATTACCAGATTCGAACAGGTGCTGTTGAAGGAGTAGTGACTGCGGCAACTTTCAGTGGGCCTTCGTAGTAGGAGCACGCATTTCCTGGAGGCTCCTCGGGACTACGCTAACCATATGACAAGTAACGGCCATGCAGATGCTATTTCAATGGGACCAATCACAAATCCCACGCTCCAACGGCCCCATATCCCGGCCTTCTGTCATTTGAAAAGCCGAGCTCCACTTAGTCTGTTCTGCACGCACCGGCCGGACACTGTCCTGGGATTTATGGAACCGAGATCGAATAGGAACGAGCCGCAGGTCGTCCGAAGTGCTATCATTAATTATTGTGTTGCACCTACCATTTGATCTATGGAAATGTGAAATGACCTGTCATGGAACTTTTGTCGGACTCTATGACCAAGGGTTTTTTGTGATGCCGGTGCTGTGATGGATGCACTTGTGTCCCACGCCCCTGGTCTGGGGGGGGGGGGCGCTTCGTCAGGCCTTCTGTCACTTTCATTTAAGGTGCCGGCAGGGACGAAATATCTTCCACTGACAATTGTTATTTGTCTTATTGTGTCCCAAGATGACGGTTACAGAGGACGACAATCGCGGCCCCAAGATCCTAGGGGTCTTGTGGGCTTTGACCGGCCTGACAACGTTCATAGTCGCAGCAAGGATGTTTATCCGCGGAAAGTTACTGAAGAATTTTGGCCCGGATGACTGGTTAATTGCCGCGTCCATGGTAAATGACCCTTTTGGTTTACGTCGTCTTCCTGTATGCTGACGAGACAGTGTATGGGCTTAGCTTACTGCGGCGTTACCACGGCCAATGTGATCATTGGCTATGGCAAGCATGCTGTCTTTCTAAGCCAGGATACCCTCGAGACGGCCATTCTCCTCAACACCGTCAGCTTTCTTTTCGGCATCCTCTCCTTCACCCTGCCTAAGCTGGCCGTCAGCGCCATGCTGAACCGGATCCTCAATCCATCCCTTTTCCATCGCACTGTACTCTGGTTCTTGACCGGATTCGCGGCCGTGGTATCTGTGATTTGTATTCTTGTCCTGTTTACCATGTGTGATCCACCCAAGGCGCTATGGCACACGCATCTGGTCATGGAAGGCGCTGCAACTTGCAAAGATACCTGGATATTGATCGACTATGCCATTTTCACTGGAGGTAGGTTTCGCTCGATAAGCATCAACGGATTGATCTAACGATAATCCCGCAGCGCTCTCAGCTTGTGTCGACCTCTACCTGGCCATTTACCCCACGACCGTCCTTTTGAGTCTGCATATGTCGCTGCGAAAGCGTCTGGCCCTGTGCGCAGCATTGGGTCTGGGATCCATGTAAGTATCCTCGCCGTCCGGAGTGAATCCAACTAACAAACCAGTGCCTCCGCAATGGCCATTATCAAATGCACGCAGCTCAAGGGCCTGGCCGACAAGTCTGACTATACCTGTAAGTCACACTCCCTTACGTCGCGCCGCGCAGTTACTGACTTGACTAGATGGAACGGCAGATCTCGTCATGTGGACCAAGTACATTTCACGATCCGTTCTACTACAGACCCATCACTGACCACGAACAGCATCGAATCCAACGTCGTTATCGTCGCCTCCTGTATTCCCACCCTCCAGCCCATTCTCGAACTCATCCTCGGCAAGCGCTCGCTCGGGTCGTATAGCAACAACTCCAGTCGCCAAAAGAATAGCAAATATATGCACTCGACATCCTACGCACATAGTCGTCGATCGATTGTCCGAAAACCGGATCCGACTATCAATGATGTCGAGAGCCAGGAGAGTATCCTGCACGCCGAGGACGACCTACATCGTAGTGATGCGCATCCGCTGGGACAGATTCGACGGACAGACAATGTGATGGTGGAATATGAGGCGAGGACAAATGATCCAGACGGAAGACCGTCGTGGTAGCCCTGCGTTCGAGCACCCTCTTTTACCTTTGTAATGTTTTCTTGTGTTAAAAGTCACTCTTTCAATCCTGTTGCGATCTATGTATATATATATTTAATCAGATACCCGCATACCGGGTCGCAACACTTGTACCATTTCATTCGTTATTGAACTAGCTACACTTGTGAATTCATTATCCTCGCCCTTTTCTTCGCGCATACCTTTTATTTGCCCTTTAAACACCCTTAGTTAACTTACAACTCGAGTAAACAATGTGTAAGCCATATGCTCCCTCTGATTGGTCCCGACAGCCTCGGTCTCGGTCCAGCATGCGCGGGGGGGGGTCTTCAGGAATACAAAAGAACCGAAAGCAGAACAACTCAGACAAAACAACTAAATTCTACCAAGATGACGGAGGTCAGTACCACGCCCTTTGCGGAGCCGCCGTATTTGCGCGGCCTACCGTCCCCCTACTACACACCCGCGCATTGTCGCTTCCAGAAGGCTTGTCGCGAATTCCTCTGGGAGCATCTACTACGCCATGCCATGGACTGGGAGCGCCAGAGCACCGTGCCGGAACACGTCTTCGAGACATTCTGCCAACATAACATGTTGTTGCCGAATCTCCCTGCGCCATTGCCGGTTGGGTGGCTGAAGCGGTTGGGCATCCATGACATTCTTGGGGTCAAGGTCGATGATTGGGATTACATGTATACAGGGATCTACTGCGACGAGCTGGCTCGGTCCGGCCTTGCCGGTCCCGGGGCATCTTTGAATGCTGGATTTGCATTTGGTATTCCCCCGATTATCAAGTACGGAAGCGAAGAGCTACAAGAGCGGTTTCTGCCCGAGCTGCTGACTGGCAAAAAACGCGCTTGCATTGCTATCACGGAGCCCGAAGCTGGCAGTGATGTGGCCAATCTGACGACAACGGCCAAGAAGACCCCTGACGGCAAGCATTACATTGTCAACGGGTCCAAGAAATGGTACGTCTCTGCAACGGATGCCCGTTCTGGAGACATCGATCGCTGACTATTTCAGGATCACCAACGGCATCTGGTCCGACTACACTACCATGGCTGTCCGCACGGGTGGCCCCGGAGCTGCTGGGCTGTCGGTCTTGTTGGTACCTCTGAAGGATTATCCCGGAGTCACCATGCGTCGATTAAACGTGGCTGGACAAAAGACCGGTGGCACCACGTACATTGAGCTGGACGACGTGGCTGTCCCGGTGTCGAACCTGATTGGACGCGAAGGCGAAGGCATGCGCATTATCATGACCAACTTCAACCACGAGCGACTCACGATTGCCGTGGGTGTGACACGCCAGGCCCGCGTCGCGTTGTCCACGGCCGTCCAGTACTGTCTGAAGCGCGAGGCGTTTGGAAAGACACTCATGGACCAGCCCGTGGTGCGACACCGTCTGGCCAAAGCGGGCGCGGAGCTCGAGACGATGCACGCGTGGGTCGAGCAGATCTTGTACCAGCTCTGTCATATGAACAAGGAGGAAGGCGACCTACGGCTGGGAGGGATCACAGCGCTGGCCAAGGCTAAATCGGCCATGGTGCTGAACGAGTGCGCGCAGTGTGCGGTGCTGCTGTTCGGAGGGAATGGATTTACGGCGACGGGACAGGGCGAGCTGGTCGAAGGTGAGTTCCCGCACACGGTGTATTGTAGAATATCGACTGACGGACGAAGCCATCTACCGCGATGTCCCCGGAGCGAGAATTCCCGGAGGATCGGAGGATGTATTGCTCGATTTGTCGGTGCGTCAATTGGTCAAGGTGTACCGGACAGAGGAAAAGAAGCTGGGACGATCAAAGATTTAGAGAACAACTGTCCATTTGGATATACGGTCGCAAATAAATCAAAGTATCAAACTGTCATATGCCATGCTAGCATCATTTCCGAAACAAACAAACAAGCAAACAAACAAACAAACAAACAAATAGTATCACGTAGGTATCAACAACCACAGCATAAACATTCAACCATATCAATGCAGCATTCACACGTCTCCTCGCACAGGAAGCAACAGCACATGGCCGCGATACTGCTCGGGTCAGTCCCATCCTTTTTCTTCTTCTTCTTCTTCTTCTTCTTCTTCTTCTTCTTCTTCTTCTTCACGTCGGGTAGATACTGACCATGCGGTAAGACAACCACGGTCCTTGCTCTGCGATTCCTGGGGCGGCGGTGGCTGGTATTGCATCTGGAGAGAATCGTTAGCGATGCCTCGCTCTGAACAGGGCGATCGAAGGACCTACCGGCGGAGGTTGAGGCGGGTACTGTCCTCCGGGAGGAGGTGGGTAACTAGAGGGTCAGCTTAAGTTCGGTAGCAGTAGTCAGTACCATGGAACAGCACTTACTATCCTTCTTGTGGGGGGTACGACATGTTCACTGGTTTCTTCGCAAAGCGGTATGAATTTGGTGAAATCAGAAGGAAAAGGAAAGAACAGAAGAGAGAGAGAGCAATATATCCCCTGCAAAGCCCAGGCAGAAGGAATGCTTTCTTGGCCCCCCGGACTATTGAGGACTATTATGTGCCAAGCCTCTGTGTAGCGCCGGAGTGAGACCGCTTAATGCCCTACAGTCAGTATCATAGGTCACTGTTCAGCTATGCTATATAAAGATGCCCCTGTTGTCCCGATTTACCCCATCGGGAAGCGCGGTCACCTGACGCCAAGCTACAAGGCTGACTAGGGCAGCCAATTAGATGGCCTCAGGAATGGTGTTGCCTGGTGCCTGGTGAGCATAATTGCATAACTTGGATTAGTCATTATACACGAACTACTATGTGCACGTGATCGGAATAACAATAGTCCACAGTCTCTGGTTTCTGTACGTACTCGTATCGCACAACGACTACTACTTCATCACCACCCTCACACCCTTGCTGTCCATTTTCGCAAACGGAATGAAGATCTCATGCTTCACCCTCACGTCCTCCACGTCCGTCTCAAACAGTTCCAGCTTGAATCGCCGCAGAATCGTGCTGATGACCAACAGAATCTCCGACCGCGCAAGGCTGTCCGGTCAGCATGCAGCCTCCCTAGTTAACCCAGGGCATGAACCTACTTGATTCCGACACACTGTCGCGATCCCTTGCTGAACGCCACCATGTACTTCTCCAGTCGCTTACGTTCTTGCGGTTCCGTCCAACGCTCGGGATTGAACCGGTACGAGTCGGGGAAGACGTCCTCGTTGTGGTGCATCAGCACGCAGCTCATGCTCACGGGGGTCTACAAACGTTAGCGGCGAAGAAGGAAGGCTCGAGAAAGGCTCGAGGACGGCTCGAGAAAGGTGGCATACCCCGGGCGGAATCATCCAGTCTTTGAATTGGAGGGCGTGGTACGGCGCGGTCCGTGGCAGCCGTGCTGACACTCCGTACGACAGTCTATTCAGTTAGTCGACATTCGTCTGCGAGATATCACGATCGTCCTACCTGAGTCCTTCCAGCATAACTCCGTTCTGTTCTCGTCAGCAAGGGTTTTTGACCTCCCATGAGGGATTAAACACACCAAGTACGGCATCTGCTCGAGTTGCACCAATGATGCATTCCGCTCCGGGTCCAACGTGTTCAACTCTTCCATCAGCTTCTTCATGATCGCTGGGTCATTCAGAAGGTAGAACGTGATGTAGCTCATCGCCTTGGCCGTTGTCTCTGCTCCAGCTGACACTAGAATCTGCATCTCCTGCGCCAGCCGTTCAGCGCTCTTGTCCTGCTCCGGCAGACTGCTACCGAGGATGTCGTGGAAGAAGGTCTTTTGTCGGTAACCGTCGTTCACTTTCTCAGAATCAAATTTCTGGCGGTAGTCTGCAGTGATGCCCCGAATCATCGTTCGACACCGACGCTGGAACGCGAAAAACAACTCCATCCCGGGGTTCAACCACGCCGTCAACCGTTCCGGCATCGCGAACAGCACGGGCAGGATCCAGGCAATGGGCCGAAAGAAGACCAACGTCTTGGCCGTTCCCATCATAGTATGATTCCATGCAGGGATAAAGTCCGGTTCGTCAAGATAGTGGTATCTGTCACCCATGGTGTAATCGGTGATCACGTCTGTCGTAAAGCAAGTATAGGGGTACTCGATGTTCACCGGACGGCCCGTCTCCTTCCATTCCTCCAGACGACGACAAAGCTTGTCGAGCAGTGACCGCAACGCGGGTTCCTGCTGGCGGATGCGAGCCGTGGAAAAGAAAGGGTTCATCTGCGAACGCAACAGACGGTGTCGGCTGTGCTCGATAGCATTGATGACGGCAAGAGGGGCTCCGAACGGGCGCTGGTAGTACTCATACTTGTTTCGCGGCGTGTCACGGGCGTAGAGGACTTCGTAGTAGTCAGGGTCATTGACGTGCAGCTCGTCAGGACTGATACGCACAATCGGACCATACTTCTCGTGCAATCGACCGATATGAAAGGTGAACTGGCCGCAGCAGATCGTATCGTAGTAGAATTCGTACAGCGAGGTCAGCGCCGCCAGACGAGGACCGGGGAAGGAAGCAATTGGTGACAGCCAGAGTCGATACACGACAACACCCAAGACGTACGCCGTAACCAGCACAATCGCACTGGTATACGGATGTGCGAGGACCAGACGCAGCAATTCCATGGTAGTGGTTCTGCGTGCAGTGGTGAGGTGCTAATGCGTCCGTTGCATTTTCTTTTCTAACGTCTTCTTATTCTGCAGAAACCACATTGGGAGCTTGGGCCTTCCGTTAATAATGCCAGTGTTGCTAGTTAATTGGAACTAGGGCGTGGCAACCACCACTAGGATGCCTTTCCGCTCGGAGCGAAGCTGCCAAATTGGGTCGATCAACGGTGGATGACTGTTGGGAGCCGTCCGACTGGCAGCCGGTGTCAGCACAGGCCACGAGATTCTTCAGTTCCATTCAATCCCGGCAGTCAGGGATGGGACTTTGGTCGGGAAACGTTACGGAGTCACACTACGACTACTGCCACGTCGACTGCTGGTGCAACTTGACAAATTTGATTAGATATTCTGGATTATGAACCTATATACAGGATTCAGACCGGACATCCCTGTTCCATCACGCGTTGCGAAGCTGTTTAGCAGTTCTTGCTCTAGTACTTCTTGACGTACAAAGGAGTCTTCTGGAACTGGCCTTCGCCAGCGCCGAGGTAGTAGATCTTCTGGGCACCGTCGTCGCCCTGGACAGCGAAGGCCTGCTCGCCGTTGAAGGTGAAGTAGCCCTGGTCGTTGACACCCCAGCCGTTGATGTTGGCACCCTCCGGGGTGGCACCGGAGTGGGGAACGGTAAAGGCGATGGGCTTGTTGGCGTTGGTGATGGCGTACAGGTTTTGCCAGCCGGTGGGAGTCTGATCGTCGGCAGTGTAGGTCACCGCCGAGCCCTGGGAACTCTCTGCGCCGCCGTGGACTATATCGGTTCAGTATCTTTGCGGATCGGGAATCTTCAGGACGGTCACTTACGGACGAGAATCTTCTTGTCGTCGGTGCTGCCGCCGACGTAGGCGTTGGCTGGGTCGTTTTAGCATGCCATCGGATCTGCGTTGTTAGGGGGAGGGGGGGATCACTTACAGCCATCAGTGAGGACGGTCTTGCCACCATCAGCGACGAGAGTGAAGGCCTCAGGGAGAGAGGCAGCCACGGAAGCAGCGATGAAGGAGGTAACGGCGGCGATGGAGAGCTTCATTGTGAATGGAAGGTAAGGTGACTTGAGAATGTTCTTCTTGTCTTGATTGCTTGAGTTGTAGTGGATTTGGGATGCTTTGTTGTTTTGGAACACCGGCTTATTTATACCTGATGTTCTGGTCGGTACCTTGTTGACCAGATATCCGATGTTGACTTCATTGCGGATAGGGCGATGGATCCATGTCTCAGAACTATGAACCACTCAACTCTCTTGGTCCAGCTGTCCTGGTTGATTGCCTCGAAATGACCGAGGAAATTATCCGGTCACCGCTGGTTCAAGCACGTTGCCATAGAGCATCGCAATACAGAGTACACAGCACGGAATATGTATCAAGGACCATTATCCAGACTGAAGCTAGTTTCACTTGTTCAGTTATTACCATTGATAGCAATCACAGCCTTCGACCGTTGCCAATTTCAACGCCTCCAACTACCCCTGATGATCTTCCGATGTTTACCCTCTGTACATCCGGATGCAAGATTGTTCAGTGCGGTCGCCATATACGGAGTATGTGCATCTCATTTGATTAACTGTCTGGGTATCATTGATTTCCGTAGCAAAATACTTCTCTTCGCGGCAGCGTACAATACCATTCAATGATGCAATTCACGTCTGTCAAGACGTCCGAATCATGCATCGCGGAGAAATAACGGTCAAGCCGGAGTATGTATCCAATGTCTCAGCACGGCCAGGCGATCTTCCGAGGCGGTGCAGTTCCATGATTTCTCGAAGGCAATGGGAATCTCGCAATCCAAGACAGCGCTAACCGTCCTTTGCAATGATTTGCAATTTAAGGCTGTGTTGGTAACATATCACGGAATAATTGCCGGCACTTGGCAGCCTCACAATGGTAATCTTGGGCACCTCGCCCTTTGTCGGTCCCATGCGTGTCTCACTGACAGCACAGACTATGCGGAAATAGCGCATACCGGGTATGCGAAGTACCTTGAGTTTCTGTGTCGTTCCGATGTTTACATCCCGTACAACAACTACATGGGGAACTCGCAGTCTACGAGAGGGATTACATCTACGGAGTAATATATGATTAGAGGATGGACGAACGGTTTAGCTTTCAAGGATAACGAAGTAACTGGCCTCATATCCAGATGAACTGAAGTGATTTAGTCGGAGGTGACTTCCAAAGACGAGGCCAAGGCAGTAGTAGTATGTAGTCACTTTTCATTTTCTATACATGTCCTCGCGGTCACCTTACTTGCGACAGAGTACAATACAATCAGATCTGTCCTACGATTGATGGCCCTGGTGTCCCTGAGATTCCAGTCAGTTGAAGGGGTGGTGAGCTCTTGGGAACCTGGTGCTGCTGCTGACCGGGTGCCCCAGGAGCCGTGGGCCATCAGTGGCATCCCAGATCACGGCATTCTCACATCGCTTTGCTGGCGATTCGTGCTCAGTGGCTGCATCAGCATATCGGCCACAAGGCCGTCCGTTGAAGGTTTTAACGAATGTTCAACGAAAACCTCATTATTAGTGCCATTATTAACAGGGTTGCGTTCCTGGGTCTGTCAAGAAGGCCCAGGTTGTCAAGGAACGTGACAGTGGAAGCATCCATATCCTACCCATTGCAACTGTCCTGCGCATGGAGAAAGTACCCACAGAGTTTTCTCTTTCTTGTTATGATAGTGTGCCTCTTTGGTTGTTTATTTATACAAAGGGCCGGTGTTGTTCGAATTAAGAGAAAAAGACCGATTCCGGGCCTGAAATATATGGGCCTCTTAATGGCTGTATGTAGAATTAACGAGCTTTGCTTCCATCGCACCTCTTCAGGTATGCCATGCTACAACTATCAAGTAGTTTGGAGTTAACCATGAGTGGATATGCGAAATCGCAAAGAGCTGTGTCGGTGTATATATGTCTGCGTAGTTATATTTCTTTTACCTGGTACACTATAGAAAGCAATGCTCACGCAAAATAAAAATTAGCACGCATCGTCAATCATCAACAAATTCTCGTAGCCGTGTATGTATCAATCGATCCACTCGCACAATCTCAGTCTTGAACCGTATACAACCAATTAAACCCACTTGACCATTCTAGCAAAAAGACTAAATCCTCCCAACAAAGTCGTAAACCCGGTGAAGACAATAAGCACGCCGTACCCACTGCCGTAAGCTCCTCCAACGGTCCCCTGCCACGGATGTCCGTTGATGAGGGCGGAACTCAACGGCCCACTGAGGATGTTCCCGATACCGCGGCCGGCCTCGAGGAAAGAAAAGACCATGCTGAGGTCTGCCGATGGCTCCGTCTTTTCCACCTCGAGTGCAACGACGGACCATGTCGACGAGAATGCCCCGGCAAAGAGTCCATACAGAGAGGAAAAAAGGAACAGCACACCGATATTAACAGACAATCCCCAGACGAGGAATACAGAGATCACTGCCCCAACAGTCGATACCATTATGCAGTTCGTGACGTGGTAGCGGTCTGTCATGTATCCCATAATGGCGCAGCCGATGACGGTGGTAAAGTTGAAAAGCACCACGGTGAGTGATGCCAGAATACCGTGAGTTCCAATCGCAGCAGCGTGTGAGGGAAGAAAGACAGCCGGGAGGAAATACCCGAGCGCCTCAATGATGTTCGCCAGCTGGTAGATAATATACACCCGGTTGAACTGGAATTTGAGGTTTAAGCTATGCCGGGTCGATGTACGCGTCGGAATGCGAGGCTTTAGGAAGAAAAGAAACGGTCCACCTAGAAGAAATAGGCCCACGGAGGAGACGCGGAGCGTGGTCTCCCATCCGTATCGATCCAGCAAAGCCTGTATGGCAATTGGGAAAACCATCCCAGTGAGTCCAGAGCCACCCTGCAGCTGTTAGAATGCGGCATTTCCGATTCCAAGGACAAGAACCTACCCAGACCAGTCCGAATGCGAACCCCCTTCGTTTGACGAACCATTCGGTTGTAAAGATGATAGCCGGCGTAAAGGCCAGACATCCTCCGATTCCGTATAACACACCCTGAGACAGTGCTAAATGCGTGACGTTCGTTGCGTACGAGCTAGCAGCGAGCGACAAGCTCATCATCACCATCCCAATAGTCGATAACCAGCATTGTATCCGGGGCCACGCAATCATAAGGCCAATGACGAAGGGTGTCAGGAAATACGCGAGACCCTACTCATGGTTAGAATATACCGAAAAGTCCCAGGTTCCACGTATACTGACTGTCGCGCATGTTCCGATAATTGCAATGTTGCCGGAGCCTTCGAAAGGCGCATGGGTTTGGTAGTATTCTTGGAATACCCCGAAGGAGGAGGCATAGCCTGCTGCTGTATCAGTAGTGTACTTTAGCATGGCACATTTGCTAACATACCCCAGACAAGACCTTCAATCACAAAGGCCGCAACCAGGAACATCCAAGCACCGACACCTCTGTCGACAGGGGGCAGCTGAGACTCCTCTTGAGACAGAACCTCGTCCGAGAGCTCAGACACAGGTTCCGAGGTTGAACGGAAAGTTATGGCTTCTTTGGTTGAATAGTCGCGCATCTCGGCCATGGATTGCTGCAGTTCTCAAGAAGAATATGAAAACGAGCAAAAAGGTAAGTATGAAATCTTCAGGTATAAAAGGCAAGGCTTTTATAAGCATATGAGCTGCCCAAGGAAAAATAAAATAAAATAAAATAAAAATCAATAGAGCCCCTCCGGATGACGTTCAGGCCAAGCAAGCTTGGGATGCAGCCTGCTCACCCCCAAACAGCCTTTGCGTGGCCATTCCTCATCGTCTGTGACTTGGCCTTAGTTTGCCATGGCGTCAAGATGATACTAGAAAGTACTCCGTACGGACCATAGCCAATCCATCTCTGCAAGCTTTGGGCGCCTATGAGATATGTCCGTGCTGCCTGGTATGTAGGGTACTGCCGATCTCATGGGGCCTTTGGTATGCATAATCGAGCCCTAGTTGCTCGGATTTCGATCTAGTAAAGCCTAACGGTCGCGGGTCAGGAAGTATCGGCCGGTACGGAGTAGAGATTCCGGATCGACGATACGGGAGTTGCTCAAGGTCGTGCGGAATTCCAACGCAACATATTATTTGAACGCTGGTGCATTATTATTCGAGCCACATGTGCTCCTAGTTGCACCAAGTTATAGATGGGCTGGCTTCACGGCAACAGGTCCTGCGACTTGTCCTGTCGTTCCAATTACTGATCAGCGGTGATTAGTGAGCTGCTTTGGTCCAGGCTCTGGAGCGTTCGGCGCATTTCTGTCCAACCGGAATTCAACCCCCAGCCTCCTGTTTCCGTGGAGTCACATCAACATTCTTGTCGACTGGCGGATTTGCCTTGGTTCTGCGCTGGTGTAGATAAGCGGATCTGGACCCGTGATGGAGTATACTCCGTGCACTCCTGTAGCAAACTGAATGATAATACCGCGTGTCAGGAGGAATCATGGAGAATGAGGGGAATTATCCCGGACTTGCATGTTTGCCCTTGAAGAGGAGAATTCCACATTTCCTGAAATAGGACCTCCGTAACCTAAAATTTGACAGACCGGTTTACCTGGATCTCGTGAAGTATTCAACGATCGAGAGAATGATGTAACTTTATTATTAGCCGCGTTGGTCGTGACTCAACAGAAGCCAATGGGATTCCAACCGTTGAGCGTCTCAGCTGTCATCCACTTTCATTGTTGTCTCGGTTGACAGCTGACTGGCGAAGGTTTTCGACATGAATACATGAATACCTGGTGATAATTCTACAGAGGTATGACTGAGTGCGACAATATCTTTTTTCATGCACATGGTCTGATCATGCACAGGTCCGACTTGAAGGTGAGAGGTTGTGTCGTTTCTCGGGCTAGGACACGGTGTACATGACTTCTCACCCAAGCGTATAACTACCCGCGTTAAAGCAAAAGTCTAGGGTACTCTCCAAGATCTCCGGAAAGCGAATAGGGTCCCGTTCATATGGTCAAAGAGCCAAACGTCTAGTGTGTCGTCAATTGATGCTCTGTCATATGACACACCTTGCATGGGCTCGGGGTATTACACCCAATTGGAACAAGGCAGTTCTATGCACTTTGAAGAATATGAGACAAAATGGAGTCAGATCGCGATCCGGCATCATGGAACATCATGTCACCAAAAGTTCCGAGGCATACTGAGACATTTCTCCAGTGGGTTATGCGGAGATATGACGTTGCATGTTTCAGATTGTGACTGAAACGCTGAGTGATATCAGGGCAGTTCCTGTGTCCTTGGGCCCGAGACAAGGTTATACTCGGCAGAAGGTAAATCTGGGGGTGATCAAGGAGGCTGCAGAGTTGTCCGTTGCCACGACTGCACGTTGGTGAGTAAGCCAGCTTCGAGTATCAGAGAGATAGAGACTACCAGTTCCAATCAATGCTTAATCAAAGTGCCTCTGTATAGGGGTAGTGTCTGTAGGATTAGAGGCAGCTGTGAACATTCGAGGTCTGTCGTTCAAGTGCAGTTCCAATTGGGAAAGACCAGTGACTCCACGGTCCGATATTGATCCGAAGGGGGTGGACTACAGACTACTTGGACATCTCCAAATTTTGTTATAACCTTCTGAATATTGTGTGGCGATACAATCTACAATGTTGCTCTTTTCATCCTGCACATGGTCATTTGGCAATAATAATCATTCGCAGAATATGTACAACCGGAAATGAAATCACTTCTATGAACATGCATTCGTACAAATCATAGTTCACCCGCATCCTTCCCAAGCTCAGCCTCGACGACGAGACTATATCGCGCGAACTTGCTGCGCGCCCGAATTCTCTCGCCATAGAAGATGAACAGCGGAGGAACAGCGCAGAACAAAGTGGCCACGATGGCAAGGATGGAAACGGCAATGTTGGATCCCAAATTATGGAACATCTGGGGCGTGAACAGTGGAAACACGCCGGAGAGCAATGCCCGTAGGAACTGCACTGCAGCTGTCCCACTGGCCGAGTAACTCAGGTAACTATCTGCCAAGTAGCCCTGCAGTACTGTGTCGAACTCATTGAGAGCGTATCCGATAAACGCCAGAGCAATCGTGGGAACAATCCAGTGAACATCGTGAACCTTGGGCGGGATGGTCCAGGCCAGCCACCAGAGCCCACCGGCAAAAGCAGCCGCCCCGAGAGCGAGGCCGACCAGCTTGTCCTCGGGTTTAACGGGCCGGCCCTGACGGTGTCGCATCTCAAAGATATACTCATCTAGCCAACGAGTGAGAGTACTGAAGCAGACACCTACGGCAATAGCAAGGAACGCTAACGAAGCCTGAGTGCTAGAGAACCCCATGGACTCATAAATAATTTCAATGGCCTCAGTGAAGATATACAACAGACCAAAGGCCACGGCAGTCATGAGAGCAACAACGAAAACAACAGGTTCTGTGAAAAAGAGCTGGGCAGGTCGGAAGAGCGCGTCTTTGGCGAAGGTCTGGAAATCTGGGGCATGGTCATGGTTCAACGGCTGGAGCTTGTGTCCCGTTTCACGGGAGATGGCTGCAACTTTGTAGGAAAGGAGATATGAGGGTCGAGATTCTCGGATGAGGCAGAGGAGGCCAGTGAGGGCGGCGATCATGATGGCAAAGATGTAAAAGATCCAACGCCTATTTCCGCATTAGCATGGTTCCGTGACGCCAAGAAGAGCAAGCATACCAGCCCAATCCAGCAATGATATGTGTACCCATAATGGGCCCAATAATCAATCCGCAATTCGAGGCAACGGTCCAGCCGAAGATGACCCAAATACGTTCACGCGAATTGAACAGGTCTTCTGTGCTTCCGCTGGCCACGGTGTACGGAATGGCGGAGAGCAAGCCCGCAGCAACACGGGCCACAATGACAGCTGCTATATGGGGAACGACACCGACGATAACACAGCAGATACAACTCAGTGCGGAGCTGATAATATACAACTTCTTGCGGCCAAAAGTCTCAGACCAGGGAGAAAGAACGATGGATCCGACCACCTGCCCAAGAAGAAAGCTGCTCTTGTCAGCTGAAGTGATAGCAAATAACCGGATGGCAATGCTTACACTGTGACGAAGCAAAAGGTCGACAGAGTCTGACCCATGTGATATTCATGACGGGCTACTGAAGCGGCCGAGGACTAATCCGTTAGACTTTGCTTCTGTCAAAATAATGGACGAAACTTACTCCTGCCGTACTCGAAGCAGTTCTATATAAGATCAGTCAACTGGTCGGCCAACACTTCGGGAGAATGCCATACAGGAAGAGATCCAGAAAGAAGATGATCGAAATATCATAGACCCGGCGAGGCAACGGCCAATTGCGAGGGTGACGTTTGTTATCTCGTCGCCAGCGTACCAACTGACCATCTGGGGTGAATTCGAGCTCGTGCTCGGAAAGGACCGCTTCAGCGCAGGATGGTTCCGGTTTGACAAAATCCGTCGAGTCTGAACTGCTCATGATGTACTGCACTGAAAGAGATAAAGACCGACTGGAATGTGGGTGGTCATTGATTTATATACATAAGTTTGTCTCAGGTAAGGGGCCGGTTGCACAAAGGCATTCCAGCCGCGTACTCTCTCCATAGAGTCAGTCGGCTGGATCAAGTCCAGGTCAAGCTTTCTCAAGCTTTGACGTACCATGGGTTGCGAATTGGAGACAACGCATCACAACCGGTCTGGGCAATCATGGGGATCTTCTGGTCGATCATTGAGGATTGTGTGCTCGAATTTCGTCATATCTGATGCATCCTACAGGATTAAGGCGATGGCGCAGGAACTGCTAGGTGTTCCATGTTAAACTACTGATGTACTATGTATCTCGGACGCAATGTCGATCTCGAATATGTGCTTGAAAATAGGTATGCGAAAGCATTCCTACCAAAGGATTTCTATTCTATTCAAGTAACATTCAATACAGACACACGATGAACATTGGCCACCACCGTTCAGAACCAGAAAACACCAATGAACTGTCCTTCAATCCGGTCTCCGGTTCAACCAATCACAGTTTCCTTCTCGGTTAAGCGACTTGCGGTAAAAACCATGACCAATTGTTGGCCTGTGATTCGTACCCCTGTCTACGTACCTCACTGTCTCACGGAGAACGTTCCATTCGCTTTGAATCAACCCTTAACCTTCGAGGCCAGGAAGCTAGCAGCCTCACCGGCGTTTGCGCCGTAGGTCAAATGGGCCGCGGTCACGACCAGCGTGCCGTCGCAGACCATGTCTCCGAGAGCGCAGAACACCTTGACCTGGTCCTTGGGGTAGTTGGGGATCTGGCCGTGGTCCTGCAGGTTCCGAGTGAATCCGAAGAGCACCACGCCCTTGACCTTGTTCTTGATGTCGTCGTCGAGCTTCTGGATGGCGTTGTCGATGACAGCACTTCCTTGACTGCAGATGGTCAGCATGCAGCGTTCTAACATCTCGACGGCAGAAATGACGCATACCTGTATCCTCCGGCAACGATATTAGCCTTCGGGCACTTGCTGGATGCATCCTTGAACATCTTGACCGCCTCGTTGATCGCGCCCGGGTCGGTGTTCTGCGGCAAAGCGTTCTGCACCAGACCACCCGAGTAGGCGCCTCCCACGCCCTGGCAGCCCACGGAACCCAGATCCTTCTGCAGGTTTTGGCAGACTGGGGGTCCGACGACGGTTCCCTATGGGTGGAGACACCTGTCAGCTTTTGCTTTCATTCCGCAGCAAGAGAAGTTGACAAGTCTATCTTACCATGTTGCCAATCTCGGTCGAGCCGCGGGCAAAGATAAACATTGTGTCCTTGCAGTTGCCCTGCTCGACATCGTTGGAGCTGCCGAGAAGCTGACGGACTTCCAGGTCGGCAGGCTGGGGGACGGGAGTAGCCACTGCCAGCGAGAGCAGGGCAGAAATGAGGACGGACTTGAGCATCATGGTGCCTGTATTGGAGTGATAATCGACGACTGCTTGAGAAGGTCAAGGACTGGATTGGTTTGCTCTTCAAAACATTGTCCTCTGGATCATGTTGATGGCAGTATTTATAGTGAGAATCATGTCGTTCTCTAACTCCCAGGCCCGTTCACGAGAACACAAAATTGGGAACCCGGAGGCCATTAGTGCCGATCATCCCAAGACAGCAGAATTAGTGCTCAAAATGATCTCCTCCCCGGACGCTGTGTTTCAGCTTGACCTTTGCTGAACCACCGGTCATTGCACAAATTATGTGATGCCCTTGACAGCGCCGTATGATATCGAAGTTGAGATGTTGACTACAAACTTGACTACACAAACAACAGAGAACCCTGCTCATTGCATGCTACTAGAGTATATCTCTGAACAATCTCGAGAATGAACCTCTCAGTATCAGATCAAATACTGAGTATATTTCTACCGGCATCGCTTCCAAATCGGGTTAGTGCCATAGTTCTGTCACATTTTTGAGACTTTCCAAAATTCAATCTGGTCTCTTTTTTGTTTCAGAAATAAGATTCTTTTTCCGGTCATTGGCACTTGTCAGCCCGGGGAAGGTGCCAATTCTGTACCTGTTCGAATTTTCTGGTTCTTCGATGGGTAATGGCATTGGCCGGGCTACGAGAAGGTTAATGTTCGGGCTGACTCCCACGATGAACCACGAAATTAACGGCTATCGGGTTAATCGGAAATAGCAGTCGTTCGTTCTTTGTTTCCTTCTTTTCGTTCCGTGCCCACATGGCGAGGGGAATCGCCGGCACTGGCCTCCCTACGATAATCTACCCCAGAGGAGCCTTCGGGCCCTGTACACGGTTCAGGCACCAGTGATTCAGACGCCATGATTCTTGGCCAATTTACTCTCTGACAGACATTTGTTTGAGATGTGCGATTGCCTCGGTTTGTACGTGTCGGCAGTTGTGAAGCGAGGTCCAGTGCCTTGCAGAGTGCATGTGCCATGCGATTATGAATGCCTTGACACGCAACTAGAGTGGAAATATAATGTCTAGAACGTCGCTCTCGGCTTCTAACACGTTCAATTGCCGTTACCCTTGTCTACTCTGCCTCCTCCCGGAACCAAGGCCATACGCACCGATTCTTACAATGCATCGGCACGAGATTTATACGCCTTCGTACGATGTCGGGTTGAAGTAGGTCTGTCCTTTCGTGCATACTGCATAGTGAGCGGGGACGTATTCTGCAAGGTGTGTGCTCAAAACGAAATGCTTTTTTTGCAGCTATACAGACGTTTTAGATAGATTCTTTCTCTATGCAATTATATATATAAGTATGGCCATGTAGCCCTGTATTCGTTCCCTACATTGATTTATTGTCTTTCTTTACTATCGTCCATCTATCGTTCTGCCTCTGACATCGTACTTTCGTACGCCCGTTTTCGTCCGTAGTTGTCGGGACATCGGAGAAGTATCCATATTTCCCATGTGTATAGACCACGGCACTAGTTCTCCGGGAAGCAAGAAAGGAGAAAAAAGACACATCTATTGGAGATAAAAACGGCTTGCCCTGATAGCGGCTCAATCATCCTTGGTCTTCGTGCCTGTTCGAGAATAATCATCGAATAAAGGCCCATAAGCTTATGGTACAGCCCCACTTGCCTATCGGAATGGTATAGGTTATGATGCCGTCACGAAGACTTCAATGCATTGAACACATTGACATTGTTGCAAGAACAGACCCTGAGTCGGACAATACGCATTGGTTGGCCCCGATCAAGATCCAGAGCTGATCATGACGAACCATTGCGAACTTTCTGTCCGGTTACAGTCTGAATGATGTCAGTAACCTTGTTCCAAAACCCTAATCAGTATGACCCCGTGTACGTGTGCCTCGTAAAGCATACAAAAGACACTCGGCTTGCCTCTATCTGGCTGCATCTCTGCATAACATACAGAGTACTGTGAAGGCTTGCCATAGATCGGCCTCGGTTCGGATGGTCGGCATGCCGATTAACTACCGATACATTTGCCGATTGACTGTAGTGGAGGAAGCTAAATGCGGAAAGACCCAGTTGCCGCTGGCTTCACCAATCAGACTGACGTACATTGGGGGGGGGGTTCTTTCCATTTTGAGTCATTTTAGGTTAAAAATCTTATCGGTGGTGTGATTTCATTGCTGTCGGGGCTCATACACAAAACAGGCATGCACCGTTAAAGAAATGACACTGCACTTTTTCTTTTCTCCGTAGACGATTTGCTGGAAGACGCGCAGTAGGTGTGAATAGAGGGAAATCAGGAAATGGCGTCGTCTGGTAAAGATATCGAGGCCCCCAGACCGCAACGGATCCCATACTGGAGGGTTATTTTCGATCAAGGTGCCGTGACATCGGAAATCATCGAGTATCCCTATCCTGGAAACGGCACAGACGATGAACCGTATATCGTCGACTGGATTCCCGACGACCCCCGGAATCCCATGCTCTTCAGCGAGACGACGAAATGGGGATACACCATCGTCGTCGCCCTTGCAACTTTTGCAGTATCGCTGGCCTCGTCTGCCTATGCCGGAGCCATTCAGGAAGTCACCGAGTCGTTCGGAATCGTCCAGGAAGTCGCCACGTTGGGTGTGTCGCTGTTCGTCCTCGGATTTGCCTTGGGTCCCTTGATCTGGGCACCGTTGAGTGAATTGATCGGTCGTCAAATCGTGTTCTCCTTCACCTTCTTTGCGCTCGCCGCATTCTGTGCCGGTGGCGCAGGTGTGCAGAACCCCTGGTCGTTGATTATCCTGCGGTTTTTTGCTGGTTCGTTTGGATCTTCGCCGTTGACCAATGCTGGTGGTGTTATTGCCGATATCTTCACGGCGGATAAGAGAGGACTGGCCATGAGTCTGTTCGCGGGAGCGCCATTCTTAGGTGAGCATTCTCGGAATCTTTCAAAGGAGAATGAATACTGATATTGTAGGGCCTACCCTTGGTCCCGTCATTGGTGGTTTCCTCGGCCAAGGCGCCGGCTGGCGATGGGTGCAGGGCTTCATGGCCATCTTCAGCGGTCTCACCTGGATGCTGGGCAGTGTCCTAGTCCCCGAAACCTACGCCCCTCTTCTCCTTCGCAAACGCGCACAGCGACTCACCAAAATCACCGGCCACGTATACTGCAGCAAGCTGGATCTCGAGCGTGGTGAGGTGTCCATCGGTGATGCCTTTGGAGCTGCTCTGCTGCGTCCGTGGATCCTATTGTTTGCCGAACCGATCGTCCTGTCGTTATCCATCTATATGGCCATCGTCTATGGAACGCTTTATATGCTCTTCGATGCCTATCCGATCGTCTTCCAGGAGATCCGTGGTTGGAGTGAAGGGGTTGGCAGTCTTCCATTCTTGGGTGTTATGGTTGGCATGATGATCGCTGTCATTGGCAACATGTGGGATAACAAACGCTATGTTCGCGTCAACAAGCAGTACAACGGCTTCGCACCACCAGAAACTCGCCTAGTTCCGACTATGATTGGCGGTCTGGCGGTACCGATTGGTCTTTTCTGGTTTGCCTGGACGAACGGGACGAATGTGCATTGGATCGTGAGCATCATTGCCGGTGCACCATTCGGATTTGGCATGGTCCTTGTCTTCCTCTCCATCATGACATATCTCGTCGACGCATACACTATCTACGCTGCATCCGTGCTGGCCGCGAACTCGGTCATCCGTTCCTGCTTCGGTGCCGGATTTCCGCTGTTCACCACGTACATGTACAACAACCTGGGCATCCATTGGGCGTCGTGCATCCCCGCCTTCCTTGGCGTGGCATGCCTGCCTTTCCCGTTCCTGTTCTACCGGTACGGCCCGCAGATTCGGCGGCGTTGCAAGTACGCCGCCGAAGCGGACGATTTCAAGCGCAAGCTGATGGAGAATGCTGTGCAGCCGGAGGAACCCGTCTCCAAGGACAAGGTTGACGGTGCAGTTGACGAAGATCATGTCGATGACGGTGATTCCATCCGTACTGCGTCGACGGAGCAACAGAACGAGGCCATGTACCAGGAGAACCCGTACGATATCGACCGTGTCAACACGCGGAACTCGGCCATCACACAACGGTCGCGCTCCAGGTCGACCCGAAGTCGGCGCAAGTCATTTTTCCGTTTCTAAAAAGTTGCTTTGCATTGGGAGGTTGCTGTTTGCTTGTCTAAAAGTTCAATACCCTTGCTTTCGCTACTATCATGCAGAGCGAGTTCGTGCATCAGTACTTTACATAAACATGTATACCACGTCTTATGTTAATAATTAATGCTTTATTCATCTAATGCGAAATCAATCGCGCATACTAATATGTATAATCTATTCGTAACATCATGCAAACGTGCCACATTTAAAAGTCAGCCGGCTCCGGCAGCTTCGATGGGCTGTCACGGTACTCGTTGGTGATCAGGTGCTTGAAGCTGGGCGACCAGTCAACACGAGGGGTGAGGATGTCCAAGTTCCAGAGCTCAGACACGAACTTGAGGATGGAGGTGTGGGTGAAGTCACCAGACTCGTCAGTCGGGCGGTTTTGCACGAGACCCTTGCCCACCCAGGGGGACATGAGGACGGTAGGCACACGGACACCCAGCCGGTCAAAAGCGAACGAGAACGGCTTGCCGTCACCAGCGGTCTCGGTGTAGGTGAGGTCGTCACCAGCGGGCACGTTTTCGGGAGGCGAGACGTGGTCAGCGAATCCACCGTGCTCGTCAAAGGTCAGGACAAACAGGGTCTCGTTCCACTGGGGACTGTTGCGGACCGCCTCGTAGACGCTCTTGATGAAGCCTTCACCCATGTTGATGGGGGATGGCGGGTGGAAGGACATGTACGAGCAGCATTCGGGGTTGATCCAGGTGAACTGAGGGAGGGAGCCGGATGCAGCGTCCTTGTAGAACTGATCAAGGGGCTTGACGTTGGTGTCGGCCTTGCCGGACTTGGCGGTCCATTCGTAGAACTGGGCATCGGGCAGGAAGTCGGTGGTGTTGGAGTAGTTGATCCAGCTGATGCCGGCATCCGACAGCTGCTCGAAGACGGATTTCTGCGGAAGCGACGAGGTCAAAAAGTCGTTGTCGTTTTCACCGTGACCGTGCGAGGTACCCGAGGTCAGGTACGCCCGGTTGGGGTTGGTCGGGCCGGGGACGGAGGCGAACCACCGGTCGAACAGAACAAAGTTTTCCGCCATGGCATTGAACACGGGGATATGCTCAGGGGTATAGTAGTTAATCACCTCCGCGGCGCGCTTCTTGTTCGCGTCCGGGTAGGACCGAATCTGCTCCGTGACGAAGCCGCGCATGTCGGGCGCATCGTCAGAAGACGGGTGGTCATAACCGTAGATCTGCATGTTGCCGCCAGCAATACTGTGATCCGGGTCATCGGGGGCCACGTTCTTCGCGATCGGTTTAGCGCAGACGACCGGCGAGTTGGGGTCGGTGATATTAGTCGGATTGCAGTACTCGCGGTTGGCCAGACCGTCAATAGTGGAGTTGTAGGTCAGACCACCAGCGAAGTTGTCAAACGACAAGTTCTCCTGGACCAGCACAACCACATTCTTGATGGGGTTATCCAAAGAAGAAGAGGAAGAGGAAGTAGCGGGCTGGGTTTGGGGGACGGCAACGGCACCGAGGCCGAGCGACAGCTGGAGAACTCTAGTGAGCGAGCGAATGCTCATTGTGACGGCAGTGCTAATGGATTCGGCGGTTAAGTCCATCTTTCTGGATTGGCAGATACTTGGGGGCTTTTATAATGGGAGACACTGAGTCGGGGAAAGAAGGTGAAGCCATCGCGACTTCTGAAAGAACATCCGAGGTGCCAACACGTGCAGCTGCCCCGTGACACAATTGCTTGATTCGGATAGCCATCAGTGGATCAGGCGCACGGGGGGGGTTCAAGGCCAGTCCTGGTGCATTGTGCGGAGAGAGACCTATATTATTGGATATAAGCACAGTCTGAAAGTCAAAGAAGGAATAGAGTAACGGGATGCATCCGGTTCAAGTGGACCGGTTGCCCAGATGATCAGGACACGGGCTGTCATTGGCCTGTGCCTTAGCATATCAAACATACCGCTTTAGGAAGGCACTCAGCACGGAAACAGCATACATGCACACCTGTTTTGCTTATTTCGGGTGATTTTTCGTGTTTTAAAATAGAAAATACATAGTAGAATAAACTCCCGCAGGCCAGCTATCCATAGATATCCATTACCCTGTTATTGTGAACCTCGGGCATACGGATCCATACTGTCTGAGCGTGCCGAACAATCTCCACGGGTGTGATTATCTTGGTCCGCTGCATCGCGTGCACTCTAATGAATAGCCAGTGAACTGCGCGGGCTCGTTCACGGGGCCTATATCACTCACCCGATCATTCATCACCACCAAGACCTATTGCAAGCGTCCTCGGCACCACATCCGGCTACTTCGGGATTGGCTCCACGGGCATTGTTCTGGCCAGCAGTTCGGCGAATGCAGGAGAGTCAAAGAGGACGAAGTAGGCCGTGATCGGAGAAAACATTCATGGTGGTTGATTTGTTCTGTCACAAGTGGAATGACCGATCTGACCGGGAGATTAGTGCTATCTATGCAGTATCTTGTGCTTGTCGGTATCATCCAAAAATTCATTGTCGAGGCAGCTGTATGACGGGCAATGCAGCCTGAATGCAAATGTGACAAATCTCCTATACCTATCATGGCTACTTTACACGACAGAGTTCAGTCACCGACAGACGTACTCCTTACAGCATTTGAGACAGATATGGTAGATAATAGCATATTTATATGCACCCCAGACCTCAGATCCTGCAAGGAGAGAGGCGATCGTTGTCCGGTTGCCATTGAGTCGGATGTCGAGATGGCGCGGACAGGATCAGCCTTGCATTAATTACGAAGTGCACATCTTCTTGGCCGGGCGATCTAGCAATGCCAACTAAGCAGCTGGAGAGGTACCAGTTGTGATCCAAACAAAGCACGGAATAATGAAAAGGAGTGTATCAAATTGAGCGCTATCTATTTTACAAATCCACAAACTCTCCCGTCAGCACCTGGCCTCTGGCCAGCTGGTCCAAGTAGCCAGCCACCTTGTTCGTCATCACATCGGTCTCGTAGCCGAAGAACTTGTACGCAGCCTTGCCTGGCAAACTTTGGCCAAACCGTCTAATGGAGATACCTGCGTCCGCGTACCGCTCCCAGCCATTGGGTGCATAAGGTTCGATAACCACCGCAGGAGTACCGGCGTGGCGCTGGAGAACACTCCGCTTGTACTCGACTGGCTGCTGCTCGAACAGTCGCTGGCAAGGGAAACTGACCACGCGGGCGGCGATGCCACGGGTCTCCTTGAGGCGCTGCCCGACATCCAGCGCCAAAGAAAGTTCCGCGCCCACGCCGACGATGGTCACCTTGGCATCGCTGTTCTCCTCCAGAACGTAAGCACCGCGGGCGACACCATCCCGACGTGTTTGCTTCAGCTGAGGCAAAGTATGCCGTGAAGTAGAGATGATCGTCGAAGTGTGCTTGGCCTCGATGGCGGCGATCCAGGCACCTGCCGTCTCGTTGCTGTCGCCAGGTCGAATGTACAACAGGTTAGGCATGGCTCGATAGAGCGCAGCCAGTTCGATGGGCTGGTGTGTTGGTCCATCTTCACCCATACCGATGGAGTCGTGAGTGGCGACATGGATGACTTGAAGGTGTTGGAGGGCACCCATTCGCACAGCCGGCGCAGCGTACAGGTAAAACATGAAGAAAGAAGATGTGACGGGGACAATGGTGTTCGGACCATATGCGGCCAAGCCGTTGGAGATGGCGGCCATGGCGTGCTCACGAATACCATAGTGGATGTAGCGGCCGGAGTAGTTGCCGTTGATGTTACAGTTGGTGCGTAGGTCAGGCTGTTCACTCAGTTAGCATTGGCGAAACCGTAACATAGGAAGAAGAGCACTTACGTGTTGAAAGTCCACCTTGTCCTTCCAGATCATGTTAACCGAGGGCGACAGATCTGCCGTGCCAACCATGAAAGTAGGAACATTCTGCGCAAGGGGGTTGAACACGAGTCCAGACGATGCTCTCGACGCTGTTGGCTTCTCGGGGAAGCTGGTCGGAATCAATTCCTTCCAGTTGGGGGGCAATTCACCGCGCATCCGGCGTTGAAACTCAGCGCCCAACTCGGGGTATTGTGCTGTGTACCGTTCCATGAGTTGGTTCCATTCTTGCACCAGCTTCTCTCCACGAGTCGGAAGGTCCTCGAAGAATTGTCGGACGGTGTCGCCAATGACAAAGTGCTCGTCTGGGTTGAATCCGTTCGCCTTCTTCATCTCACCCACGTTGTCGACACCAAAAGCGGCGCCATGGGCTGCTGCCTTGCCCTCGACGCTGCTGCCCAGACCGATGACAGTCCGGACGTTGATGAATGTCGGCTTGTCTTGCGATGCGCGGGCCTGCTCGAGGGCTCGCACCAGAGCCTCAATGTCGTAGCATCCGTCGTTGACATCAATCACGTCCCAACCGCACGCGCGCATCTTAGCGTTGACATCCTCGGTGTTGGTGAGGTCTACCGATCCATCGCAGGTGATCTGGTTGTTGTCGTAGATAACAGTCAGGTTGTTGAGCTTCAAGTGGCCGGCGAAGGAAATGGCCTCAAGGCCAACACCCTCCTGCAAACATGCGTCGCCAATCATACACCAGGTGTGATTGGACACCAGGTCGTACCCGGGCCGGTTGAACGTCGCACTAAGGTTCTTGTTGGCAATGGCGAGACCAACGGAGTTTGCGATACCCTGGCCCAACGGTCCCGTGGTCACTTCGATACCCTCGTGCTCGATCTCCGGGTGACCAGGGCACAGAGCGTCCACGCGGTCCGAGTGGTACGACTTGAGCTGTTCGAAGGTCATAGCCTTATACCCGGTGAGATGCAGGAAAGAGTATTGGAAGAGACAAGCATGTCCGTTGGAGAGAACAAATCGATCACGGTTGAAGTAATCCGGAGTGTGTGGTGCATAGCGCATCACGTATCGCCAGAGGGCGACGCCAATGGCCGCCATGCCGATGGCACCCCTGCCTCAATATTAGTATCTATATTCGATCATCGGTAATTTATTGTGATACTTACCCCGGATGTCCACCACCAAATTGCTGGCATAGATCCGCGACAAGCATTCGAAACGTCCCAAGGACTAGATCATGGTCCTTGCTTAGACGCTGCACCAGCGGCAGCGCAGTCTCACCAACAGGAACAGGTTCAATCGCCATTTTGTCTGTTTAGTTTGCTAGGATCAAGCCAGCAGACGAATGTCGTTTATTTATATCATAGCTCCGCCACGCAGCACGCATTGAGTAGGACCAAGCATTGTCCGTATCGGGTAACCAGAGGCAATGGTTACCATATTAGGAAAGCCGTGTACAACTGGTAGGAACCACATCTTCCCAGTTATAACTGCCGTTGGACAGTCAAAATATTTTCATTTCTTTTTTTCCCCGGAAACCCCAGAGTACCTTGGGAACATTTGCTTTCTCCATAGCCATGGCCCCCTCCATCGAAAGGGAACAAATTGTGCCCTCCTCCAAGCCCGGCATTATCCACACGTCGCTGCCCAATCCTTCATTACAGGTCACGGCCGATCACCGTTTGAAGCAAGTCGATGCTCCTGTCTATGCTCCAAAACGGGGAGAGGTCCTTCTGCAAGTCAAGGCCACAGGCATCTGCGGGTATGTCCTTCGTAGATAGTCATGAACATATCTGTTGATACTTGTTAAGGTCCGATATCCATTTCTGGAAGGCCGGTCGGATCCATACGCTGGTTTTTGAAGATGACTGTATTATCGGCCACGAAGCAGCAGGTGTTGTGCTGCAATGTGGTGAAGATGTAATGAACCTCCAACCGGGAGACCGAGTCGCTGTTGAACCCGGTGTCCCGTGCGAGCAATGCTTCCTCTGTGACGATGGCCGCTACAATCTCTGTGAGGATGTGCAGTTCGCCGGTGTCTATCCGTACAATGGCACCATTCAGCGATACAAAGTCCATCCCGCCAAATGGCTGCACAAGTAATCGCACGTTCCTTCGCTCTCTCAGAGGTTTACTGACAATAATAGATTACCAGATAATATTACCTACGCCGAGGGCGCCCTCCTCGAACCCCTTTCAGTCGTCATGCGCGGTATTGAAGTTGCCCGCTTACATCTTGGTCGGGGTGTCGTCATTTGTGGCGCCGGTCCCATCGGTTTGATTGCTCTCGCGGCGGCGCGGGCCTCCGGTGCGCATCCCATAGTCGTGACCGATTTGGATGAGAATCGTCTGGCATTTGCAAAGGAATTTGCTCCGACGTGTACACCATACCAAATTAACAGGAACCTGCATGCCGAGGGTAATGCCAAGGCGATCCGGGGTTTGTTTGGAGATGAGGAATATTTTGCACCGGAAACTGTTCTGGAATGCACCGGGGTTGAAAGTAGTATCTGTACGGCAGCGTATACAGCGCGACGCGGAGGCAACGTGGTGGTTATCGGTGTGGGAAAATCCATCATGAATAATTTGCCATTTATGCATCTTTCCCTGGCCGAGGTACGTTTATTTTGCTTTACCCGTTCAGACGCGTATACTCATGGTGTATAGATTGGCCTGCACTTCATAAATCGCTACCGCGACACCTGGCCGCCGGCGATTGTGTGCATAGCGGGAGGGATTCTGGACTTGAAAAGGTTGGTGTCGCATACTGTTCCCCTGGAAAAAGCCATGGATGCGCTCAACATCTGCGCGGACGCAACAACCCCGAGTATCAAGGTATTGGTGGTGGACGAGGTCGATGCGACTTTGTAATGGCCAAAAATAGAGAGCCTGATGATAATCGTACCAGACTTAGAGAGTACATAGAATGACGCCGATAAATTGAAATTCCCAAGTCAAAAAGTAAGAATCTTCTCGTATTGGACGGAAAATAGGAAGGAACAATACTAATGCACCCGGTAATCATGTTCGGCGCCATTCTTTGTTCTCCCTGGCCCAAGATGCATCTAGTCTCGAATTCTTTTATGCAGACTGCTGCCAGCTCAAGAACATCCGCAGCAGGTTTGGATCAGTCCCAAAACATCATGTCAAAAGTCATTGTTGTTGGAGCAGGTAAGTTGCGCTCTGGCACTGTCTCACACACGCACTGACTCTTCAGGGCTCTATGGTCTCATTGTGGCCAAAACATACCTTCAGGTTTCCGGGGCCTACGACGATGAGATCTCAGACAATCCCGAGAAGCCGTGTCTCGATGACCTCCCGTATCCTTTCGCTACGTCCAAAGACGAGGTTCTCGAGGGAACAAAAACTCATCTCCTGATTATCGACGGCGCGTGCGGACTCGGAGGCACATGGAATCATGATAGACTGTATCCTAACTTGCTCAGTCAAAATTCTTACGGCATGTACGAGTACAGCGATCTTCCGATGACGTCCGCCGTTGGGCATGACGAGGATGGCCCAAACGGTCAATTCATCGCAGGCTGGAAAATCAATCGATATCTCCACGCGTGGAGCGAGAAATGGGATTTGACAAAGCATATGCGCTTCAATTGGCGGGTAAGTCTTCAAATATACAACGACAGGGTCATTGACGGTCCCAGGTTGCTAGTATCAGCCGGCTCGCCAACAAGGAATGGAAACTGGAAATCGACATCGTGTCCCCGTCGCCAGGCCGACGTGTCACTGTGCTCTGCGACAAACTTGTTCTTGCTGCCGGGTTGACGCCAGAGCCGAATATGCCTGACATTGCCGGATTGGACTGGACGGCTAACTCAACGCCACACAATGTCCACGCAAAAGACGTAGGCAAATACTGTCGAGACCATCTAGGCTATCATCCTGTTCCCGACAGGCTTTCGGAGAAGAAGGGAGAAATCATTGAAGTTGAAACACGAAATAAACAGCAGCCTCTGCGTTCCGTGGCGATATACGGGGCAAATAAGTTTTCGTTTGATTTCGTCCATTTGTTTGCGTCGCTGCATTAAGGGCTACCTGGTCAGCATATGACTGTTGTTCCCGCAGACCCGGTTCAGGTTCATTGGGTCATTCGTGACAAGGGCCCTGGAACGTCGTGGATGGCACCGCCTGGCTCCTTTCTTCCCAACAAACAGCCAGTTCCCAGTGACCAAGCAGCGAGCACTCGATCCATGAGTCTGCTGAATCCATGTCTCAATGAACTGCCTAAAACGGTGTCATTGGTTCCATGCTCCAACCAATGGGGCTGGACTATCCGTATAGAAGGATCATGGTCGCGGAGGTTAATACAGGGTAGTCCATTGGGGCGACTTTGGCTTCGACGACTCTGGGAATCCAGTGCCCGTAATATGATTAACGCTGCCCAGTATGACTCGGACTCGAAGATGCAAAAGCTCCGTCCTGCAACCAAGTAAGTACTTTTCGAAGATTCCCCGTTTTGGTGTTGTGTTGACCATGGTCCAGCATCCTTGATTGCGGATCTGCAATCGGAATTGCCAACCATGCCAATTTCTGGGATACTATCAGGGCCTCGAATGTCCACGTCCATCGGTCCAATATCTCTGCGATTTCGGAAGGCCGAGACGACGCTGTAGTCCATCTCTCCAACGGCGAACGGATGCATTCCGTTGATTTGGTTGTCCATGCAACGGGTTGGAAGCCCGCTGTCCCTGTTCACTTTGAGCCTACCAGTCTGGGCGTGTCATTTGGTCTGCCCTGTCAGAGCCCATTGTCCAACAAGAGGAGTCACGATGGAGCCGACACTCGCTACTGGCATGGACTGGATGTGGCAACTGAATCGAGGCTGCGAAAGATCCATAAAAAAGATAATTCCTCCGTCAATGAGCGTCCCATCCGGCGACTTCTCTCCCTATCGTCTATTCCGGCGAATAGTGTTGCCAGCCCTGGCAGCAGAGAGTGATCGATCCTTTGCCGTAATGGGAATAGTCTTGTCCAGCACCGTTGCTGTTGTAGCAGAAGTGCAGGCGCTTTGGGTAGCTGCTTTTCTGACCGGAACGCTGGATGGTGATGTGCCAGTCAAACCAAAGCCGCGTATACATTCTCCCCTAAGGATGAACACTCTTTCCCGCAAAGATCTGGACCAGGATATTTCCGACGATGTGGTCTGGGGAAACATCAATGGGGGTGGTCTCAACATCGATGCGATCCACGTAAGTCCTACGCTTATTTCCCCGTGATTCGCGTGTTTAACAGTGACGCAGTACAATGACATGCTCCTCCAAGATCTTGGCCTGGATCCCCATCGAATGAGCGGCCGTTTCTGTTCCGAAATGAGCGCGATCTATGGACCATCGGCGTACGCGGGGATTGTGGAGGAATGGCTGGAGATGCGGGAGAGATAATCGGGATGAAGTGTTTGTGCTTGCAGATACTGCATATATCAATTGAATGCGCGTGTAATACCTGGAAGTGGTAACTGCATCGACGAACAGCGCGTAGCGATAGAGACTGCTTCCTAAAATGGCAGCCGCGCTTATTTCTGCCCGGAAAGGAAAGTGGAGCACGTGATATGGAGACGGAGTATTTCCGATCCGATAGATGCTTCCTTTTTGGGAACGCTCTGGGAGCTTGTAGAGTGTCTACACACACTACTCTATACTCTGTACTCTGTACATTGAATGTATTTCATTCCGTAGGCTTTGCTCTATTAACACAATGTTTGAAATGTACGAATCTATCTCCAGATACTTGAGTCAGCCATCGAGTACAGAGTACGGACGGAGTACAGCCCAAGAGTCATGTCTTCTCAAGAGGCCAAACCGGCTGAAGAAATACTGAACTAGGGATATCCGCTGCAAGGTCTCGAGATTGAAAGAACATTCGGGCGTCTCCCTTTGCCACGGGGCCCTATTCATTGCACCGCCATACGTCTCATCGCATGTCTCCCTTCCACCAACTACGACTCGTTTGGCGCACTCGGGCTGGAAAAAATCTTAAGCAGCAAGATAGCATGTGGTCTCGCATTGCCGGATTCTGCCGTCTCGGCATCTTGGCCAATCCGATGCTTTACGGACAGCGAGCACCAAATCCTAGCATACGAGTCTCGTTGCGCATGTCAAACCGGAATTTTATATCAACAGCCCTATTGCACTTGATCGGAGACGACACCGGAGCGATATTGACGCGCAACTCCAGAGGCTGCCGTTGTTTTTGACAGGTCCGATAAGCTGAGAGCCTGAGACGCTATGTCCGAAGGCCCACTGTTCATTTCTCGGATCTCCTGAATTTGTCTGCGACATTGTCTCATTGGACACATTCTCTTTAGAAGCCTTGCATTCAGAAAGACTCGCCAGTTCATTTACGTCCGGCCTTCCTTTTATGGAGCGAACCAAAAAAGCAGCTTCTATGCTCCGATGTTATGCCGATTATTGGTTGAGAGCAGGAAAAGGAGGCCCACCCAGGTTCGTATTCGTTTACTATCAGGGGCATGTCATGCTCCGGGCGTCGTAAACAGAGAACTTACTTTGCAACGACACTTACATAGTCGCAGGGCTAGAAAACTGCCGCAGCGCAACGTCGGGCGCCATTGCCACTCTATTTATCGGTGTTCCCACGCTAAGCCGGAAGATAGGGGTTATGGGGCAAAAACGAGTGCCTCCTCTGTCGGCTGGGAATGGACAGCCCAGTTATTTGACTTGGCGAAGTGGTCCGCTTCTCTCGGCAAAGGCAGACAAAGAAAAATAGTTCTTACCCCCGCGCATTCCGACCTGCATTTAACGTGCCGATTTCTTCTTTTGTCTTATTGTCGTTGTTGAAAGTCAGCAACGACTCACTCGTCGGCTCCATGATGCGCCCATGTCCCGGTGGTCTCAAATACTCCCTTGTCTCCGCCGTCCGCAACACCGGCGCGCCAAGGGTGCATGGCCAGATGTTTTCTCGAAAGCCTGGTTGTTGACTCTGTGCACCATCGTCAGCCTGCTCTACCTATTCTGCCATTTCGCCCTTCCTCACCTGCTCAAATTCCGTCTTCGAACCGACCTGAGCTGGTACGATCTTGGCCTGTATGGCTTCGGACCGACCCGATCGTATGCCTCCTTCGAGTATGAATCGCCTGTGGTAGAGATCTTCCAATGGGACTCGGGATGTGATCCGCGATATACCTTTCTTGCTCCGCGCGGCGATTCAATCCCCCATCCGGGGCCGATGATCCTCGATGCGGCCGGGAATCTCGTCTGGATGAAATACAACCACGACATTACGCAAGATTTCAAGCTTCAGAGATATCAGGGTGAAGACTTTCTCACCTACTGGGAGGGAGAGGAGGTTGCAGGAGGTCTTGGCCAGGGATCATGGTTTATGGTATGTAGGCAGCTGGGATATTCAAAAAATTGCCCCAATGCTAACGCGCTAGTCGCCACCAGTTGGATTCGACTTATACCCAACGCTATGAGATCCGCCCCGTTGGCGATTTTGACGGCGGCGACCTGCACGAATTCACCCTGACACATGACGGAACCGCGTTGGTAACCATTTACAAACCTATCCCGGCCAATCTGACAGCCATCGGTGGCCCAGTCTTGGGCTGGCTCTACGACGGACTGTTCCAGGAGATTGATATCGCGACAGGGGAATTGCTCTTCGAGTGGCGCGCTTCGAACCATTTTCCTGTCAACGTGACATACGAGGCTCTCAACACAAAAGGCTATGAGAAGGATGCAGCGTTTGATTATTATCACATCAACAGTGTCGACAAGGATGCGCAAGGCAACTATCTGATATCGGCTCGACATGCTCATTCCGTGAGCTATATCGATGGAAGCACTGGCGCCGTGCTCTGGACGCTTGGTGGGAAAACGAACGACTTTAAAGACTTGTCTGACGGGACCGCTACAGATTTCCGCTGGCAACACGATGCGCGCTGGCGTGATAACAACACCATAACCCTCTTTGATAACACAGCGCATTCCAACGAGGATCCTGAGGCGTCAAGTCGTGGAATGCGCATCCATCTCGATTTCGAATCCCAGGCCGCGGAGTTGGAAGTTGCGTACCACCATTCGCAAGTCTTGAAGTCGACGTCGCAGGGCAATATGCAGGTTCTGGAGGATACCGGAAACGTCTTTATCGGATGGGGTCACAGTGCCGCCTATACAGAGTTCACACCGGATGGGAGCGTTGTATGCGACGTGCATTTTGGCGCATCGCTGTATTACACCTTTGGGCGCGTGGTCTCTTACCGTGCCTTCAAGGATTCGTGGATTGGCCGTCCGCTCACCAACCCAGACGCCGTTGTAGACGACAACATCGTCTACGTGAGCTGGAACGGTGCTACCGAAGTAGCCGCCTGGCAGCTCGAGGTGTGGGATGGACACGATTTGGACAACCTGACCTTCAACGCGGCTCTGCAGGTCAACAAGGATGGCTTTGAGACCGAGCTCGAGATCCCCGACGGCGTGGGCAGTGACATACTTCGGGTCGCCGCAGTGGATGCTCATGGTACGGTTCTGGGAAGGTCGACTCCGCTCCAGCGGCCGCTGGGATTACGACTGGATAGATTCCTCAACCTACAGTCCTGTATGCTGGGGATTGCCTTTCTAATCGCTGGAAGCGAGCTGCTGCTCGGGCTATATCGGTATTGCTATTGTCGCATCTGGCGACGGCGATCCAGTGACTATCAACTGGTAGATATGAGTGAGAACGAAGGAGATCGGTCGGTTTAGCCTGCATCATTCCACAATCACCTGTTCACGGGTTACATAGTATCTTCATATAAATAGTATCATTCATGCATGTTGTTTTATCGAAGCCATGTATCTTCCAGATAGCCAGTCGCGAAAGCATAAACACCCTTATGAACAAGGTCGATGATCTGCTCATTGACCGGCCATGTCCTACGCAGCAATCCTCGTTAGTTCCTATCCATCTTATTTGAGATTGCCAACTTACCATGGAGGCGCGCCCACTCCCGTCCAATTCTCAAGTGACTGGTCAATCACGAGAAGAACGTATTTAAAACAAAAGCTGGCGAACGGCCCACGCAGCCCATTTGTACACCTTGCCCGTAGTGCATTGCCATGTTGAGTCCGAATATTTCACTTTCCGGACGCAGTGTCAAGCCGAGTAATCGCTCCAGTGTATGGCCTGGTACATGGGAGCTGGGTCTAAACGGGACTCTATAGAGAACTATATATACTCTGGGTATGTCACCATAGTGGCTGTTGACATCAGAATACGCACATCTTCAAGGTCAACTATATGAAGCTGAGAAGTGTCTCCAGGTACCAACTCCCAATGCAAGTACAGCCAACTGTAAAATTATTTCCTATCAACTTCGGTAATCGTAGATATATCGCAACCGCAACCCCACCATACAAAATGATCCGAGGCAATGCCAGCATCCTATCTCCAACCCCTCCAATACTAATTCATTTAATGCTCATCAAGGATCTGCGGTTTCCTCGTTTCTCTTCTCTCTTTCGCTTAAGATTACCACTGAGGAATTGATTGTCGCTTTACAGCTCTACATGTCTGCAAAGAACTTCACCGTGGCCATCGTGGGCGGCGGCATCGGAGGTCTCTCTCTGGCCGTTGGTTTATTACGACGAAACATTCCCGTGCAGATATATGAGGCCGCACAGGAGTTCAAAGAAGTTGGGTTGGGATTGACCATCGGCCCAGCCGCGCATCGGACGATGCCCCTGATCGATCCGCAGATCCGTCGCATCTACGATTCGCTCATCACCACGCATGCGGACAGCCCGGGGTATGAACGATTCCGCGGGACATGGTTCGAAGTTGTTTGGGCGACCGGGAATGAAGAAAAATCCGGGGATGTTTTATTAGATCTGAAAGCATTACCGTCGGGTCAGACCACGGTGCGCCGGGCGGACTTTCTAGATGCATTAGTGAGTTTGATTCCGCGGGAAATTGTGCATTTTGGCAAGAGACTTGTCAATGTGGAAGAGACGATAGATGGAATAGAATTGCGGTTTGAAGATAGCACAACGGCCACAGCAGATGTGGTCGTGGGCTGTGACGGCATCAAGTCCAGGGTGAAGGAGTCTATCATACCCCCGGAGGAATATCAACGCGTCCTCCCGCGATACAGCGGCATGTATGGGTATCGCGCTGTGCTGGACATGGACACTATGGTTAAAGCTGTTGGAGACCATCGGGGGCGAGTGTCTACGATGTACGTAGGAAAGGGGGCATATGGGATATCATATCCGATTATGCGGGCGCAAAAGGTCAACGTGGGGTTGTATGTCTTGAACGACCAGTGGAATGATGATGCCTGGGTGCGTGCAGCAAGCAAAGAAGACATGCGACGGGACGCTGAGCATATGGGTGACTATGTCAAATCGCTTGTTGAGGTATTGTTCCCTCGCTATATGCGTAGAAGCACTCTGTACTGACGACAATAGTACATGCCGGACCCCACGCAATGGGCTATTTTCGAACACCCTCATATCTCGGCATATTCTCGCTCTCGTGTAGCCATCCTGGGTGATGCTGCGCATGCATCCACGCCTCATCAAGGTGCTGGTGCCGGACAGGCCATTGAAGATGCGCACGTTTTAGCAGAACTGCTGGGCGATCCCCGGGTGACTACCGCTGAGCACATTGTGGCTGCATTTAAGGCATACGATGCTGTTCGGAGACCACGAAGTCAGAAGGTCGTAACAACTAGCAAGGAGAACGCACATCTGCTGTGTTTATGCTTGGACGGCGTCGGGGATGACGAGCAGAGACTGAAGACGACATTTCAAGAACGACTGCGGTGGTTATGGGACGTGGGTATTCAGGATCAGGCTGAGAGAGCGAGGAGCATCATGCTTGAGTGCTTATGACGGATACTCACTTGTATATACCGTTCATAACTGTACAAATTGCACAAGTCACCTGACATTTACACCTGCCTGGAGCGTCAGGCATCTCGGTTATCCGCGGTGTTCCCCGCAAATCCGGGGATCTCTCGACTTTCCATATAAACAAGAGAGGGAGAAGAGTTCTTCTTTTGTTGAACCTCTCACTCCCTCTGGATTACTCTCTCCCCCAAGGGCCAGCACCATGATCCCCCGTTCACCCCTCCAGAGACTCCTCCGAAATCCTCCCTGCCGTCGCTACTCGGCTGCTCCGACCCCTTCTTCACGTCTCAATCTGCCCATCGACTACAAATCGACACCGCTGCTTCATCATACGGCATCCTCTGTTCCTCACGCATATGGGCTCCCTGAGTCGACAACGTCGAAATCACTGAATTTCTATCAAGCAATCAACTCCGCTCTGCGAACCGCCCTCTCCACGTCAGATAAGGTGCTGCTCTTCGGGGAAGATGTAGCGTTTGGTGGTGTCTTTCGATGCTCTATGGATCTACAGACGGAGTTTGGATCGGAGAGAGTTTTCAATACACCGTTGACAGAGCAGGGAATTGTGGGTTTTGCAATTGGGGCAGCAGCGGAGGGTATGAAACCCGTTGCAGAGATCCAATTCGCCGATTACGTCTTTCCGGCTTTCGATCAGATCGTCAATGAAGCAGCCAAGTTCCGGTATCGAGAAGGCGGGACAGGTGGAAATGCTGGAGGGATGGTCGTGAGGATGCCGTGTGGTGCGGTTGGACATGGTGCTTTGTAAGTGCTCAGGATGAATTGATAAGGCTGGTCCACTAACTGAATAGATATCACACCCAGTCACCCGAAGCTCTCTTTGCCCACGTCCCTGGCGTCCAAGTGGTCATGCCCCGGTCTCCCGCCCAAGCCAAAGGTCTCCTCCTTTCCTCCATCTTCCAACACAATAACCCCGTCATCTTCATGGAACCGAAAATCCTCTACCGTGCCGCCGTTGAACACGTCCCCAACGAATACTACACAATTCCCCTTAGTAAAGCAGAGGTTCTCAAGCCCGGAAACAATGTGACTGTCATTTCCTATGGCCAGCCACTCTACCTCTGCTCCGCTGCCATTACCGCAATCGAAAAATCAATTCCCGGAGTGAGCATCGAGCTTATCGATCTGCGCACTATCTACCCATGGGATCGTCCAACAGTTCTCGAAAGTGTGAAAAAGACAGGCCGGGCGATTGTCGTACACGAAAGCATGATAAACTACGGTGTTGGCGCTGAGGTTGCGGCCACAATCCAGGACGGGGCGTTCCTTCGATTGGAAGCGCCGGTCAAGCGGGTTGCTGGATGGAGTACGCACACAGGGCTGCAGTATGAGAAGTTTATCATGCCCGATGTTGCCAGTAAGTATTCTGATGTTAGCTGTTTGGATTCTGCTGACAAGCGATAGGGATATATGATGCCATCAAGCAGACACTCGAATACTGAACCACCAGCAAGCTACGCCAGAAATAATGAAGCATAGACAGTAAGTAGAGCGTTGCATTTGTATGTATAATCATCTTTCCGTATCTTAAATACCACATCGTTATGAATCCTCCTGGTATTATACCTATTGGGCTTAGCACAAAGCAACATTCCTTTGCTTGGTTCCTTACACCAAATGCTGCTTCATTGGGACATCGCATTCCTGAGACACAGATCTTTATGCCACCCTTGATAGCGACGGGGATTGTTTTGCGATTGCCATTTGCGGTAAAGCGCTGGAATGTAAGCCATGGATGCACACTTCTTCTGCACCCTGTGCTAGATGCAGGTACGACGTGTCAGGTACATCAACGTTATACTCGGTACGGGTTCTGTGAATTATATGAGACAAAGCGAATTGCATCTCCAGGTTAGTACGAGCACTACATGCCATGCTAAAAGCTAACCAATATGACCGGAAGACGGCGATCAAGCGAGGACACGATGTACGAGCGCCTTTCAGAGAAACCAGCCGGATCAATCCTCCCTACCAGATCCATTAAGCGATGGGTCATTGCAACATTTGTTCTGATCGTGATCTCCCTCATCGAAATTTGCGTGATCGTAAAACTCGCCTCCCAGGATCCGCCCAAGGGCTTCGAGAATGGTTTTGCGACTGAGTTCCCCGATGCGAAGGATGCCATTTCGGTCGAGCAGGTCCGTTTCACGAGCCCTCTCAGAGTCGATGATAATGGCACCCTTCACCAGGTGAATGATCCCAGCGAACGACGCTACACGGGGAACTCTTCAGAGGCCGATCAGGCGTGGAAGGACCTGATTTTCGGGCGATATCTTCAACTGCGCGAGTCCGAAGTGGACTGGCTCAACAGTGATGAGGAGAACGACGACCTTGAGGAAATCCCTGAACATACATCAGTCATAACCGAGGCGGGAATGTACGGAGGTGTCAACATGCTGCACTCATTGCACTGTCTGAACATGTTGCGGAAGCACCTACACGGTGATCACAAGAAGATGGAATACCTCTCGGTTGAAGAAGACAATATGCATCTAGGTAAGTCATAACCCTTATGGTCTGGTCGAGCCATGCTAACAATGTAGACCACTGCATCGACCAACTGCGTCAATCCATCATGTGCTCCGGAGACCTCACGCCGGTGACACTACGGCACGTCTGGATGGAGAATCCCCGTCGCTCGGTCCTCCTGGGCGAGACTGAACGCATGCATACATGCCGGAGCTTTGAAGCTATCCGGGACTGGGCAACGAAGCGGGGAGTTGAGGAGGGGAGGATCGATGCGTAGTGCGCTGTCGTGCAAGTCGACTTTTGCATGCGCATTTCATTATTTCGTACATGATTACTACCGTGCTCTGTTTGTAGCTTAGCTATGAGAGTACGTATCAACGCGTTGTATTTCGATGCTGCCTCCATACTATCTATCATTGTACAATCAGGACCTTAATTACACTCTTTGTTACGGCCGACCAGAGCGGCCTAAACCTGGTGGCTGAAGTCCAGTGGCTGTTAGACTACGGAGCTGATCCGAGGATCAGGGATGAACTTGGACGGCTTGCCATACAATATGCTCTACATTCGGAGCCGGTTCGCCAACTACTGCGAGAACGGAGGAACGTACTCGACTCACTTGAGGCTGGGGAAGAGGGTCTAGCAGCTGTAAACTAAATCCCAGCACGTCTTCTTAATGTCTGTCGCAGGTCTGAAAGAGTACTACATTGTTCCCGAGCATAACCTGTAAACTTCAATGACAGATGCGAATAATAACACAAGACAAAAACGATAACTGCCGCTAACTACCTTGCATTCCTGCATTGGATATGAGTAATTTATCCATATATATCCTACGTCCAATAGCTGGATGTACGGGTCTACATCGGAGGAACACCCGATGCCTACGGAAGTATCCGATGACGACTTCAGTACCTGTAAGCAGCAAACCATAAAGAAGAGCACGAAGAGGTTGATATTCCTTCTTCATGATTGGTACTACATCTGCAACTTGAACAGGTTAACAATGTTGACTCGATTGCTCCGCAGAGGGTTAGCTACCTATGCCCGTGCTACAGCCTGGCTCAGTCGACTCGAACCAAACAAGCAGATTGGTCTGCACAAATTCACGCAAAAGGCTGCTCTATGGTGAAATCGGTGAGTCCCTCAATATATCCACGCAGAACAAATACTAACTTCGCAGATTGAAACGCCCTTTAACCTACGCTGAAAAAGTCCTGTATAGCCACTTGGACGATGAGTTTGACGACCCCATCACGCGCGGAAAGTCGCAATTGCGATTGCGTCCGATGCGCATTGCGTGTCAAGATACCACGGCGCAAATGGCTCTCATCCAATTCATATCCGCTGGTCTGGACACATCTGCCGTTCCGACAACCGTACACTGCGATCACTTGATAGTGAGTCGCGACGGCGAGGCTCAGGACCTTCCTCGTGCGCTGGATGTGCATAAGGAAGTCTATGAGTTTCTGGAGAGCGCTTGTCAGAAGTATAAAATGGGATTCTGGAGGCCCGGGGCAGGAATTATCCACCAGATCGTGCTAGAAAATTACACCTTCCCCGGGGGTATGATGGTAGGAACTGACTCGCACACCCCCAATGCCGGGGGAATGGGCATGATTGCCATTAGTGTCGGAGGCGCAGATGCCGTTGATGTCATGGCTGGACTGCCGTGGGAGTTAATGGCGCTTCGGGTGCTGGGAGTGCGACTGAATGGCGAACTATCGGGATGGGCGACTCCCAAAGACATAATCAACAAGTTAGTCGGAACCCTGTCTGTTAAAGGAGGTACCGGATCAATTATCGAGTACTTTGGACCCGGGACCCAGACGCTCTCGGCCACAGGAATGGCCACAGTCTGCAACATGGGTGCAGAGACGGGAGCGACTACATCGATCTTCCCATATTCACCCTCAATGTCCAAATACCTCCATGCCAACCACCATCCGGATATGGCACAGGATGTTGACTCTGTCTCTCAAGAGCTGTGTGCTAACGAGGGTGCCGAATATGACCAAATCATCGACATTGATCTATCGAAGTTAGAACCGCACATCAACGGGCCCTTCACATCCAACTTAGCCACACCACTGTTTCGTTTGGGTTAGGCAGTAGAGGAACAAAAATGGCCAGGGACGCTGACAGCCGGCCTCATCGGCTCATGCACGAATTCATCATTTGAGGATCTCAGCCGAGCTGCAAGTACCACGCAGCAAGCAGTCGATGCTAGATTGGCTCCTACAATGCCGTTTCTGCTGTAACCTGGTAGTCAGACACGTGAGACTCTGGAAAAGTCCGAAATTTTGCAGACATTTGAGGAAATTGGGGTCAAGATGCTACCAAATGCTTGCGGTCCTTGCTGTGGCTCATGGGATCGAACCGACACATCCAAGGTTAGTTTCCAGTGTTATTGCCCACGCGAGCATCGAGCTAACCCATGTGGCTAGGGCATGAGCAACTCTATTATCACGTCCTACAATCGGAAGTTCTCAGGCCGTCTCGACCCGAACCCCAAGACCAATATTTTCCTCGCTTCACCGGAAGTGGTCATGATTAAGGTCTTTTCGCAGAACCTTGGTTTCAATCCCAGCGCGGATACACTAACCACGCCTGCTGGAGAGGAATTTAGCTTCAACCCTCCGACGGGTGATTCTCTTCCTGGAAAGGGCTATCTTGACTCCGATGCAGCCTACCAAGTGCCCCCAGCGGGTGATCTTACTGGATTGGACGTTCAGATTGACCCGTCCTCGCAGCGGCTGCAGAAACTCGCCCCCTTCACCCCTTGGTCCGGAAAGGACTTTGAGGATTGCCTTATCCTGATCAAGACCAAAGGGAAATGTACTACAGACCACATCACCCCATCTGGTCCACAGTTGCGCTTCCGAGGCCATCTCGAGAACATCTCAAACACCTTGATCGGCGCCGTGAATGCGGAAAATGACAAAGCCAACACCGTTCATAACCAGCTCACTCAACAAGATGTCCCCGGTACCGCCCGTCATTACCAAACTCAAGGCCATCCCTGGGTAGTTATCGCGGACCACAACTACGGCGAGGGCTCTTTGCGCGAACACGCAGCCCTGCAACCAAAGATATCTTGGGAGTGTGGCAATTATCGCAAAGAGTTTTGCTCGGAACGAGGCCAACCTGAAGAAGCAGGGAATGTTGGCTTTGACGTTAGCCAATGAGGCTGATTATGATCGGATCTGGGCGTCGCATCGAGTCAGTATCATCGGACTGGCGGAGCTGGCGCCAGGCAAGCCTTTGACGCTGCAGGTGAAGTCAATTGACGGAAAGTCATGGGAGGCTAAGCTGTCGCATACGTTTATGCCGGAGCAGATTGAGTACTTCAAGGCAGGAAGTGCGTGAATATGATGGCAAAGAGGGATGAGGCGGTAGAATAGTTGCGTTGGATCATATCTGTTCTTGTACATTGTCTGAGAAAGCTGTACCACAAAATGAAATATACAGTTTGATCAAATCTACACTATTTACAATTGTCATATTCATCCGACAAAAAGTTTACGATTCATTCTTCCAGAATATCCGACCCTCAAATACCCGACGCGCCGTCCGAAACACTGTAGCAGCGTTCAAGCCACCATTCTTATCGAACGTCGCTCCAACCAGTAGATTCCCACTAGCATGTCCAATCGTAACGCCAGCAGCATCAACTCGGTCAGTGCTTGCCACTTCATTTACCGTACTGCCCGACAATCGCGCAGCAGATGCCAGAGCCAGCGCAACAGTGATAGGCACTGCCTTGTGCGGCTGACCGACGGACAAAGCACGGGCGACAAGATCAACCTTCTCAGTTGTTTGATTCTGCTCCTTGGCCCGGGTATCATTGGCCGATGAAGAGACAAGACAAATCTTGGGAACGCTGCCTGGCACCTTCTCCAGCGTCTCAGCCAAGTCCATCTTGACACCTGCCTGACGGCGGATAGAATCCAGACGCGGCAGCAGATCGGGATGCACCGCGATCTCGTCCGGTGTCATATTTCCCGGAACGCCCAATTCAGCCGCCCGGACAAAAACGCATGGGTTTGCGACGTCTATACAGGTGGCCGCAACGCCGTCGAATGTATCCCGGACTTGCCCTGTGGGAAGAAGCTTGCCCGTCCGGGACCCAGCGGGATCAACAAAGTCCAGCTGTACGCGAGCTGCTGTGCCCGCAACTCCATCAATGGAAAAGTCGCCGCTTGTTGCGGCCTCTCCATCGACAATGGGAAACGAGGAGTGAATGATCTTGCCGGTGTTGGTGTTGTGAATGCGCACTGCCACTAAGCTGGCATCACCGGTAGGTGAAAAGAGACCAGCATCGACGGCATAAGGACCGACAGCACTAATCATATTGCCGCAGTTGCTCGAATAGTCAACTTCAGGCGTGTTTACGCCCAATGCGATGAAGGTGTAGTCCACATCGGCATCGGGATGCGTGGATTTGCCCACCACGCAGACTTTGGAGAGACTTGAAATACCACCTCCCATACCATCCAGCTGGCGACTATATGGATCGGGGCTGCCAATTACACTGCGGAAAATGTAATCCCATTCCTCTCGGCCATGCGGGAGGTCGTTCTGCTTGAAGAAGACGGCGCGGGAAGTTCCTCCGCGGTAATAAGAGGCGGGGAGAGAATGTTGTTTCTTTGTGGCCAGTGTGCGCAACTGGCGGGGAGCAGAGAAAATGCCTCGAGGCGAGGCACGAAGGATTGGTTTGAACATGGCAATGGCTGACGTTCTTTGTTTTGGTGTTGTGGTAAAGAGTGGGGATAAAACTGCTCGGGGTAGTGGAGGAGGATCGGAGCATCCGAGACTATCATCGGATGCATCCGTAGTACTACGCAGCACCACGATGAGATACATTTCCCTCGGATTTGTAAATCTGGGGTATGACGTGCGGGGAAGACAGAATTAGTATATCAATGTCTGTAAGATATGAAAATGGAAGGCTTGTCCAGAACAGAGCTTCTTTTGCCAGCCACATACTAGAGTGTCACTCGGGGCGGGCTGGGGCGGGCTATGGCCATCGTTGCCCCGGCCCGGCGGGCTTTGGGGGCAAGCATGCTCGCCCCGAACCCGCCCCAATAGCCCGCGGGGCGAGCCCTTTGGACCCAGACCCGTAGCGGGCCAAGGACCCCTGACCCAAAGCCCAGCCCGTTGGGCTTTGGGGCGGGTTCGGGGCGGGTCTCCGGGTCGTCCGGTGACACTCTACAGTATCGAGTCTCGGTGAATGATAGCTCTGCGTCTGGGCAGGTTCTACGGGTGCCCATTAGACCATTACTAAATGGCTCATACCATTCCTCCTTTGATTCCAATTTCCAACTTCCAATCTAAACCATCCACCCATTAAAATTTTGTCTTTCACTGTCCTCTTTAATGAGATACCCTATTCTCACACATCCATTTGGACGCCAGTTTCCTTTCCGTCAATCATCCACCAATCTCTCTTGCTCATTCTTTGCTCCCTTGGGAAAATCTGCGCTCTTTCAACTACCCCTATCTCGGTCCTTCACATCCGGGGCCATCAAAACTCAAGCCATGCTCGACGCAATGAGTCCCGCAACACGTCTACTTGACGAATACCTCAGGGAAGGGGGGTACCAAAAATGGGGCTGGGTGATCTATCGCTCCACGTATCAAAACGACGAAGACTGGAACTGCTTCAAGGGGGTGATTACAGAGGCAATGCGCAAATCCATCGAGTACCACAAAACTCCAGATCTCGATCACTCTGAATCAAAGTCTGAGTTTGACATTCCTTGAGGACCGGCCCAACTTTGAGAATGCATCAAAGGATCAGCTTCGCGCGCACTTTCGGGAGTGGGCTCAGCGTGCGTACTATGCTGAAAACCCGCGACCATTTGAAGAATTCAACCCCGACCTGGCGACTGCACCCAGGTACCGGTACTTTATCCAGATTGATGAAAAGTCTCTGCAAAGCCTTCTTCATGACACTGAAAGTGGTCCTCGGTTGAAGGGTCTACAAAGTAATGGCTATGTGAATTTTGTGGATGGCTGGTGGAAATCATTGAGGGAGCAGTATGCAACGAGCCAAGATTCAGACCTCAAAGAAGAGATTGATGAGCAACTAGCGCACGGTTATCAGTCAATCAAGGGCTGCGTGGAGGAAAATACTGGCTGGACGATGCTACACAGACTTGATATGAGTGTCGATTTCTACCACTACACAAGTGGGTTTGTAGAGGACGTGTGGCCTCTCTATTACCAGCGTCCGCCTGGCATTGCTCTCTGGTAAATGTACATACACACAGCTCCATCACCCTCAGTTTTTATCCTCGAATGCATACCGCATGTCCAGGATCTTGTTTTCAATCTCCAACAGCTCCTTCAATATACTGTCACGGTACAAGCTATCCGAATCCTCGAATTCTGAGCGGATCCGCCGGATTGTGTCCGTAGCCCATGTACGTACAAATGAAGACACGGACGAGAAGTAGTGTGGATCTGTGTAATTTGATCAGAAATGCTGTCTTGGGCGTGATGTGTGGCTCAGGTAATCTAAGATGACTTGTTGAGAGTTCCCAGCCGCACTCGGACTTGGGTACGATGCTAGGAATTTATTTTCTTCTTTGCCAGAGATCTTCTACCATCCCATTACCAACGATTTTCTTCCATGCTTAGGGTCCACAAAAGGTTCATAGAAGCGAGCACTAGAGGACAACATGATGGAGCAATCGTTATCCACAATCCATGCTATCTCAGCTAGGTCACCGCACGTTTTCGCCCCCATGAATGACTGTTTCATGATTCCTGAATGTCTGAGATTTAGCCGATACTTAACGGTAGCTGCGTTTTGGACTTGGCGTTGCCTTTGAACTATGAGAGATTTTATAGTTACGTACTTCTTCGTGCCCAAAACTACCGGACTTGGGCTCGAGGAAATCAATGCGCTTTTCGAGCGGCCTTTGTACATGCTGGGATGGCCGTTGGATACTCGGTAAGTGTCCTTGACCTTTTCTTTGAGATTAGATGCTGACGTCTGACAGGAGAGAAAGTCCACAGGATGACGAGAAGCCTGAATCTACGTGGGTTGAAAAGGTGTAACAATCTTAGCTTTTCCTGTGCGACAGAGTGTGAGGTGTTGGAGGATAATCACGTATCAATCCGGAATATTGGAAGTATATTGAATGGTAACCATAACAAATACGTCCATGCACAGTCTATCCATTGTCAAAGTATGAAATAGTATCATGTGTAAGATCAACAGAAAAACCCCGAAACATCGGTAGAGCCCATGTCGATGCCTTCGACGAACAGATCCGCCCATGGAAGGTCAACCTCGGGGAATTGTAGAGTCCCATTGTCCAGCAACCCTCCGCGCTGACTTTCCGTGGCATTGGAGAACGTATGAGTCTGTATACCAAACCACGATTGAAACTCGGTGTCCACTTCGGCACTCGGTATGGTTGCATCATCGAACAACGACAGAATAGAATTACCCAGTCGTTCAATTATCCGGGAGCATTTCTCCCCTATGGCCCGGCCATTTGAAATCCCGCGGGAAAGAGTGAGAAAGGTGACTATGTTAGTTAGTTTGTACAACCGGATGTGTCAGAAGCCCGGAGAGCGTAAAGCATCGCAACAGCCGCCATGAACAGGGAATGTATGACCACAAACGTATATTTGATCCGGTTTCTGGCATACAGAGAGCTGAAGGGGCTTATCAGGCCAATAGACACGATACATTAAAGGATGCCGTGCGAAAAACGTGGTCGCGTGGAGGTTTCACGGCGTTTTATCAGGGATTGATTCCCTGGGTATGTGCATCTCGTCCTGCATATGCACACATAACTGACCTGCATAGGCTTGGCTAGAAGCGTGCACCAAAGGGGCAATCCTAGTCCTAACATCGACTGAGATTGAGCACCATGCACAAACTAAATTCGATGCTTCACCCACTGTATGTAGTGTCCTCGGTGGTATCGGCGGAGGCTTCGCTCAAGCCTATCTAACAATGGGCACGACGACTTGTATGAAGACTGTCGAAGTAACACGGACCAAGGAAGTATCCAAGCCAGGCAATAAACCTTCTAGTCCAATGAAAGTCTTTTTTGAGATTCTCCGTGAAAAAGGCATCCGCAGCGTGTACAAAGGTGTGAACACCACGCGTGGCTCTCCGCCAGATTACCGGTTGGTCCTCACGAATCGGGATCTCTCGATTTGCCAAAGAGAGTATTCGGGGTATTACCGGGAAGCTTAAAGAGGAAAGGTCGCGGTTTGGAGAGAAGATACTCGCGTCAACTATTGGCGGTGCGTTGAGTTGCTGGAATCAGCCATTCGAGGTAGCGAGATCAACTGTCATATCTCATTGTCCAGTGAACTGATTTATGCCTAGGTCCTCCGGGTGGAAATGCAATTCATGAAAAATGATCCAACGCATCCTGCACATCCAACGATTGTTTCGACCTTCGCGCACATTGTCAAAATGGAAAAAGAGCAATTCCCTATTGGTGCTGAAAGTGCTGGGATCTTGGGAATTCTATAATGTTTCAAATGCCATGCATTTCAGGACTTTAATCACCAGCAAGTCGGGGTTATGTTCTAACCCCCAAGGACCCGTTGGCAGGATTCAAAGTCCGCACCTAATCTACAAATACCAGGCGGTTGTTGCTGACTGACTCCTTTCACATCTTATCGTAAATTGCTTGGTTTTGATTCACGTATTGGATTGAATTGGACTGGGGAATGGTGATCGTAGATAGATGAAGCCCGTCTCGTTCTCGTTCCCCCTTCGTCACAACTGTCAAGTCTAGGCTTCGCTCTCTCTTAGCATTTGCATCGGGAGTTTGGCCGAGGCTTGGGGTGACTAACGGCAAATGGTCAGATATAAATAGCTTTGCATTTTTAACTGTTGTGAAATATCTCATTTCAGTATTTGATCTTTCGTTGTTGGGGTATTATAAACTATGGCTTATTTCAAAAGCATTCTCCTCTCCGCGAGTACTATCCTGGCAGTCTTTGCAGGCTATGTACAAGGCGGCTTTGCGCATATACACAGAAAAGTCGTTGTTTACCATCAATACATGCAGTTTCTTTACCGCCTGGAGGAATAACGTTCGATGCACCTGGCCATCTCGATACTTCTTCTCGGTTGCAGCAATAGCACATACAAGATTGGACATAGGTCCGGCCGTCTTGGTGAGAAACAGATCCAGGTGAGATGCCGCAAAACGAAGGACGATGCAGAACCGGAAAACATGGCCATTTTCGGTCGAAGAACGTATATACCAAACTCCTAAACTCGTTTTCGTCGAGGTCGGCTGAGATTGCAGGGGAGCCATCGCTCCAGAGTTTTCATACGGTGTTGAGCACACTCCTACACACGGCTTTCGCGGAATGTTGGCCTTAGGATGTGCCTGGAGTATGCGATGTCGGTGCTGTGTGTGCTTGAAGGTGTTGAAACTGCTGTGTTTGAACAGCTTCAGCATGTGCAGGAACATTCTAAAAACGCCACTGGTTCTTGGATACTGGGGCTATTTTATGGCAGGAGGTAGCCGCTAGGATAAATCCTAAGGTTATCTCCGCTCACATCAGACTTCCACCAGTGGAGCACAGGGTCCCGGGTCGAAACACTATGGTTCCGATTTCGCGAAGTGGGAGATAGTCCCACCAGTAGTACTTCATTCCGTATGGTTTATGAAGTTTTGCACCTCGCCCAGGGTACCGGCTTGCTGGATCCAGATCATCGCCATGTCTTTGGATAGGCCCGTTCCTCGGAGGCTCGTTGTCTATCCAATTGCTTCTTGCAAATGTATCCTTGCGATGCTTGTGGGCCATCGCAGCTTCAAAAGGTCGGTTCAAAATGCAGAATGGCGCCATAGATGACTACCAGGTGACTGTATTCAGTGGCCTTTGAGACGTGCACATATCTGCTGCAATCTTCATTTGCCGTAATTCTGTCATTTTAGGAAATCTCAGGGCGAACAATTCCTCTTTTCTTCTGAGCTAGAAGCAATAAAGCTGCTGTTGAGATTATTCCCCCCTCTCCCCCCCTGTAAAGCACGTCAGTAACCTGCACAGCAATTTTTCCTGGTAAAAGCAATTATTCACACGGTGCGTCATCTGGAGAGAGGCATCACTCTCAAGGAGTCGGTTCGCGGTGGCTTGTTTATAAGACCGAACCCGATCATCCAGGGCTGTTCATGTCAAACGTGACAGTGCGTGGTCTGCGCAACGTTTCATGGTGTTTGCTGTGTGTTATTCAAGGATAACATAGAGCTTTGATTCCATGCCACTTCTGAAACCTGGAGAATAGGGAAGTGATATATCCTTTCGAAGCTAAGATTGTTACGGAGATGCTGTAAAATCGATAGATTGATATGTAATAGTTATTGGACTGATGGATGAACGTTGGGAGACGAAAGATGGAGATGAAGATGAAGATGGGAGCTAGAAAGCTGAGGAAGTGAACCAACAATAATATGCCCTCTTTTAAAGAGATCATGCTAGCTAGACGTCGGAATATCCCGCACAATCCATATATCTCCCTCCTTCAGTACCCCGTATACTATTTCTTCTACGGGTCGATGGCTGATCCTGCGATGCTGAAACGAACCCTGAACCTGGACGAGGCGCCCAAGCTCCACGAAGCGTATGTTGTCGGGTACACGGTAGCAAGAAAGAACAGTGGACCGGCGTTGATCGATGGTCCACGGGGAGAGGTAGTGAAGGGATACGCATATTTTGTTGGCTCAGAGGCAGAGGGCGAGAAGCTACGGGAGTGTCATCCTGAACAATGCAGGGTGACGCCGTGTCTGGTACATTTCCAAAATGGCGATAAGGTGACGAGGATTTCTGGGAATGTTTTCAAGCATGTTGGTGATGCAGAAGCGTTTCTGGAGCCTGTCGACACTCAGTATTGGGTTCATGTGAGTATAGAATCGCTGGTAGATTCATGATTATGACTGCGGATTACTCGTGATGTAAGATATTGCTATATAAAGGCTGTGGTGTTGATTCAAATGGTATCTTGCTCATTAAACCGTAAAGCCAAACATATCGCGTCGCCATCATTATGCTACATATACAAACAAATCACCAAGTATGTGTCCTCTAAAATGTTCTATCGCCATGCGCCAATAAAAAAAAAATAATAATAATAAACCATGCAAAAACCGTCCAAATATACTCCGGTAAACCAACCATATCCACATTAGAAACTGAACAATCCACTCCGTCGTTTCCCAAACGGATAAATAATCAGTGCGGCAATAAATAATCCAACCGTAATTCCAATAGCAACTTGAATCATTCCGAAACCCAGGCTCGCCAGCGAGGTGTCCTGGGTCGAGGAGATGTTGCTGTCTCCGGACGTGTGAAGATTCTCCCGGACTTGATCTGCGTACTTTAGACCCGCGATCAAGGAGCCACTGGACGCCAGTCCCGATGGCACCAGGACGAAGATACCCGGTAAGATGGCCGTCGCGGCATGACCGTGCCAGACACGACTGTAGAGATTCCCAAGCACGCCGATGGTAAATGCGCCAACGGTATTGGCGACTTCGGAGTTGCTTCCGAGTTTCTTGGTGCTGAAGTAGTTCGAGATATAACCGCAAAGGGCAATGAGGATCATCACGGGCATCTGCTTCCACTTCGCCTGGTTGATAATGGCGAGGAACGCAGCGAAGATCGGGACAAACGGGAAGTGCTGAAGGTACTCGTTGCCGTACACGTCCTGATTGGTGCATTTCTGTTGCGACGTAGCACCGGAATCCATTAACCCATAGACGGTGATGCCAACGGTGATACCATAACCGAGGAACAACGAATAAATAATGGCATACACCATCCGAATCGACCCGGCGATGATCTGGTGCGACTGGAGCTCCAGACTACTGCAGAGGACGAGGAAACCGGGCAGAATCAAGGCAATCGACGACTGCGCCAGGGCAGAGAAGCAGAACAGGGGCTCGCCATTGACACGAATGCTACCAAACGCACGGGCCAGGAAGGACGTCAGAACGGCAGCGGTGACTTCGAACACGTTGGAATAGAGCACGGATTTCGGGGACAACACATGCTGCATGAACCCCACGAGGGAACCAAGGAAGAAGGAGATCGGCATGTCCACTGGCCGTGCACCAAAAGCAAAAGGTCCGACAGCTGCACTGGCCAGGCCATAGATGAAAACAAGCATCCACTTGTTGAACCGCGGTTTGCGCTGCATAATCTCATCCAGTTCCTGAGTAGCCTCCTCAACGCCGATAAGGTCGTGAACAACGTTCTTGTAAACATTGTGGGTGTCAGCCAACCGGCCCAGATCGACGCCCTGCACCATGCGGACCAATTTGACTTCAGCCGTGCGAGTGGCGGGATCATCGAAGGACATGATCATACAGCCAGGGAGATACAGGAATTGACCCTCCACAGAGAGCACCCGAGCGGTCATCTTCATGTACTCCTCGAGGCGGTGGGTGGGTGCACCATATCGCATCAGGGCACGGCAGAGCTGTATGATATACCGCTGACGGGCTATAATCTCCGCGATGTGAACTGTGACACGAATTTCGTCCTCCAGGCGGGTCTTGCGCTTCTTTCCTTTCTTCGGCTTCGGCGCAAATGAGGCATCGTTCAGCGGAAGAGTAGGCTTGCTGAGGTTCATCGACGCCTCAACCAGGGAGCCTGTCGACTGGTGTTGCGGTTTCTTGTACCATTTCAGCTTCTCTTTCTTGGGGGTTGCTGTGCCGGGGGTCGCAGCACCAGGAAAGACAGCACTAGGGGTGACAGTGCCGGCGCCAGGGGTCGAGGTTCCCGGAGTAGCAGCCCCGGAAGAGATCTCACTATCGGACTCGGTATCTGTGACAAGACTCTCTCTGCTAGTACCACTGCTGTTCGTCTGGGTGGCTTGCAAGCGGAGCAATTGACCTAAGATACCACCCACATTGCGGCTCGAGCCGTACCAAGAGCCGGGGCGGAGTGAGCCTTCGGGTGTACTCTGACCGGAACGAATGTATGCGGGGCGAGGCTTGCGTCGTCGTGCTTGGGCTTGGGTCATGGTGCGGACCAGACGATGAGCTTCCGCACTGGGGGCGGGCAGCGGGCTCTCATCGTCCGTCTTTTCCTCCTCTATCGGATTCTTCTCATTGGGTAGGTCCTCCATGATCAAGCCACCTTCGAGATCGTCGGGCAAGAGGGAAGCTCCCAGCGCTTCACCCTCGTCGGGAGGACGTCCAAGTCGTTCCGTGAGCCGGGTGGTCTTCTGTCGTAGCAATTGACCTGCCGCTAGAAAGCGTTCTTTGGTCGAACCGGTTCTGTCGGTGATGCCCTCATTGGACTCGAAAGGGTTGGATATAATGCTAGACGGCGAAAGTTGATCCTGTTGTCCCTTCCTCCCCTGCTCGACATCTCCAGTCTCTCGTTCCGCAAACGAAATCTCCGTCAGGTCCCGGGAGTGATCATGAGCGGGTAGTAACGGACGGGAGGAGGTATCAGAGCGATCCGAGACGACACGATCCCGGGAGGAGTGACTGAACGAGCGAAAGCGCACCCGGAGGCCTCGGTGTGGTTGACTGGGAGGTTCTTCGGGAGGTTGAGGGCGTTCATTGTGGTCGTGGGCAAGACCTTCGCGGTCATCCTGCAGGCCCAGTTCTATGGAATTGACGCGATTCAAAGTCGGGGTTGGGGATAAGAATTGGTCATGGTCATGGTCACGATGATCCGAACTGAGACGGAGGTCCTGAAAGTCCGGGTGATCGGGAGGAGTGGGAGGAGTGGGAGGGGTGTCTTGCGACATGAATGAAACGAATGTACTCTAAAGGGGAAAACGAATGGCTATGGGCTTTACATGGTATAAGAGAAGAGGAGAGGAGAGGGGAGGAGGGGAGGGAGAGATTATATGTGAATATAGAGCAATCACCAGAAAGTCTAGAATAGCAGGATCCATGGATGATCTCATCGTGGAGCCAATAAGCGAGTGCCGTGCAGCCCATTGAGTGATTTTGCCGGTTTTTTTGTTCTTTATACCATGTTCTTTATAGCTATATCTGGGTCTAGATCTTTGTAGCTTTGACTGTACAGTACTGCTACTGTATACTTACTGTACATACTAGTCATTGCATACGAGAAAACTCTTCTAGCGCAAAAGAAAGCATAACGGAGTATAGCTGACTAATCATACACGCGCAATGGGTGGATCTTACTGTTCCACAGTGGCAAACGTCAAAGCGCGATCACTGATTGGTCTGTTCGTGCATTTTATGCATGCACAGTATTTATGCACGGTTTGCAATCGATGCACGTCCTGAGTATAGATAGCATTCAGTACTGTAAAGATAGACAAGATAAAGAATACATAGTACATACTCTTGAGTATAAATATGAGAACACCTTATCAATTCAATTCAAAAGACCCGCGTAGCCTTACCACATAGAAACCACATAAAAAACGGTGCCGGTCTAGACTCCTGTTTCGGATTGGCATTTCTATTTCTGGCCCGTAGACCGCACGTGATATCAATCGGAAATATTGTTATTGAGCCTGCAATAGATCGGCAGTCGATTATCATTCTAACTACTGCTCCGTACATACAGGGGCTTATATCCGCCAGTTATTCAACCATCCAACGCCAATATTCAGATACATTGCGAATCCCACCCAACTCGCATATGGCACTAGCATCCAAAATGCTGTCCGGTCAATTTGCCACCAGAGATGCAGCAATCCAACCACATTTCCCCCTATCGCGACCAGATCCGCCAAGGCTAGATCGGGACGTCGGAGTCCAAAGAATAGCGGCATCCACAGATAGTTGAACACCAATTGGACCGTGTAAAGTGTCTGCGAGGTCTTGGTCAAATCACGGATCTCCGGGGAAAAGGTCGATGCTGATAGGCCTGTCGTCGTTGCGTGGTGGGCAGCGTAGCCCATCAGTGGGTAGAGCAGTGTCCAGACTGCAGGGAAGAGCCAGGCCGGGGGGCGAAACGGAGGTTGCCGGATACTGCCATACTTGGCTTTGGTCGTGCCGCCTCCTGTGCAGTCAATTCATCAGACATTAGCATCTGTGCGTCTTCTCTTGCAGCTTAAGTTTTCTTTCAAGGTTTGCTTTTGCATTATTCACTCACGGTTAACCAGATAGCCCGTCAACATTCCTGCAGCCAGGGGGCTGGCCGTGGAAAGAATTAGCGAGGCAAATACTGCCTGGGGGAGAGCGAATGACCACGGCATGTCAGATGTTTATACACTCTGTATGTGCGCAGTGTATATCTCAAGGTAGAATTGAGTGTTGAGAAAAAACAGCAGAGAAGCAGAGAAGCAGAAGTACTTCGTAGTGAAGTCGTGATTCCCTGCTCGGAATTCCAACGACGTCATCGTGGTTGGTCTTGGCGGTCTTCACGATGCTCACCTCCTCTCTACTTTACACCACCACCACCACCACCACTACTACTACTACTACTACTACTACTACTACTACTACTACTACTACTACTACTACTACTACTACTACTACTACTACTACTACTACTACTACTACTCCTCCTCACTGCATGCTACTCTCTTCTCTACGCTCTCCGCTGTTTTTCATCTATCAAACACAATGCAGTTGCTCCATCCTGGACACTCACGGTGGTTTTCCCTTCACCACACGTCCCACAACCTCTAAAACACGCCGACAGGCAATCGCCATGAAGTCGACCTTCGTCCATGGCCTGCTCGAACGTGGCAGGTATAAAGATAGTGATGGCAATCTCACCATCAATCTCGCCATCCGGTGATTTCCTCACAGCCTCCCTATCCAAAATGCCCCTACGGTTGCTCTGTCTTCATGGCTGGGGAACCAGCATCAAGGTCAGTCCGTTCATGCGCGCTACCACGTTTTCTCTCTAACCGTCATAGATCCTCCAGTCCCAATTGGGTACGTCACACAGAATCTTCTGGTATAGTCTATTCCATGCTTATCGTTCGACCCTGTATCAGGACCCCTAATGTCCGACCTCCGGCGAGACAATACTGCCACTTTCCACTTCCTGGAAGGTGAATGCGACTCTGATCCTGGCCCGGGAATTTCTGGTTATTTCGACGGTCCCTACTACAGCTACTACAAGTTTCCCCGGTCTTTTTCCGACATTGATGATTCCGATATCCTGGACGCCTATGATCAGCTCTATACGACCATTGAGGAAGAGGGCCCATTCGATGGCATCCTTGGCTTCTCGCATGGCGGCACCCTGGCTGCTGGGTTCCTCATACAACATGCCGAGCGATTCCCACATGATCCGCCTCTTGTTCGCTGTGCTATCTTTATCAATTCCCTTCCCCCATTTCGGATGAATCCAGGGGAGAAGCCTGTCATTAACATGGGACTGGAGGGCTACTTGTCCCTACCGACAGTTAGCATTGCAGGCGCCCAGGATTGGCTATTGGAATATTCACGGGCCCTGCATGAGTTATGTTCCCCGACCTCAGCTTGGGTCGTCCATTCCAAGGGCCACGACATCCCGGGGGATAGAACGAACGTGGCCCAAATGGCGGCCGCCATTCGTAAATTGGCCGTCTTGGTAAGTTTGACTACCGGATGAGTTCGGTGTTTATCGTAGACATCCTTATTATGGATGCCTACGCTACGGCGTGTTTTGGTCTTTTTCTTTTTGGTTTATATCTATAGAAAATTCTTGGCAATGGAATCATAGTTCTGTCCCACATATATACCATATATCACCGGGACCTGTGGTCGGTACATTTTCGCGTTTCACCCGAATCGACAGCGGAAAATATCATACTATTAATGGAATATTTACTCGAGATTGGCCTTTTTCTTCCAACGCGCTGTAAGTTTACGATATATAGTCCAATAATCTTGGAAACCATGACGTCCAACACATTCGATGCTGCATCATATTCTGTTGCAATGCCCTACGATTATGATCACGATAACGACAAGTCCATGCCCATAGCCGTCGTGGGCATAGGCTTCCGTGGCCCAGGAGATGCAACCAACGCCGAAAGACTCTGGCAAATGATACTCGATGGTCGTGAAGCACGAACCCCGATCCCCCAATCAAGGTGGAATAACGGTTCTTTCTACCATCCAGACCATTCGAGGCATGGGGCGGTACGATTGAACTGATCAGAGGGCCACCAGTGGACTAACAATGCCCCAGGTCAATGTCCAAGACGGTCATTTCCTTACGGAGGATGTCTCATTGTTTGACGCTCCATTTTTCAATATGACCAGCGATGAAGCAGCTGTATGTCCTCTACATCTAGGTTAGCGTACTTAGCTGATCACTACAGTCTATGGATCCCCAGCAAAGGCTTCTTCTCGAGGTTACATATGAAGGTCTCGAAAATGCTGGTATCCCCCTCCCCCAGATAGCCGGTACCAAAACCTCTTGTTTCGTTGGTTCCTTCAATTCAGACTATACCGACCTTCTCCTCCGTGATCCGGAGGCTGTCTCCATGTATCAATGCACGAATGCTGGTCAGTCTCGCGCTATGACAGCAAACCGGGTGTCGTACTTCTATGACCTCAAAGGACCTAGTGTGACCGTTGACACTGCGTGTTCCGGGAGCTTAGTGGCTCTTCATTTGGCTTGCCAGAGCTTGAGAACAGGTGACGCCACGATGGCCATGGCGGCGGGTGTCAACGTTGTCCTCAGTCACGAGTTCATGACCACCATGAGCATGATGAAGTAAGTTCCTGTTGTATAGAGATCACCCATGATCATTTACTTACGTGCAAGATTTCTATCTCCCGATGGGCGTTGCTATACATTCGATGACAATGCGAACGGATACGCTCGCGGCGAGGCAGTCGGCTGCCTGATCCTCAAACCTTTCACAGATGCCCTTCGAGACAAAGACACTATCCGCGCTGTCATCCGAGGTTCCGGATCCAACCAAGACGGCCGCACCCCAGGTATCACGTTACCCAACGGCGCCGCACAAGAAGCTCTGATCCGGGATGTGTACAACACGGCTGGCCTCGATCCTCGTGAGACGGAATTCGTCGAGGCTCATGGTACGGGCACACAAGCGGGCGATCCCATTGAGACCTCAGCTCTGTCAAGGGTTTTGGGGCTGGGCCGGGCCCCCGAGAGACCACTGCGTATTGGGTCTATCAAGACGAATGTCGGTCACTTAGAGGGGTCGAGTGGGGTGGCTGGAGTGATTAAAGCTGTATTCATGCTGGAGAATAGGACGTTTCCCCCGAACCGCAACTTTACCACCCTCAACCCGCGAATTCTGCTGGATGAGTGGAAGCTCAAGGTAAGAATTCACTTCAATGTTTCTATACTACGCTAACAGGTGAAGATACAACTGGAACCTGAAGCATGGGACAGTTCAGGTCCTCATCGTGTCTCCATAAATAGCTTCGGATACGGTGGTAGCAATGCTCATATAATTATCGAGGATGCTGCGGGATATCTCTCCAGACGGTGTATGGGTGGACTCTACCGGAAACCAGAGTTGCCATTGACTATCTCAAACGGGACTGCAAATCACAGTTCCCAGTACTCGCGATCTCGCATCTTCATGATCTCCGGTTTTGATGAAGCCTCGTGCACGAAACAGGCAGAGAGGCTACGCGAGTATCTCCTCGAAAAAGAGTCGCTGACGGGTGATGCCTTCATGAATAATTTGGCTTTCACGCTCAACGAGCATCACACAAAATTACCGTGTAAAGTTGCAGTTACTGGCGACACAGCCGCCGAGGTTGCGGGGGCCTTGTCCAGCAAGGTCAAGGTCAAAAGGAGTACCAAGAAGCCTACAGTCGGGTTCGTCTTTACTGGACAGGGTGCTCAATCGCCCGGAATGGGAAGGGAGCTCCTTGGTGCCTATCCTGTTTTCCGGAAATCTATCGAGAATATCGACGAGTACCTAAAGCGCATTGGGGCTCCGTTCAGTGTAATAGGTAAGTCAAGGCTATGTGCACATCAGGAGCCGTTACTAATTGAGGCAGATGAGATTTGGACAAACAAAGATCCTGTCCGACTGAGTCGTCCCCTCCACAGTCAGCCACTCTGCTCTGCGTTACAGATCGCCTTGGTAGATCTCCTCGCAAGCTGGGGTATCGTCCCCGACTCCGTAACGGGCCATTCCAGTGGTGAAATTGCATCCGCGTACGCAGCTGGTGCTCTGACCATGGAGGATGCAATGTCGATTGCGTATCATCGAGGTGTTTCAGCTAGTAGGATCGCAAATGAGGAACTGAAGAAAGGCGGCATGCTTGCCCTGGGCGTTTCCGCAGAAAATGTCCAGCCATACCTGGAGACACTGCAATCGGGAAAAGCCGTCGTGGCTTGTGTCAACAGCCCGTCTAGTGTGACCATCTCTGGTGACGTCCCCGCGATCGAAGAGCTCGAAGATCTTCTCAGCGATAAGCAGGCTTTCAGTCGTCGATTGGCAGTTGATGTCGCCTACCATTCTCATCATATGGAACAAATAGCCGCTCAATACCTGGACTCAATCGCTCATGTCAAGCCACGGGAAACAGATGACCAGGCTAAAGCAATATCATTTTTCTCGTCCGTGACCGGAACGGAACTCTCCCCGTCTGAACTCGGAGCCAAGTACTGGGTCTGCAATTTACTTGGCCAGGTCAAATTCTCAGATTCTTTGCGCATGCTCTGTTTTGAAACAAACCAAAGGCAACGGAATGCAAATACCAAGCGCGCGAAACGTTCACAAAAAGTCAGCGTCGACACGTTGATCGAGGTTGGACCACATTCCGCTATGTCCGGTGCTATCAAGCAGATCTTCAAACCCGATCCAAAGCTCTCAGTTGCTGGGATTGCCTACGGAAGTGTCCTCGTCCGAAAGCAAAATGCTGTGTCAGCGGCTTTATCTGTAGCGGGGATGCTTGCAGCATCCAGTTATCCCGTGGACTTCCAGGCATTGAATAATCCTACGAACGATGAGCCTCACCTCCTTGTCGACCTTCCGCCGTATGCGTGGAATCATTCTCGGTCATACTGGGCCGAGTCGCGAATTAGCAAGGCTTATCGGAACCGGAAGTTCCCACGTACGGATCTCCTCGGGGTGCCGGATCCCGTATCCTGTCCATTTGAGCCCCGATGGAGGAACTATATCCGCGTGGTCGAAATCCCGTGGCTCAGGGACCACAAGATTCAATCCAATATTGTCTATCCGGCTGCTGGCTATATCGCTATGGCGATAGAGGCGGCGTTACAGCATAGCTTGGGGACTTCGTCAAATATAGCAATCTCTGGGTATCTGCTGAGAGATGTCACCATACAGTCCGCCCTCGTCATCAACGAGATATCAGCTGTGGAGGTCCTAGTTTCCCTCAAGGAATACGCAGCAGACGGTCCTGACAAGTCGTACGAGTTCCATGTTTATTCCGCATCAGATGATAATCGTTGGACACAGCATTGCAAGGGGTTTGTCAGTGTTCAATATGCATCTCCCGGACATATCGAGCCCCACACAGAACTTATGACCAATGGGTACAGTTCCACTAGTCTGGACGTTGCACGATTCTACGAGACACTTGCCGCTGCAGGCTTGGAATACGGACCGACGTTTGCCAACATGACAGCAGCCCGTTACTTGTTACACAGTTGCGTTGCGGAGATCACCGTCCCTGATACAGCGGCTGTGATGCCCATGAACTACCAGCATCCATATATAATTCACCCGTGCACGCTGGACGCTATCTTCCATTCCATCTTCCCAGGCCTACCAGGTACCTTGGACGGCACGCTCGAACCACCTATTCCAGTCTCTATCGGTGAAATGTATGTGTCTAGCGATATTACCACAGCACCAGGAAGCAAACTGGATGTGTCTACGCAAGTCTGGGAGCAAGGCGAGCAAGATGTCCTTGCTTCGATTCAAGTTTCTGATGCCCAAACCTCTGGAACTGCGGTGTCTATCTCTGATCTCCGATGCAGAAGGCTTGCAAGCGACTCACCCAAGAGCGCAGCCAAGGAGACTCGCATTGTGTACAGAATAGATTGGCAGATAGATCCAGATCTTCTGTCTACGGATGGTGTATTAAATATGCTGGGCGATGAATGTGCGAAAAAACCAGTCGACAAACTCCTTGAACGATGCGCATTGCATTATATCCGCCAGGCAGTCGAGGCGCTCAACGACGTAGAGCTTCCACCAACGAACCAAGAAATCTGGAGGTTCTTTGTCAATATCGCAAAAAAGCACGGATCGGTGGAATCAAACATCACTACGTCCCAGATTCAGCAAGTATTGAACACTGGTCCGACGGGCGAACTTCTAGTTGCCGTTGGCGAAAGCATCCCCGCCATCCTACAAGGCAAGGTCGACGCTGCCACTCTCCTTCACAGCTCGGGTCTCCTGGAGAAACGCCTCTATGACTGCTACGACTCAGCAGCTGTGTATTTGCGGACAGTCGGTCACAAGAACCCCAGTATGTCGGTCTTACAGATTGGAACAGGAACAGGAAGGCCGATTCAATCGCAGTTCCAAATCCTTTTCTTAGAGGGGAGAGATACCACGCCTCGTTTCCTGAACTACACAGTCACGGATTCGGATCAGTCTGTTCTCGAGGACGCAGCAAAGTACCTCTCTGAGTATGAAGAGTGGATCGATTTCAAAACTCTCGATATCGAAACCGACCCCGAGCCGCAGGGCTTTACTTCACACCAATACGATGTGATAGTCATTCCACATGGGATCTACGCTGCTAGACTGACGGAGCAAGCCCTCAAGAACATCCACCAGCTGCTCAATCCAGACGGCCACCTAGTCCTGGTCGATCCTGCACGCAGGCATGACGGTCTCATTGAGTCTGCCATCTTCGGCTGTCTTCCTGGATGGCCGCCTGGCGAATGGGATAATGTGCTTCGAGGCGCGCAATTCTCTGGCGTTGACCATCTTGTCGAGTTCGGTGATACATCGCTTATTCTCAGCAGCCCACTGAAACAGCCTCCCTCTGTTAATCCTGCGGAGGTACTGATCATCGCTGAAGAGAGTGACTCTGTCTCTCTGCCTTACTTGCGAGAAATGCTCTCCACGATTCAGCTCACAGCGAAAATAACGGATCTTGCACATGCAAAACCAGAAGGACGACTATGCATCGTCCTTAGTGATATCCTAACCCCCTCAATGACCGGCGCAGACGACGCCACTTTCGACACAGTCAAGTCAATATTCCTGAAAAGCTCCGGTGTTCTATGGGTTACGCGGGGCGGAGAGACTCTAGGTCCCAGAGATCCAGATGCGTCAATTATCACGGGATTTGCTCGAACAGCGCGCTCAGAGTCTGGCGTTGAACCGATCGTCACGCTGGATCTTGATGCACGGGACGTGTTATCTGCTGAACGAGCGGCAGAAGTGATATTCGGATTATTCCAGTATCGCTTCCTTGTCAATCGCTCGATACATGCCGACACTGAGTATTCTGAGTCTGGAGGAATCCTGTCTATACCACGGGTTGTGGAAGAACCTCGTCTGAACAAACATCTTGCGACGGCGTTGAATCCGCGGGTATTGATGGATCAGCCATTCCATCAGCCAAACCGGCCATTGCGAGCAATTGTCGGTAGCAGCAATAGTGCAGAGAGGTTTTACTTCGTTGATGATTCCCGAGCATCTCCGCTGCCTCCAGATCACGTTGGGATCAACGTCCAGGTCATCGGACTGACCAAGGATAATACCCGGATCCAGCCTGGTGAGGAGAATGTTGGCACACAGTGCAGCGGAACGGTATATGCCGTCGGTAAGGCCGTTCAGGGCTTCGAAATTGGAGATCAAGTTCTCTGTCTAGGCACCGGGACAATAGCAAGCATCTATCATGACCGTGCGGAGGCATTCCAGAAGATCCCATCCGGTATGTCCTTGGACATTGCTGCTACCTTGCCTGTACCGTTTTGCACGGCATTCTATGTCCTTCGCCATCTGGCTCGTGTTGGCCCGGGCGATAGGGTCCTCATCAACGGAGCTGCGAGCGCATACGGTCAGGCACTGGTCAAAGTCGCCAATCTCACAGGTGCTCATATATTTGCAATCGTTGCCGACGAGAAGCAGAAAATGTTCCTCTTCTTCACAGCCAAGATACCAGAGGATCAGATTCTGGTTCGTGATATGGATGATTTCACTGACATGGTTGAGAGGTCTACCGGCAAAGACGTGGACGTCATCGTTGACTGCAACGACTCTGACCAGGACGTCAAGCTGTTGACTAACCAGGTTAATACGTATGGACGGTTCATCAAGTTGGCGGGTGCTGGTTCGAAGAGCATTCGTTTCTCGCATTTTGGCAAGGAGGCCATGTTCATGGTGTTTTCTCTCGAGACCCTGATGAGAGAGAAGCCTGGCGTTCTCTACGATGTCTTCCGGCAAGTGATGGATCTTTTCCGTGACGGGACACTACAAGGGCCACCATTGCTACAGTCATTTAAGATTTCCGAACTCGACAATGTGCTGGACTCTTTTGATCCAAATACTTCTCATTTCATGACGATCACAGCCGCCCCGGACGATCTTATCAAGGTAGGTCACATTCACACTTAGGCAAGAGACATGCTGAACTTATCAGGCAACTCGTCCAAAGACAGATATACTTCTCCGTTCAGACGCCTCTTACATGCTCGTTGGTGGACTTGGTGGTATCGGACGGGCAACTGCACTCTGGATGGCTGAGCACGGAGCAAGAACCCTGATTTTCGTGAACCGGAGTGGTCTGTCGAAAGAGTCGTCCAAAGAGACCGTGCGGGTATTAGAAGAGCGAGGAGTCCGGGTGATCGTTTACGCCTGCGATGTCTCAGAGAGCAGACAGATGCAGACGATGGTTTCTGAGCTCGCGCAACAAGCACCACCAATTCGGGGTGTCATCCAAGCCGCCATGGTGTTGAAGGCACATCCCTCCCCCTGCCCTAAGAATCAAACTATATCTAACATACACAGGACACACACATCGAAAAAATGACCGCAGAAACCTACCACACCGTCCTCCAACCCAAATACAGCGGAACCTGGAACCTCCACCGGCACCTCCCCTCCGAAAACCTGGACTTCTTCCTCCTCCTCTCGTCAATCAGCGGCATAATCGGCAACGCCACACAAGCCGCCTACGCCGCCGGCTCAACCTTCATGGACGCCTTTGCATCCTACCGCTCGCGCAACCTAGGCTTACCAACTGTCTCCCTGGACCTCGGCGTGATTACAGATGTAGGCTACGTCGCCGAGCACCAGGGTCTTGCAGCAGCGATGGAACAGCAGGGCTTCCAGGGGACTGATACACCGACACTCCTAGCGTTGATTGAGATGGCGATTGCGCAACCGATCGAGTTTCATCAGGTTATCACGGGGTTGGGCGAGTGGAAGGGGTCAGGGAAGTCGTTGGCGAATTTTGATGCGCCGCTTTTCGCGTGGTATCGTCGTCTGTTCTTGTCTGCAGATTCTGTGGATGCTGGTAATGATGGGTCTGTTGTTGACACGCTTCGCGAGGATCTAGCTGCGACTAAGACACTTGATGACGCGACGGGTATTATTTACTCTGCTCTCAGCGCGAAGATCGCAGCGCATCTATCTCTCTCCGCGGAGAGCATTGATCCCTCGAGTCCGATCTCGGAGTACGGCGTTGACTCGCATGTTGCGGTAGAACTGAGGAACTGGATTACGGAGAAGATGGAGAGCACGGTTCCTATCCTGGAGATCCTGGCGAGTGGTTCGGTGGGAGAGTTGGCAGCGAAGATTGCAGGAAAGTCCAAGTTGGTCAAATTGGAAGAGTAGCATTAGCAGCAGTAGTAGGGTAAATTGATAGTTCAGAATGGATTTTATTATTATATCTGTACAGTCCTAGGGCATCTATCGTGATTAAATATGTAATATCAGATTTATCTATAATCTAGCCATAGCCATAGCCATCCATAAGTCGAAGCGTAGCAAAATCAAAAACAAATGAAATCAACGAAACCAACTCCAAGCAACACATCTAGGGGTATTTCTTCAATCAATTAAATAAACCGAAAAGAGTAGAGACGAGAGAAATTATTCAGCCTTCTTGGACTGCTTCGTCCGCAACTTCATCAACAAGTACACCAGCGCATACGAGCTAATCGCAAAAATACACACGATAGCCGCATCCCGCCAGCCATAGTAGTACTCCTTGAGGTTCACGGTGTAGAGGTAGTCGCTTCCATGACGGTACTGGCAGACTTCGCAGGTGGAGGTTGCATCGGGGTTGAGCAGGTTCATGCTCGCGCCCATACCCTGCATGAAGGTAGAGAGGTAATCGCCGCAGGTGGTACCGTTAGGAGTGTCAAAGACAGCGAGCTCGTTGGGCTTGCAGTTCACGTCTGTGTCGTAGACGCCAAACACCAGCATACTACCCATGAGGTAGTTGAAGGGGTTGAGGTAGTACATCCAGTACCGCCAAAATTCTTGGATCTGGGCGTAGGGCACGAGGACACCGCAGAAGGAAACCAGGGTACCGATGACGAGGGGATTGGTTAGGGCTGCGAAGACCGCGTTGGGAGCATAGGCGGCGATGAATTGGCCGATACCCGTGTAGACAAATTCGTACATGAGCATGACGAAGAACATGGCGCCGGCCTTGTCGGAGTCGGAGGAGAAGCCGACGGTGTAGTACCAGCAGACGAAGTAGAGGACAGCGCAGAGGATGAGGTAGGGAATTTCAGAGACTACGAGGGCGGTGACAAAGGCGATCCACGAGTACATCTTGGACTTCTTCTCGCGGGTTTCGAAGATGTCACGGCGTTCGAGGAAGAGCGGTTGCAGTTGGTTGATGACACCAGGGGCGACGAAGATGAAGTTGAAGACCGTGAACATGCGCAGTTGCATGTCCGAGACGCCATCTCCGATCATCCAGAACGAGAATCCGTTGAACAGGGCAGATCCGATGTGCAGTGCGAGCTTGTTGTCGATGTAGTCTGTGTTACGGAAAATAGCCAGACACATGCGCTGCGACACAATCTTCGTCTGTTGCCAGAGAGGCATTGCGAATTCGAATCCGTCATCTTGCGTACCTGGGGGCTTGGATGCGGCTTCGCCGATGGTCTGGTCCAGCTCTTGAACCACGTTCTCATGCTCCGGAGACTCTAACCAGACCTGATTCCAGTCGCGACCCTGCGAGAGGTGGCCCGAAACGACGTCAATCATGTGCTCGGCCGGGTTGGTTTCCATTGGGCAGGGAGCCCCGTAGCGCGCAAAGTAATCCTTGACCGTTTGACCGTTGTCACCAATATCACCAAAGTAGACTGTCTTACCGCCCTTGGCCAACAGCAGGAGAGTGTCGAATTCGGCAAACAGCTGAGCAGAGGGCTGGTGGATGGTAACCAGAACAGCCTGGCCGACATCAGCCAGCTTGCGCAGGAAGCGAACCGTGTTGTAGGCAGACTGTCCGTCGAGACCGGAGGTAGGCTCGTCCAAGAAGATCAGGATGCTAGGCTTAGACACCAGTTCGACACCAATGGTAACACGCTTGCGCTGCTCGACGCTCAGTCCAGCACCGACGCGACCAATCAGAGTATCCGCAATGTCGTGCAATTCCAGGAGATCGATAATCGTGTCGACATATTGAAGCTTCTCCTCGCGCGGCACATCGCGCGGCTGACGAAGCAACGCAGAAAATTCCAGAGCTTCCCGAACGGTCGCAAAAGGCTCGTGCACATCCAGCTGCTCACAGTATCCTGCGGACCGCTGGAAGGAAACAGGCAACGGACGACCATCGACCATGATCGATCCCTTGATAGTACCTTCAGTCTTGCGCTGCGCCAACACATCCAGGAGAGTAGTCTTTCCAGCACCGGACGAACCCATCAACGCACCCAGCATACCGGGCTTAACCCAGCCGTGCACGTCGTCGAGCAACAGACGATCACCAGAGGGAGTCTTGACGGTGTAGCTCAGGTTCTTCCAGGTGAAAACGGAAGTATTGCGGACCAGTTGCCTGTCGATGTCCTCTTGCTTCTTCTCCTCAGCGGCGGCCGACTTGCCAGGCTTCTCAGCCATCTGGGACTCCTCGTCCGCGCGGGTGGCCTGGCGAACACTTTCCAATCGCTCGCGGGGAATCAAGAGGGTGTTACCGGACTCCGAAGCAGCCTTCCATCCGGTCGTGGCGATGATGGTGACGGCGACGAACAGAGCCCACCAAGCCCAGAGGATACCAAAATTCCGCCAGACGTGTCCGTGACTGTACGACAGGGAGGCCAGGTAGTCATCACCGGTAACGTGTTTCAAGCCCGGCCTGGCACCGCCAACACCAGCGCAAGACTGGTAATCAGTGTCCATATAACCGGGACCAGTGGGAACAAGGTTGGATCCCACGCAGGGAATGATCTTGTTGTGGAACTCGTTCGATAGAAGGGCATCGAAACCGTAAGCCAAGGGGTCGATCCAGTAAATCCATCCAAGCCAGGGGTGCATCTGCGGCTTGTGAATCATATAGCCCGTGTACATGATCAGAGCCGAGATGAGAAAACCAGAAACCTTGGACGCGCCGTCGAACGTGCTGAACATAGCACCAATGGCACGGAACAAAGCCGTCATAACCTGGAGGAGTCAGTCACTGCAGTAGAGAGGGAATGGGAGAACTTACCATAGTCGTGGCAAAGACAACAATCCAGTAGGTGAAGAAGGCATCGGCTGACATCGTCAAACCGACCATAAAGTAAACCACGATCGAGAAAATCGAAATTTGGAAGAGCAAGACAGGAATATCAGCCGTAATCTGCGCAATACAGAACGCAGCTGGATGAAAGAAAGCAAAGTTCTTGTGCTTGATGAGAACGGGTCGACCGCTGAACGAGTCCGTCACTTCGGACATGGACAGCAAACTGTTGTAGAGCAGGGAGAAGAACAGGGCACCGGATTTGACAAACAGACCACCAGAGTTGTTGGGAGCATCGTAGAACAGGGAACCGGCGATCAGAGCTTGGATCAGGGTAGAGACTTGCTTGATGATGAATGTCGCCTTATCTCCCCATAGGATCAGGTACTGACGCTGAATGCAGGTCTTGACCTGGTCCAGGAAACTGACGGTCCAGGGGCTGTTGTTGGGCAGTTTGGCTTTCTCGTGAAGGACGGCGTCTTTGAAGTCATCGGTTCGTTCTTTTGCGAGGTTGCTGGTCGGGTAGTCGTATTCAGCGATCATGCGAGCGTGGATGGGTGACTTTTCGTATTCTGTCCGCAAGGCCTCCGCATTCCGGGGGAAACGGTTCTCATATCCAGATTGAATCTTGCGTTCCGTGGGGACAGTGACACCAGTCAAAAAATCGGCGACGTTGGAACCTTCGCGACAGACGAAACCATGCTCCTCCATGAAGGGACGGGCCTGGGCCATAGGGCCGTAATAGATCTCCTTGCCCTCATCCAGCACCAGCACTTTGTCGAACAGATCGTAGATACCATTACCAGCCTGGTAGAGCGTGACGATAGACGAAAGGCCAAGGACATCCGTCATGGCGCGAATAGCCTTGGTCCATTCCAGGGCGGTACTGGCGTCGAGACCACGGGTACTGTTGTCCCAGCAGAAAACCGATCCGCGCGTGGCCAGACACTCAATGATGGACACACGCTTGCGCTCACCACCAGACACACCACGAACGAACTCGTTACCGACCTTGGTGTCCTCCGTGTGCGAGATACCCATGGACTCCAGCAAAAACTTCTTGGTCTCCTGGCGATAGGCTTCGGGGGATTCAGTACCTTCCGGGAGGTTGAACGGGACCTTGAGACGAGTTGCAAAGTCCATGGTCTGACCAACAGTCAGGGACGGGAAGAACAGTTCTTCTTCAGTGTTCATGACAATCTGACCACGATACGGCGCGGCCTCCTCAGGAGTCATAGAACCGAAGCGGACATCACCCTGAACAGACTTGTACCCACGACGCTGGTTGGCAAGCATCTTCAACAGCGTCGTGCAACCAGAGCCAGGCCGTCCCAGCACCAGCAGCATCTCACCGGGACGCACAGAACCATGACTGTCCTGCAGAATCTTTCGCAATGGCGCTTTGTGACGGACTTCCTTGATGTGCTGAGGGACGTTGAACTGCGAGAGGAAGTTTTCTTGAACGGCGGCTTCGGCGCTGACGACTTCGACGTTGAGGTTCTGCCAGGTGACGCCCAGTTCACGGCGTTTGAACCCAGAGGCGACATCGCGTTCGTGTTGCTGCTTGACCTGGGGCATCAGGCTCCAGTCGTCTGCCTTGCCGGTGGTACCTTCGTGGGGGTGCGAGTGGGAGTGAGAGGATGAGCTATCTTCGGGCTTCATAGTAGCAGCACTATCAGTATCCTCGCGGACCTCAGAGGCCGCGTGAAGGAAAGGAGGACGCTCCTCCATTGTGACAGTGATTGACTACTATCTCTGGGTGAGTTACAAAGATAGGTGAAAGTAAACACACGTGATAAAGTAAAGGCAGGGAAGAAGCAGAAAAACCACCCGAGGGGGGAACACAACATATAAAACCCGTGACACGCAACCTGTCAGACGGAGATAAAATTATAAAAAATAAAAATAAAAATGCTTTCTGGAAACCCGGACTCCGAGCTCCACTGATAATCTTTGTTTTCTATACAGAGTGAACCTCATTGTAGTCAAAACCCGACGGTCTTCGGGGTTAGAATATGCCGATTCGGAGCATGCTTCATTCACCTGTCATTTCGACTCTACGAAGACCCTTAATGTCTTTCTCCCATGCCCTGATCCGGTATAGTTCTCGTGCGGCTCGGCGTTTTCGTCGGTGTTTCAGGCGCTGATCGGTCCGACGGGCTGTTCATTGGCCCTGTTCCGCTGACAAACTTGCCTTTTGAACCAATGAAATGCTGCCAAGATATCATCGTCGGGCTCCGAAATACCGACCTCCGATGACTCAGACGGAGGTCCCGCTTCCTCCCGAGACTAGCTCTTTTGGGCATGTTCCCGCCGGACTACGGCGACTTGCCAATTTGGCACTCTACTCATATTGACAGTACATACAGAGTACATACTTGTATATAACAAGCAGTGTACATCACACAATGACACATATCACAGGCATGATCCAATACTTGTACATGCAGACTGTCAACACGGTACGAACACTGTAAGCGCTGTAAGCGCTGTATGTAACAGAGAAATCAATAATTGATGACAAAAAGACAAAGAACGCTGGCACTAGGTCCCTTAAATACCAATATCATGCTTACTGTCACACGACGATTTGAGTTGTCTAGCCACCCTTGGTTGCTTACTCTGTCCTAGAACAGGAGGGGAACAAAAAGCAAACATTTGCATAGTACTACCCTGCTATAGTCCATTGAATTGGGCGCCAGCATCAGCCACGTACACTACTCATCTTCCTCTTGAAGCATATTTGAATAGCGATATCATGGAGTAGCAGTATACCAAAGAGGAAAACAAAAGCGAGCACAATATTTGAACGATAGTTCATTTGTCCAGCATCTATATATCCCTGTCCATCCCAGAATGTGCTTATCCTCAGTCTCTCGATTCTTCTCAAAGAACCGCACATACAACTCCCCTCCCCCAATCGTCTCCTGGCTCCTATAGCATCGAGAAGAACGACAAAACAAGCCCGCTCTAACCCAGGTCCGCACCCCGACGGCATCTCTATGCCGCATGTACGAGTACATAGTGACCAGCTTTGTTACAGAGCTCCGGAATGAGATCGAGTATTTCTATAACCAGCCGTGGACAGTCTCCAAGATTCCGGATCCCAAAGATACGGATCCAAAGCGACATGCCATCTTGGCTATGATACCACATTACTTGATGAAGGCGTTTAATCGGATGGCGGAGCGAAGGCTGCCACGGGGGAGTCCGGCTATTATCACGAGTCGAGAGATGGAAGAGGAACTGATGAGTAGGGAGATTGTTCGAAAGGAGGTACCAGAGTGGGTCAAACGCATGCCCAGGCTGGAGAAGACGCTGGTAATACCAACAGATGATGGAGAGGTGCCAGATGAGGAGAGTAAAAGTGAGAGATTCTGGGAGATGAAATACCATTGCACACGAGCCTTTTGTATTGTTCGTATGGGGTGCTAAGTCATGGCAAATGCCGCCGAAAGCAAGCATGATTCATCCTATCCATACAAATTATATATATAACTGTGAGCATCTGCTCCAACAGTCTCATAACCCATGGTATCATAAATTCCGGCGGTGGGAGGGTCGCGGGAATATATCCCAGCTATGCCAACGCGAACACGCAGTCAGTCATATATAACGGGCGGCTGTCTGAGCCTCACAAGTGTCGAATCAATCGTAGCACAAGTATCCAAGATAATCGTAAAAAAAATTGAGAAAAAAGAGCAACGAAAAACCAAAATCATAGAACAACTAGTTCAGCTCTCCACCCTGCGAGCGGGTAATTTCCTTACTAAAAGAAGATCAGCCGCTGAACCAGAGCAAACGGTATCCAATGGTATCCACTCACATATGTTCCTCCATCGCGTCCAAGTATCGTCGTTGTTCCTTCAACTGGCTCTGCAGGAGCTTCAGTTTCTCTGCCTCGTGGGAGCGGATGTACATGGCCTCGTATGCGGCTTCTCGGCGGCTGAAGGAATCTTTTCTGTATTGTCATTAGCTAAATCACTTGGTCCAGTAGATATAAAGAGACATACTCAGCAAGGAATCCTCGTGGCTTGGGTGACCCGAGGTCACCCTCCTTCCGAGCCGGCACGGCAATAGAGAACGAACGTAGAGGCAATGCCTGACGGTTGGCCCCGATGCGGGCGGCACGAGCAGACAAGTAGATCATTGTGGATTAGTATATCAATATCAATAATAAAAGTAAGCTTTGTAGATCTTAGCAGTAGAATAGTGGCGAGAGAGCAGCGTGTATATATACCCATCTCACGGCCAGTGACTACATGACATCATAGAAGGTACACTCACGTGACATATGCGCTAAACCATCTCCGGCCCTCTATGATGCTGTCGGCCTTTTATGGAGCATCCTCTCCTCTCCACCCCCGGATCGACCTCATCGACTCTTTCTCCGCACCGCTCATGGGCGAATCAGCAAGGGGAGCGTACTCTTGCTCTCCATGGCGCCGGCATAACTCCACCTCTGTTGGAGGAATGATGCGATTTTCCAACTTACCACTCTACCCAAATCCGTGGTTTGCTTTCCGTTCGTTTCACCGAGTGGTGCTATTGGGATTAAACCATGTGTCGGTTGAACCATCCGTCGTACAATGACCTATTTGCCGGTCTCCGGACGGGGACAAAGAGGGCTTGCACGTCGCCAACGGTACAATTCTGGCGCTTTCTTTGAGGAAAGAGCATAGTCCTAGATACTCAGACGTCATCGTGCACCTGTATTAGCTGTTGTCGCGGAGCAGAGTGTGCCAGCTACATCACCGCGCGTTGCTATTGGCTTGACATTCAGGTATGTAACAGGTTGATCCTGGAATCTGCAGCCCGTCCGAATGGGAATCATGTCCGAATATCGCGCACCGGTTGCGTATCCCCGCTCTCTCCTCTTCTGCGGGACGGAGAGGAAACCATTAGGTTATCTATTCCAAACAATGCGGCCAGTGTGAATTGAATATTCTTGTGAGCTACAGAGTACGCTATGGAACAGCTAAATCATGTAGCGGAATCCCTGTTGCAACCGACGTGCAGCCGCGATATCGATTCCCTCAACCTCCGCCGTCCTCTGCAGTCGCCTTAGCTCTGCATCGGTCAAAGTCACGTCTTCATCCTCCAACCGTTCCTGGCGTTTGTTCAACTGCCGCAAGTGGAAATACATAAACAACGCCATAACCGCACTAACTCCCTGCAACGCGATACACACACCCATGGCCGGTCGGTAGAACGGCTCGTCCTCATCACGGTAGGTGTACGGAGTCCAGATACTGGCCGAGTTTCCGACCGAGTTGATAAACGCGTATGCTGCCGCTCTTTTGGCCGGCGGTCGAGGAATGACGTTGGCGATCCACGAATAAACAGTGCTGTTCTGCGCAAAGACAAAGACCATCAGGAAAAAGGAGAAGTAGCGTGGTCCAAAACTCTCGGTAGTCATGAAGATGATGAATCCGACCATGGTTATCGGGATCGGATAGACAAAGAACCAAAACCGGTTGGCGAGGTGATCGGAAAGTCTTGCATGGGCCATACTATACGCGACCATGAACAAGTACGGTGGCGCAACAAGGACAAGAGAGATAATCTCGTTGTGTCCCAGGGTGCGGGTGAGAGTGGGAAAGTAGTTCTGAAACCCACTGGCGCCAGTGATGGACATGTAGGCGATAGCCAACACGTAGGTCTTGATATCAGTAAAGGCAAGCTTGAGACCCTTGATCTGGCTGCGCTTGCCGTCCTCATCAACATCAGCCTCAGCGGCATCGATAGCAAGCCGACGGTTAGCGACAGCCTTCATCTCCGGGCTGAGAAACCGCCATGTATCTGGGAAATCAGGTAGCATGACCATGATCACCAAACCGATGAACATAGTGATGGCACCCTCGATAATGTACAACCACTGCCACGATGACAGGCCTCGCTGACCCGCCAGACCCTCGAGAATACCGGCCGCGATCAGGTTTCCGAAGGCGCCGGAGAGGAGGGAGCCGCTGTAGAAGATACTCATGCGGAAGGCGAGTTCCTTTTTCGTGTACCATTTCGAGAGGTAGAACAGAACACCGGCGAAGAACGGGGCCTCTATTCTGCATTAGTTATGGCCTCTTTGAAGGGAAAAAGTTGGGATAGTACGCACCAACCAAACCAAGCAGGAACCGGCACGCCACAATATCACCGTAGTTCTTCGTCTGACTGGTCAACGTCGACACAAGACCCCACGCTGTGGTGAAGCCCCCAAGGTACAACGACGGTTTGCCCATATAATTGAGCAGCAAATTCGACGGCACCTGCATGAGGATATACGCGACAAACAGGATACTCAGACCAGTCTGGTACTGCGAATCGTTGAGACCAAGATCCTTCTCGAGACCCTGCAGTCTGGCCGCTGCGTAATTGTTCCGGTCGATGTAGTTCATCAGGTAGACGAGGATGACGAGCGGCATGATGAGGGTATCGATGCGGCGGAGGAGCTTCTTCTCGATGCGTCTTTCATCATCGGTGAGTTCGGCGAGGTGGATGGCTTCTTCGTGGGTGACATCGGCCTTTTCCAACTCCTTTTCCATGGTTTCCTTTTCCATTTTGGCGGTATTGGTTGCAAGTGGGCTGTAGTAGAGCACATTCTCTCTCAGCCGGGGCACTATGTATACTTATGGGACGGTGAAAACCACAGTAAATTCGGGGAAGTGGAGAGCCAGCAATTGTCAGACGGCGCTATCTGCATAGTCACCATGTATTATCTCGTCTCCATGGCACCACGACACACCTGGACCAGGTGCATATCGGAGTACGTCCGTGATACTGACATGTCTTTACCGGCCGTTAGTCGTAGCCACCTTCTCTACCCAACTCTGTATGAGCTTAGCACCGCAAAATTGCCGAATTATTCCAGCATGCGATTGGATACAGCGTTCCCCGGATTGTCCATCAATGCGGGGAAACAGGCCAAGGACGGTGCACGGGACCTGTCATGGAGTCAAAAGCTGTTTCTGATACAAACTGTGATGCAACCTAGTCCGCATGGGCCATTTGCTTTTTGAGGAGACGTCTGTTGAATCCAACCAAATATCCGCGGGGAGTGGTGTACTCCGCAGTAAGAATAGTATTCTTGTATGGTCCCCTCCGGCAAGGGGCGGGATCATGCCAAGGACTCAATCTGGCATGGCAGGTAACCAGGATTGATATGGCCAATTGGTTGAATGAGAGACATCAAGCTCTGGCCGAAATGAAGGGCCGATCCGTGGAATGCCTCGGTATTTGTACATAGTACGGCATGACAGCAAGGTCACTCCCAGCGCAATGTCTCTCCAGCATCGGTGAGCACAATCATTCTGCTACTTGCCGTATCGCAGTCTGGATGCCCGGCATCTCATATATCATAGAATCCGGGTTCTGAGGTAAGGCGATGAGTACATGTCGGACAGACTCCTGGCCCGACTCGTCTTCCAATGGATAGAGAACGTAGGTTTGTGTTGCACCGTAGGCTAATGGTTCTTCCATATTGTCTCGTTTCTGCACGCGAGGCATGGAACAGCTGAGTACGTCTTCTGGTTCGACAGCATATTCTTGCCGGCGATTTGTTCAGCCTCAACCCACAGGCTGTCAGTTCCACGGTTCGGGCTAGTTAGTGGCACCTTGGGCATGTTTTCGGTACATATCTATTCCCTAGTAGTACTCGTACTGTAATACACTATTCTGAAGAACTCGGCATAAATCAAATATGCTTCGTGGAGTCTTCAGGAGACACTATGTTCACCGCCCATAAATCATGTCTCCTAATTGGCTGACACGCGAATCCGCCAGATCTCGGACATGTTCGCTCTGGATCTCGCATTGTCTTTCTTGTCTCCTTTTGACACCAAAAACACCGACAGCAACACGAATCCCTGCGAATCATGTCTCTACTGGAGACGTCCCACCGGAAAAAACCATCGCCTTCTGTCAATCGTCAGTCGCGCTCCTGTAAGGTGTGCCGGCTCCGCAAAGTCAAGGTCTGTGCCTGTTTGTCCACTGTTTCAGCATTCTTATGGGTCACTATGCGTTGGCAACAACGCCTTATTCAAGACTTGCAGCTGATTTTCCTCTGCAATTGAGTTAGTGCGATCGCGTCAAGCCCTGTCATGCCTGTTGTGCTCATGGATACCCGTCTCAATGTGTCTATGAAGCCATTCCCGGCGATGAGCCTATCTCGCAGACCGACGAGATCCGTAATTTACGAGCAGAGATCCACGAGTTAAGATCGCGGCTCGATAACAGAGGTATTATTATCCTTCCGGTACATTTTTTTTCTACATTTTTTTTTCTTTTTTCCCTCTAACCGAGGCGGACCAACACAGACGATCGCATCCGAAATCAACAACGATATGACCATCTCCAACAATTCTTCACCTCAATCCGCTTCGCCCCATTGCAAGAAGTTGATCATATAATCGGCAATATCCGAAATCCTCGTCGCGGGTGGAGGCGACCATATAAGGCGGTCGGCAAAGACACAGGTAAGCTATCCCATTCCGGTATAAGAGAAAGAGGATCATGGACGCTAATTTCCCGTAATAGAAACCCTTGCCATCAACAGAGTGTCGTCCGACGATGAGGATGAGCTAATCCCTCTGGGCGATGGCACTTGGAGCTATGGCAGTAGCAGCAGCAGCAGCAGCGACAGCAGCAGTATCCGTAGCACCCCGTCCGACGATACGGAAGCGTCATATGGTCGCCCTCTATCTCCTTTCAATCCGAACATAGCTGCCATCGACGTCTTTGTAGAGCGTTTTGTGGATGCCTTCAGTCCTAAAGTCAACGTCAAAGCGGGCCAGGCGGGTGCTTTGCGTCGGGCTGCCGAGATCCGCATGTTTTCTCCCATTATCGGGGATGCTTTTGATGCCGTGTCGGTAGCTTTCTTCGGTCGATCAACCCAGGATCGTCGTATTGAAGCTGCAGGTTTCCAACTATACCCCAAGGTGTTGCGCAATCTACAGCAAGCGTTGCTGGATCCGGAAAGGAGTAAGGCCGAATCGACTCTGGTAACAGTCATCCTGCTTATGGCCTTTGAGGTATGGTCCCTCCTTGTAACCCTCCAAGTGACGAATCTAACTGTAGCAGAGTGTTGAGCGGACCAGCGATGCAGGCGTCGTCGCTCATCTCAACGGGGCTGTTCGATTGATCCAGCATCGAGGCCCGGAAAATCACATGTACGGCGTAGAGCATTTGCTCTTTACCGAGCTTCGTCCGTACTATGTTGGAGCCGCGCTGGTTACCCGTCAGCCGACATTCCTCGCTGAAGAGGAATGGAAAGTTGTCCCTTGGTCGGCCGGTACGACCAAAAAAGACATCTTACACCATCTGCTCGATCTCGCTGTCGAGATCCCATCCCTTTTGGGGCAGTCTGACGACTTTCAAGCAGCTACCCAGCAACCAGGAATGCTCAGTCCACATGAGAACGCCACCAAACAAGCGACTCTTTGGAACGGTGTTGCTGACTTAACCGAACGTTTTCTCCGATGGAAACGCGACTGGGTTGACCAATATCCAGATGGCCCCCCACGCGAAGTTGACCCCTCAACATCATTCTCTCCAAAAGAAGACGATGAACCTTTCCCGATCTTCCAATGTCGCGACCTCCGCACTGGCGCCGTCTTCTCCCCTACCAAATTCCTTTACCCCGACCTCCGCCTCGCACAAACCATGTGCGTATACTATGCCTTCCGTCTCATCCTCTCGACTGTTGATTCGCGTGCCCCGGGTCAAGCTATCAGCCCAATGGAGCAATACGCACTAGGCTGCGATATCTGCCGTAGTCTAGAATGGTACATCCTCACTGCACCGGGGAACATGATCAATCGGTTGGCGTTTCCTGTCCGCGTTGCTTGGGAGGTGTTTCCCGCCGGCGGGCCCGAACAATGCTTTATGTACGATGTCCTGAAGCTGGTGGAGAGGCGGCATGCGCTAGGGTTATGGGGGAGTTCCATGCCAGAGCTATCACCCAGGACGGGATCACCGCCCAGGTAGTGTCAGAGTACCGGAGTTGACTGGTGCGCATCGCGGGTTCGAAGCTAGCCATGAATGGACGGTCAGACGATACATGATTGATGAATTATGAAAAGCAAGCGATTGAGTTACTTAGTGTTGGATAGTTTCGGGATATCCTTCGAGTGTATATATACCAGATGTATCAACAGAATATATGTTTTCATCCTCATAGACGGTCAATCAGGAGCACAAAATGCAGGCAGTATAATCGAAATCAAGCATGCTCAGGGCTGACCTGCGCTTGGGTGTTCTTCGTGGGTAGCTGAAGCGATTCCAGATCCATCGCTGAAGACATTTGCAGTTGGGTTGGTGATGGACTTGAGATAGGAACAGAGTGAAAGAGATCGAGAGGTTGGTCACCTGACCAGCCCTAATTGTAACACCAGACTGACGACGCTTTGTGCCAAAAACATATCAAGAAATGCATTGTTATGCCTGTTATGCGTGTTGACACAAAGAGAAACGCCGTCGGTCCTGCCTTTCCTGCCGTATGGAGGTTGTACCTTCCCGGGAAGGCACGATGAGGGCTCCTGGCGGCAGGTACAAAACCGAGCATCTTCCCTCCCTCCTCCTCTTCCTCTTTCTTCTCTCTTCCATCTCTCTCTCTCATTCCTCTCCCATCTCTCTCGTTCCCAGTTTATTCTCTTTCAACAGCTGCATTCGTTAGTATCGTGCTACACTTTTACCGTCACTATCATCTCCATTCTCGTTCGTTATCATCCAGTCAACTACACCTGATGTCGACCGCACAGCCTGTCCCGAAGTTCTGTATTTTCAGGCCTGAAGGCAGATTCACCCCCCTCATCGCACTGGATGAGCTGCCCTCGTGGCTTTGGGTGAGAGGTGCGGACCAATTTCATCCTTTTTTACAACCGCAGATGGTTCTTGCTTCCCGTGGTATGGTCCCTCGAGACGGCGAGTACGATGTGGTCTGCCACAACTGCTACTCCACCATCGACAACTTGCATAGGAGTGTTTCGCAGAGCTATGGCCCGTCGCCTCCCCCGGCTCCAATCCCCAAGCATGCCAATTTGTCCGATTCTCGAGGCTCCTACCCGGTGATGCCAGGGTTTCACCTGCCCTTTGTGGACGTAGACCTGTCTAGGGTGAACGCTTACGTTGAGGATCCATACGTTGGCATGTGTCTGGTGGAATGTCCATGGCCGCTATCCTCGAGCCGTATCCCTTCGGTGTTCCCGACTTCCATGGTTTCCAAGGGGACGTTAAGCCCTGAGTCGGATGACTCTATTGGGTCTATAATGGATCCCGAGGCTATCGCATTTTCTCCAAGCCTTTCTCTTCCCGCGCCATACGCCTTGCCCAGTCCAACACGGGCCCAACCGATCGATGACGCCACTCTCCATCTTCCTCGTTCGGACTCCCACGTCTTCAGAGTGGGGTATACCAGCGCCAATGAAGAATCTACCTCGACACCCGCTCGAAAATTCCATGCTGCCCTCGAGCAACTCAAGAACACCATCGGTGTCAGCCGTGACTTGGCATCCCCTGAGCTCGAGCAACTCAAGGACACCATCGGAGCCGGTCGTGACTTGGCATCGCCTGTGCTCGAGCCTGAGCCCGTCATGACTCGCTATTTGGTCGGCAAGGAAGGAGGTCGGCGTCCTTGGAAAGACGACAGGCACGGTCGGGGCGGGGGTGTTCGCAAGCCGAAGGTCAAGCGACTGGGCTCCCTCAAGGTGACCTCACCGAGACAGTCGCGACAGGTCAACGCAGCGACGAAGCGACAGGATCGACGAGAGAAGTTGAAGGCCCAGATCAACCACGGAAGGGGTGATAGACGCCGCTACGCGCACAAGCCCTGGCGTACGCAGATGGCAAATCGTTGACTAGATCATCCTTAGCCTTTTTTTTTTTTTTTTTTTTTTCCTTCCTGTTTTTTATCCCTTGGGTTTCGTTCGTTATATGTGGGATAATGGATTACTTCATGGTCAGTAGATAGGGTTTGCAGTTCAGCCGTTTGTTTTAGTTAGTTCCGCATCGGTTTACTGCGGTATTAATGGATGATTCTATGTCTGTCAATTCCGTGATTGCAGTGTAGTATCGAATCTCCTCAGCGTTGCGGTCATTGAGTCGTCAGGGGCATGCAATTGTATCTCTCTCTGAATCCAAACAAAATCCATACACATCTATATACTCTATTTCCATAAAACACTGGTATCCGAACATACAACAGAACCATAAACGCAGGTCCATTTACGCCGCCTCCTTAGAACGCCTTAGATTCGAATCCAGCCGTAACTCCTTCACCACCTGTATCCCACTATCCGTATCACCGGTAGTAGCAGAACCCACCCCGTCCTCCTTCTGACTTTGTCCTTCGTGACTCTGCGCACGACTCATCTCCAAGCTCGGCTCCAAGCTCGACCCCCGATGCTGCAAATCAGTCCTCCCCGACGCCGCAGTAACACTAGCCTCATACCCCGCACCCCCATCCCCGAAATGCAAGAAGTTATTATTCCCCACGAAGGACGAGTACCGAAGGACGAGTACGGACGGACGGGCCGTTCCTGCTCAGAAGCGCTGGACGTACGAAGCGACGACGGGAGGAGACGCACGATCAAGGGACGAAGGGGCGGGAGACTAGAGCATATAATGGCGACGTTTGCTTCGATGGAGGACCAGATTGCGGCGGGTGAGTTGTAGCGCGTGTCGTCGTTGTGGGAGGTGAGTTCGGTGAGTGCGGAGATGCGAACGATGCTAACTATGCAGACGCTGCATTCATCAGCTGGATATCCAAGTAAGCCATAACGTGGTAGGAGGAGGAGAAGGCGTACAATATCCCCAACCCAAAAACCAACACAACAGCAACCTTCTGCCGTCGTGGCAACTTCAACCTCGCCAACACCGGCATCGGCAAGAAAACAGTCCACATATCCGTCGCAATCTGCAATGCGGCATTGAGGAACCAAACCTCCTTCGGCAGGCATCTCTGCTGCGAAACTGGGCTCCAGAAATCCGACACAGGAATGCAAAACATAAACGAGCTAAGCACCAGCCAGAGCGCGATGAGCGGGATCACACAGAGACTAATTGTCACGGTGAGGCGGTACTTGCTCATCATGGGGAGGAGGCGGAGGTAGAGGACTAGCATGGAGATCTTGGTGAAGCTGAGAGTTAGGTTGTAGAAGGGGATTGTGATGTAGAAGGCTTTGAGTTGGTGGGTTATTTGGGACTGGGTGAGGTCGTTTCGGGAGGTTCCTAGGCCGTAGTGTGTTTCTGTTTTGTTAGACGGTTCTATACTCTGGACTTGAGTTGATCTTACCGAGTATCGCAAAAGCGAAGAAGACATAGTCCGTCAGCTACAACCGTTAGCGACTCCCTACCAGCACAGCGAGTAACATACCAACGCAAGCACAATCAACCAATCGTCCCATCCTGCCGTCCTCACCACCCGCAACCTTGTAATCAGTCTCAGCGCAACAGCTACCGTGGCCAGGCCGGTGAATATCGAGAAGATGGCCACGGTATTGGACATTTTGAGAATCGGACACGAGCTGTCTGGACGTCCATCGTTAGGCCGGTAATGAAGTACGTAGTAAAAGAGAAATCCAGAACAGTCGAATCGAAGCAAAGGAGAATGAATCGGTGGTTCAACCAACTTTTTCTGTGGAGTGTCATTGTCATTGCGTCAAGACTTTGTCTCGATCGGATCTAGACTTCAGCCTCGGATATTTCCCCATTCGGCAAGTGAGCATGAAAGGTAGTAGTGTCATCACAAATCCATTATTCTATATGATATACAAAATCATGGCACATCCAAAACTGTACAGCCAAATAAACAAATTCATTTCACCCAAATATAACTCCTAAGTCATAATTCGCTTACAAACGGGACTTGAGGTTGGACTGGAGACGGCGCTCGACAGCAGCCATGTACTCCTTGGTGGTAACCCACGCCTCACGGTTCTTGCGGCCGCACGAGAGGGCCAAGTCCTTGGTCATGATACCCTCGTCGTTGACAACGTCGGTACAGGCACGCTCCAACTCCTCAGCGAAGGTAATGAGCTCGAGGTTGTTGTCGAGCTTGCCGCGCTGCACAAGACCACGGGTCCAGGCGAAGATCGAGGCAATGGGGTTGGTCGAGGTCTCATTGCCCTTCTGGTGCTCACGGTAGTGACGGGTGACGGTACCGTGGGCGGCCTCGGACTCGAAGGCCTCACCGGTGGGGGTGATGAGGGTGGAGGTCATCAGACCAAGAGAGCCGAAGCCCTGAGCGACAATGTCGGACTGGACGTCACCGTCGTAGTCTATAAACAGTTAGAATAGATCCAAACAACGGAAAATAGGGATGGAAATTACTCTTAAGAGCCATGACGAAGCCACCCTCAGACTTGATCATCTGAGCGACCATGTCGTCGATGAGACGGTGCTCGTACCAGATGCCCTTGGCGTCAAACTCCTTCTGGTAGTCCTTCTCGAAGACCTCCTGGAAGATGTCCTTGAAGCGGCCATCGTATTTCTTGAGGATGGTGTTCTTGGTGCTCATGTAAAGGGGCAGACCCTTGAGGAGGGCAACCTGGAAGCTGGAATGGGCGAAGCCGCGGATGGAGTCATCGGTGTTGTACTGGGTCTGGGCAACACCACCGCCAGTGTAGTCGAAGACCTTGACGGTCTCGGGCTGACCACCCTCGGGGGTGTAGACCAGCTCGAGCTTACCGGGGCCAGGGATGACCCGGTCGGTGGCACGGTACTGGTCACCGAAGGCGTGACGGCCAATGATGATGGGCTTGGTCCAGCCAGGGACGAGACGGGGGATGGCGGGGATAATGATGGGCTCACGGAAGACCGTACCGCCGCTGGTCTTGTCAGCACAGTGTTCTTAGACCGAAGAACAAGGGATACTCACAGGATGTTACGGATGGTTCCGTTGGGCGAAAGCCACACTGGAATGGTCAATTGCTGTCAAGTCAAACTGTACAAGATGTAGCTTACTCTTCTTCAGCTTGAACTCCTCGACACGGGCCTCATCGGGGGTGATGGTGGCACACTTGACACCAACGCCATACTTCTTGATGGCCTCAGCAGAGTCGATGGTGACCTGGTCGTTGGTCTCGTCACGGTATTCGAGACCCAAGTCGTAGTACTTGAGGTCAATGTCGAGGTAACTAGACCTTTCTTAGCAACCTGATCACATTCCGACAGTATGTTCAAGACACATGAAACTTACGGCAGGATCAACTGCAATCAAGTTAGTCAGTGCTCCTTTGCGGAGAGATAGTAGGGGTCAAGACATACCTTCTCTCTGATCTCCTTCCAGATGATACGGGTCATCTACATCACCGGAACAAACCGGTCAGCACATGTTTCCAGACAGTTGCCATTGACAGTCCTCCAGACGATCCTCCCGATGCAAGGCTTGCCTGTGACTCATTCCCAAGTCTCATATGCCATGAGGAAGATGATCCTCGGGATAATTGACTTTTTCGACATGCAGATATCCGCCTTGACCGAGGGACCGAGGAAGCAACAGGGTTCACGGGAGGTATATATATGATGCCGCCGCAGCACCACCAGAGAGACAATTCCATACCTCATCACCGTCCAGTTCAACGACTGGGTTCTGGACCTTGATCTTCTTTCCGTCGAAAGACATGGTGCGGGCTTGGTTGAGGTTCGTAGGGATCACTCCAGACCAGCGGGAGGTAGTAGACAGAGGGGAACTTCCAAGGGAACGAGAAAGCACAGAAGCACGAGAGCTGTAGGCACGGAGAGAAGCAGGAGAGGAAGAAGTGGTGTTAGAAGAGGAAGAGTGGTAAGAAGAAGAGGAAGAGGAAGAAGAGGAAACAATAAAAGAGCCGAGAGGGGCGGCGGGGAGAGGGGTCGATGAGGCGGCGAGAGAGCGTCGCGCAAAGGCGGAACTGGCCCGAAGAGCAGCAGCCATCACGGTTCAATGATTTAATGCTATGGGGGGACGGGGGGACTGAACGGTTGTCGAAATCGGTTCGGATCCTACTGGCTATGCAGTTCTGCCTGTCGGGAGAAGAGCAATAGTGTTAGGTCACGGACACCACGGACGAGGACATTGGAGGGGGGATGGAGGGGAGCAATGGGAGTGGATTTCGCAATACCCGAGGCTAGATTGGACGAGCTCTGAGAATGTAAGAGTCTCGTAGTCTGTCTGGGGTTCGGATAGATGGAGGTTGCGTCGCAGTGGAAGCTCGGAAGAACGCAAAGCCTGGATTCAAGTAGCCATTGATTAGTTAGCTGGAGTTATGAAGCAATAGCCAACGGAGCAGAACGGAACCAGCCGGGAAAAGTCACTGAACCTTTTATAAGAATATATCCGTTAAGCTCTTCCGGGAGTTGAGGAAGCTCTGGAGCCGTGGTTTGGAAGTAGAGGAAAGTGGGAGAGGAAAAAAAGAGAGCGGGATAAACGAAGGTACATATAAGAGGGACCAGACTGACCGAGAACAAGCGCCCTGGATAGCTGTGACTCTGTAAGTCACCGGTGTCTTTCTTTCTGGCTTCTACTCCATACTACTGCTACTTTTTTTTTTTTTTTTTTTTTTTTTTTTTTTTTTTTTTCCTATATTGTGCTGGCCGATGTCGGTCATGTCACGAGACCTCATAGTCTACCACTACATACATAGCGCACTCACTACATAGTAGTATTCTACTGTAGCTACTTGCTATCTGCTACACTAGACACACACTAACCATACAGCAATCTAGCAATCTAATTCAATTGATCAATTGTATCTCGCTTCCATCACCTACATTCAAGTATCCCTCCAGCCGGAGTCTGCACCCTCCTCCGCCCCCACTAGTTTCCCGCGGCAACGAGCGGAAAGAGGTTCACCGAGTCTCCTGCTCTGGCATGGCCGGAGATGCGACTCTACTCCGGTTCCTGCAGACTACATACATACATCCAGCATCGCATCGCATACACATGCAGTACAATTCCTTTGTAGATAGGAGAATATATTCATATCTCATTGCCCGAAACGGACCGTTTTGTTGAAAATACATGCTAATCATGTCCTCGTCATGCTCATGTCTATATTTGAATGTTGAAATCGAATCCCTCAGCGCTTAACAGATTAAACCAGCAGATATTATTACGTCAAAGGGATCATCCGTCCCAATTCATCTAAAACATCCCGTCAATCTCCCCGGTCTCGGGGTCGATGTCGATGTTGAGGTAACCTGGCGCTGTGGGCAATCCTGGGATCGTCTGGACGTCCGCCGCCAGTGCGTAGCTGTCATGTATTAGCAGTAGTCTCGGAAAGTAAAGAGGAAAGTCAAAACTTACAGATATCCAGCGCCAACCGCCAACCGCACATCCCGAATGGGCACTGTGAATCCGGTCGGCGCACCCTTCAGATCGGGGTCGTGACTGAGCGAGTACTGCGTCTTGGCAATGCAAATCGGGAGATTACCATATCCTTGTTGGATGTAGGTGTCAACCTTTTTTTGTGCCAGTTCGCTGAACTCAACCTTCTCCGCTCCGTACATGATCTGTGCGATCTTCTCAATTCGCTCTTGCACGGTGCCCTCCAGCTCGTACAAAAGCTTAAATTCCTTAGGCTTCGAGCTGGCCTGCACCACCGCCTTGGCCAGATCAACTGCTCCCGCACCACCTTCAGCCCAGTGATTGGCGGGAACGGCATCCTCTGCACCAGCCGCGACAGCCTCTTCCCGGATGATGGCAATCTCAGCCTCTGTGTCCGTCGAGAACCGGTTGATCGCCACAACGACGGGCACGCCATATTGCTTGGCGTTCTCAATGTGCTTCCTGAGGTTAATGCAGCCCTTGCGGAGGACCTCAGTGTTCTCCGTGCGGTAGACTTCGGGCAAGGCAGCGCCAGCGCTGATAGCGGGACCACCGCCGTGAACCTTCAAGGCCCGGACGGTCGCCACAATCACAACAGTGTCAGGCGACAGGCCAGACGACCGACATTTGATGTTGAAGAACCGCTCACCACCCATGGTGAAGTCGAAACCAGCCTCGGTCACGACGAAACCGGTCTGCGACTCGTGGTCCTCGTCAGGCTCCGTACCAGCCAGCTTGAGGGCCAGCTTGTCCGCAAGCACCGAACTGGCGCCAATACTGATGTTGGCGAACGGACCGGCGTGAACCATGACCGGGGTACCCTCCAAACTCTGCATCATGTTAGGCTTGATTGCGTCCTTCATGAGCGCAGCAAGAGCACCACCAGCACCAATATCGTCGCAAGTCACAGGATCGCCGCTCCGGGAGGTGGCCACGACCATACGTCCCAGACGTTCCCGCATGTCCTCGAGGCTGTTGCTCAGTGCCAGAATGGCCATGCATTCACTGGCGACAGAAATATCGAATCCAGTCTCGCGGGTCAGACCCTTCTCCGAGGGCGCTTGTCCGACGGTAATCGAACGAAGGTGTCGGTCGTTCACATCCAGCACGCGACGCCAGGTAATAGTTTCTGGGTCAATGTCCAGGCGCGCGAAACGGCGCGCTTCCTCCTCAGTAAGATCGTCAGGGTTGGTCTTTGTGATACCCAATTTCTGTAGTCGTTTGAACATGACGGGCTTGAACTCGCGCTTCTTGCCCTTGGGAGGAACCAATCGCTTGTAGAGCGGGCCATCCTTCTGGGTTGCTTCGTGGAACATACGGGTGTCGATAGCAGCAGCAAGCAAGTTGTTGGCAGCCGTAATGGCATGGATATCACCAGTCAAGTGCAGGTTGAACTCGTCCATGGGGATGACTTGACTGTATCCACCACCGGCAGCACCACCCTTGATACCAAATGTAGGACCCTGGCTGGGCTGCCGCACGTTTGCAAAGCTAATACGGTCAAGATGGGCACCAAGTGCCTGGGTGAGACCAAGCGTGGTCGTCGATTTGCCCTCACCAAGTGGCGTAGGGGTGATACCACAGACAAGAATGTACCGCCCATTGCGGCGGTGAGCCAGGCGATTCATAATGTCCAGGCTGACCTTGGCCTTGGTGTGACCGTAGGGCTCTAACTCATGAGGAGCGATGCCAATTTCGGCCGCAAGGTCGGTGATCTGCTTCGGGTACTGAGCGCGGGAAATGGCGATATCAGAGGGAACGGGCTCGGTCAACTTAACCGGCAATGGAGTCAGGTGTCGGTTCTTCTGGTTCTGGAAGTATACTTTGGCGGCGTTGACCACGTTCTTCATCAGCATGGCGACGGTCATCGGGCCTACACCACCGGGCACAGGAGTGATCTGAGAAGCCACCTGCGCGGCCGATTCAAAGTCGACATCGCCCACAAGTCGCTCGCCGGACTTCTTGGTCGCGTCTGGCTTGTAATTGATACCAACGTCGATCACCACGGCACCCGGCTTCAACCATTCACCCTTAACAAATTCGGTCTGGCCAATAGCTGCAACCACAATGTCTGCGTTTTTCACGAGTCGGGGCATGTCCGGGGTCTTGGAATGACAGAGAGTGACGGTTGCATCGGCGTTTCTCAGCAGGTAGCTGACGGGGCTGCCGACAATATCGCTACGACCAAGGACCACAGCTTCCTTTCCTGCAGGGTTCACTCCGCTAACGTGCAAGAGCTCCATGACCGCCTGGGGTGTACAGGGCACAAAGTGAGGGGCACCGCCCTTCTTCGCCAGCTCGCCAATGTTGATCGCACCGAAACCATCGACATCCTTCTCGTCGGCCACTGCTGAGGTGACTGCATGTTCGGAAAGGTGCGCGGGGAGCGGCAATTGGACGAGGATACCGTGGACAGTGGTGTCGTTGTTGGCCTTGGTGATTTCTTGGAGCAGCTCGGGCTGGGAGATGGATTCGGGGAAGTTGACGATCTTGCAGGTGATGTTTGCCGCCTCAGCAGCCTTCAACTTCATGCGCACATAGGTGCCTGAGGGGGACGTTGGTCAGTTTCGCAAGCGTACAATTAGTTCGATAGTTCGACATGGACTCACTCGAATCGGATCGACCGCCAACTATAATAGAAGTATGCTGTTATTGGTTTGATCAATGCTGATAAGCACGTAAGAAAGTGTCAGCTCACCCTGAAATATAACCAGACTAGGCTGGAACCTGGGGTTTGCCTGCTGGATCTGTTCAATCTCAGTCTTCAGGCCATCCCGAATGCTCTTGGCAATGGCCGTGCCATCGATCTTAGTGGCCGTCATGGCGCCTCTGTGCGTATAGTGGTGGGTTTGGATAGAGTCAAAGTCTTCCCGACGCAGTGGATCAGTCCTGAAGAACAGCGGGGGACGATAACCGCGGGCCCTAACACCACCTGCAATGGAGGACTGATGAAGATATTGACAAGAAGGGGATGAGGAGTGAGGAGAAGAGGAGTAAGAGGAAAGAGAAGGGAAGAAATAAGAGAGATAGGAAAAGAGGCGGGAAAGAGGCTGAAGGTGACCATCGGAAGGCCGATGATAGGGCCGGAGCGAAAAAGACTTTGATGGCACACCGCGGCGGGGTAGCGCGGCTAAACGGGCGGGGAGCAATGGCATCAGCAGCGTGTTCGGCCGAATAATCGCATGTTAGGCACTGATCACGGGGGAATAGTGATGATCCTGGGTTCGCATTGATATGTACTCTGTACTCTGTAGTTATACCCCGTACTCTGTATTGAGGAGAGATATCTTCAATTGACTTGAGCAGATACAGCAGTATAGCCAGGGATCTCTCTATATCACCCTGCTTCGCATCAGTTAAGCTCCTTCTGACATGTACAATCCTTCCCAGTCACGCGTCACAGATTCCACGGGAACGGGCCGGCATCGGATTGGGCTTGGCAACTTACTTTGTTGGGACGGTATCCTAGGGCTAGGGCTGCTATGTGTAGTCACGTGTAAATTACCGGATTATCTCTCGCCGGTATCACCGCGTATCCATACCGAACCAGAGTGTGCGATGGAAATTCAGCTTGGATGACTGTCGAGACGCCGATATCCTCCCCGCCAGCAACTCCGCCGCAAAGCCAGACTGACCTCTGTCAGGCCAATATACCTCGTTACTTCGACCTCTTCGCCTTCTTTTTAGACCTTCTTTTCTACCAGTTACCTTTCCCGGTCGGCCCAAAATGAGGCCTATCTTGCTGTCGGGCCATGTATGTCTATATGCTCCCGCCAAGTTCTTTGAAGATCCCACATCATATTTTTTCTTTCCCACTAGAGAAAAAGGTCAATAAGACTGACTTGCGCTTTCCTCCCCTTTTCTGTGTTTATAGGAACGGTCCCTGAACCAAATCAAATTCAACCGCGATGGCGATCTCCTCTTCTCGGTCGCAAAGGATAAAATTGTGTGCGCTTGGTGGTCCGCCAACGGCGAGCGTCTGGGAACCTACAATGGCCACCAGGGTGCCATCTGGACAGTCGACGTCAGCCCCAACACCATTCTCCTCGCTACCGGATCCGCAGATAACACCGTACGACTATGGAATGTGAAGTCGGGCGAATGCGTGAAGGTCTGGGATTTCCCCACCGCCGTGAAGCGGGTCGAGTTCTCGCCGGATGGTAGCAGATTGTTGGCCGTGACGGAGAAGCGTATGGGTTTCCTGGGTACCATCGCGGTGCTCGACATTGCCTACGGTGACGGTCAGGGTGGAAACCTCGAGGCGCAGGTTGAGGAACCGGACTTGAAAATCACCTGCGAAGACGCCAAGGCAACAGTTGCTGGATGGAGTTATTTGGGCAAGTTCATCATTGCTGGTCACGAGGACGGCAGCGTCAGCCAGTACGACTCGAAGGTACGCTATACGGTGATAAAATCTTGGTCTGTACGGTGCTAATACGGTTGCAATAGACCGGTGATCAGATTGAGAACGTCCAGGCCCACGAGTTCGACCACCAGATCAACGACATCCAGTTCTCCGCCGACCGTACCTACTTCCTTACCGCATCGAAAGACAAGACCGCCAAGGTGCGTTGATATTCTTCGTTAAATCTCTGGTCTGGAACGGTCCACTGATATCGTATAGCTTATGTCCACCCGTAATCTCGCCATCCTCAAGACCTACGTTTCCGACACCCCCCTCAACAGCGCCACCATCACACCCAAGAAGGAATACGTGATCCTGGGAGGTGGTCAGGCTGCCATGGATGTCACCACCACCTCCGCTCGCCAGGGTAAATTCGAGGCTCGTTTCTACCACAAGGTCTTCGAGGACGAAATCGGTCGTGTCCGTGGTCACTTCGGTCCCCTCAACACCGTCGGTGTCCACCCCAAGGGTACAGCATACGCCTCTGGTGGTGAGGACGGTTACGTCCGTGTGCACCACTTTGACAAGCCCTACTTTGATTTCCTGTACGAGGTTGAGCGCGAGCAGCTGAAGCGGTAAATGGAGCGATGCAGCATGTGTGGGGGCAATTTGATTCTCGGTTTCTAAAATCATGCATTCGTGTGTATGTGTCACGAGGTGAAGACTTCTTTTTCCTCTTTCCTTTCGATTCTTGCAAAAAAAGAACGGGGCACGACGGGATGAGGTGACCTGGAGAGTGATTCAGGAGGGGGGCATGGTTTCTCATTTCTCATTTCTCATATTTCCTTTTTTTCTTTTATTCCACGATAAATCGGAGTTGGTACCTATATTGTTGTGATTTGTGTCTAATGAACCAAAACTTATGTGAATGGCTGAGACTTTGTGTCTTGATCGTGTATAACTCGGGCCGATTGCTACGCTCTACGGAGTACGGAGTACATAGACTAGAAAGTCCAGAAAATGTCTTGGGACGTTCATTTTTGAGCATTTTTAAGTATTGCATCAAACGCAACAATCCGCCAAACCCAATCGTTAGAAGAAATAAACCCATAATGCGAATTGAAAATGTGCTGCATTGCTTCCTAACTAATGCCAGAAATGGCCCTTCCGACCAGCAGAAACGGGGAATGATAACACAACATCGCGAAAGAAAACAGACGTGGTATTTTCATTATTTTTCGACATTAACATCAACCTCCCCCAAGAAAAAGCCGCGGGCTCACCCCCGGTCACCGTTTATTTCTTCTTGGGAAACTTTTCTTTCCCGATTTCCGAGCCCCGCAGCTTAACGTTGAGCACGCGCTCCATTGTGCTCAAAACCTTCTGGTCGGGAGTGCCGGTACCCTTCTCCATGTCCTGGATGACGGTGGCGATGGTGTTGCACTTGGTCGCAAGTTCCTTCTGTGTCATCTTGTAGGGCTCCTCGTTCCGGCGCTTCTTGATGGCGTCTGCGACTGCATGACCGACGGTCTTGGGCTTGACGATGTCATCACTGCGGTCGACCTTTGTCAAGTGCTGGCCTTCGCTACCGCCTGATTTGGCAGACTGGGGGTTACAGTTAGTAACTTGGTTATAAAAAAAAATATATATATATAAATAAAGAAAGGAAAACGGAGTGTGCGGGGTCAACATACAGCATTACCAGTAGCATACTTCTTCTCAGTACCAACAACAAGACCCTGACGCTGAGCGGCGTTCAGAGCGCTCTTACTCCGGACAGTAGTCTCACGGGGCGCGCCACCACCGGTGTGCTTCTGACCGATGCGAGTAACGTTTTCCCAGTCGCTCATGGTGAAGAAATGCGAATAAGTGGCATTTAAAGGGGTATAAGACAGTTGGAAGTTCGAGTGGCGTTGCGGTGTTGAGGTGGTTCGTGGGGGGCGTTGAAGTTTGTAGGAAGGAGGGATGTCTCGCGACTCGGACGAATTTATATGGATGACACAGAAGCTTCTCGAGCCCTGGATGGCGGAGTAGGAGGGAGTCGTGCGCTATTCCGTCTTTGGGTTAGTGCGTCTTACCGATGGGGCAAAACATCATCGTTGGAGCCATTTCATCATCGCGGTTTTTTCCCTCTTTAGACCCCGATATGCTAATTTGTGAACAACTGAGTCACTTTTGATATGTCTATTCCAGATCTAGAGCATATTTCACAGCCAGCTTGGTTTACAGGGCAACCACGTCGCTTTTTAAACATCCATAAGGGATACTGCCTCACCGAACTCCGATAATGACTACGAGCACTCTCACATCCCATCACACTCCAAAAACGAGTCAAGATATTCCAATGCGCCTCACATACATGCTATGAATTATTATGGGGTGCTCCGGTCTCTAATTTCTCTGCAGACTGAGTCTGAGTTGGGTTTGGAGCAATGCTTTCCGACATCATCTATCTGTATGAATCCGGAAGGATATTACGCGGATGTTTTCGGGTCGACTTCTATCTGCATAGAAGATTGAAATGGCCGTTTTGAACTATCGTCCTACTGCATCTCGACTCCCTCCGGATTGAGAAGGGCTTTCGCATGTTCTCAGGGGATGCGGTGACATCATATCCCATGCCCTAATTCTGAGGCCTCCACTCACGCCATTACTGGACTTTTTGTGCTAGTAGCGGTGCTAGGTAGCTCTTGTTAACATCTCGCGGCATGGGAAATGAATTTGTCGGCTTTTTTTTTTTTTTTTTTTTTTTTTTTTCGGTAACACGGCGCATTGAAACTCGTAGAGCCCTAGAAGTTTATATCGGCACTGGAGTCCGTATTTATAAAAAACCGGTTACTCTGTACTTATTGTTGCTTTATCTCACAACAACCCGGTCGATTTCTCGTGGTTGGCACAGAAACTCCCGTCCTGACCGAGCTCAAGTCACGTCCGCATTGAATGGATATTAGAGTCGCTTTCGGAGCCGGGCATACCGGGATCGGGAAGTACTTGGCTGTTATGAACGGGGATAATGCAATCAGTTCGGCTCCAGGGAGCGGGCAATGAGGCCGTCGACCATTGCTGCAGCCTAGAAGCTCGGTGCTTGGCTAAGGATAATACACTATAACAGCCGGAAGGAACACTTATTGCCTGTTCAAGAAGGAGAGGACCGTTATCTGAACGAAAATGTCAGTTAACGTTGGTACCATGTGATGCCATCTATACTTCTTACTCACTGGTTTCAATGGAGGTGTGCATCATCCTACCTGTGCTGCCGATATGTGTATATCACGTACTTGAATTGATATATACATCATGGCATAAACTCGCAGAATCGCTGAAAAGTGAGTGAAAATCGTACCATACTGTCCATCACCAAGCCATCACCTCGCTCTTAACCTGGCTCTTAACTCCACGGCAATGATCACCACACATCTTCTCATCCGTCTCACTAACTTGCGCATCACTGGGTAGTCTGTTTTGCCGGCCAGACCTTCCACCCCTCAGCTTTCTCACGGTTATAATGTCCCGTGATGACATCGCGGACTATGCTCTGGAAGAAAAGGGGCGCTTTCTCGTACTTGGGGGTGCAGCTGGCCGTTGATAAAGACGCCTCAGTCAATATTCTTCTGTATGTTGTTGTAGAGAGCTTAGTCTTCTGTCATGACATGTGCGTACATTTCACTGATCAGTTCGAAGTCGGCGTCAGAGGAGTTCCTGTTTCAGTAGATTTCATAGGCCATTGCGGATTTGCTGGGACCTCTAGGGAGGAACTTCTGGACCATGATTAAATGTGGCCTGCGTGCGTTAGAGCGCTTTTCTTCTAAGGTCACAGGTTAGGAACACTTACGAAATAGTCATCGAGGCATTGGGGAAGAGGTAAGTACTTGCGACGTTCAGACCTTTGGCTAGCTGCTCTGGTGTCGAGGCAAATGATGTTGGATATGTCCATCTTTGACTTCACTGTCAAAATCACTAAGACTGATGAATTCAGGGATATTAGGGTGCGTCATAGGGAAGTGGTAACATTAATGTTATCAGCCAGAATATTCTAGTTGTATTCTTTGTACTTGTCTTGCTTGTCAACATCCCTGAAGTGCTCCTCCCATGGGACTTCTGGCATTTCCTTTGAGCCCATGTTGGCCCAGATGAAGCCATTAACATTGATCTTGACATGGGTATGGAAGAGACCGTTTTGCTCCTTGTGAAATCCATCCAATTGTTGGTAGCCAGAAGCTTTGGTTGTCACGGCTCGATAACTAGTAGATATTAACGAAATGATATTCCTATCTAGACTAGGTAGTAGCCTCCCGACGAGAATATCGAATCTGGAGAGGGAAAAAAAAAAAAAAAAAAAAAAGGAGAAGAGGAATCTATCTACGGGATAAAGGGAATATATCTATCAATTGTGCGACCAGATTTGTAAATATAAGCCAACCCTAACCGCATCTTATTACCAATTTCAGATAGTGGCAACTACAGTACTCAAGCGGAAGGCCGCTCATGCCGATGTAATTATCGGATGTCATACCGTCCGTGGCGGCAGATAAAGAAAAGGTGCCCTCATGATTCATTTCAAAAACGACTAGGCACGCTCTTATAGAGACAATATCAGAAGCCTTGGCTACCTCAACGGAAACGGTGCCGTATGATAATAAGAATAAGCGCGAGTACAATCAATGTCTCATAACTTATTGGAGGGTGAATAAGGAATGAGGATCTTATGACTGCAGTCGCTAGACTAGGAAAGTGACCGGGAGGCAAGACCATGTTCATCATGATTGGATGGCACCTTTTGGCAGCAGCTCCTGCATATAGTGGTGAGTTCCCGCTAGTGCTCCTAATTACCTCCCAAACCAGAAATGCAGATACAGCTACGGAGTATAGGTCTCGTCTTGGCGACAGTTCATGTTCAGACAGACTCGTACACTGGCCTACTCTTGATCTGCTTGTTTATAGCAGAAGGTCTGTTTGTAAGGGTCTATTCCTCAGTCATAATGCTGATGTATACATCATGTTACTCTATGCTCGGCAGCGCTTATAATTGCCTTCTCTACAACCTTACCTTAATCTTGACTGTGTCGCCACGTCGTCTCGTCATAGTTAAAGTATAATGGAAACCCTCATTTGAATGTAACTTCCCGGCAGTTTTGTCATCTCAGATCCTATTACAAAGTTGGAAAACTGGCGATCTGATACTGCTCTCATTTTTGTTTCTCATTTGGGATAGGATAGCTTGGCAAATATGCAGGTCCGAATCAACACTAACACTTGTTCCCTGCTCTCTCTTTAAGATGCTCCCATTTTGATTACTCCACATGGTATGCCTGATATAATACATACACTTTAGTCACCGTGGGGATCTCCTTGCCCTTGTTAAAGCTTTACCCCGCCTAGATTACGAGATTTATTTCTTCCTTAGTTATCTGATAGACCCTAAAATCATATCAACGGTTTACAATGTACGGGATAAGCAGCCTCCATGCGTACTAGATCGCTTAGACGACGTATATTTGACAGACAAGAGACCCAAAAAAAAAAAAAAAAAAAAAAAAAAAAATGGGAAGAAGGTCAAGGTTAAGGAAATTTCCGCTCCCTGTTCAATTGTATTGTGCTCTATACCTTTAGGACACTGGAAAAGTCGCGAAGAATATATATCAATCAAGCCAAGAGCTTAGTACATAACTACAGGGTGGATGTGAGCTATTCTCATTCCTGCCACCCGAAGGATTATGAATATTAGTTTCTGGGCGCTGTCATGTGCGATATTCATTGCACTATCAAGTAATATCACTCGCCTTTGAGAGTTGCTTGGGAAACTAGCAAGAGACTATGCCAATAGACTTATCAAGCCCTTTACATGTGTTCTCTGTAGTATGTATATCGCATATCTAATACTACTTATTTAGAGGCTTTGTTAGGCCAACCAGTTCCTGTCAAATTAGGTTCCATGTATATACTTGTTCGGTTGATGAGCAACTGGCGAGCGTGTTAACTCAGTGCTCATTGAACGTATACCTGAGGCATCAGCTCCTATTTCAATTTAACTTATTCTCATACGATGTCTCACCTGAACAGACTTCGTTTTCGGAGCATCTTAGATGATCGGCTTGTGTTGAAACTATTCATCTTGGCTCTATGTTATCGAGTGTCTGCCTGAGGAATCAACCTATTTCGGGCTCGCTCTTGTCATCCATTCACTTCACTCCTTTTTCCAGTCTCCCATCTCATCCCATCGTCTTTTCATCCGATCTTTCATTTCGTCCGATTCAACATCAATCTCCAAATCTGAAGCAAGTCATTCTCTTGTGTTCAGAATCATGTCGGGCGACAATTTCACGGCAGCCATGGCCAACCGGTCGCGCCGTACTGTCGAGAATGTCGGTTTGCCAATCCCCGCATGCTAACCATAAACGGGGCCATCCGTGCTGACTTGATATCTTTGTCTGGGTCAGGAACTCAAGTTTCTTGCGGAACTGTCGGAAATCACACATGAAGATCTGGCGTCAATTCTGGCTGTGCTCAACGAGGGTCAGTCGCGGCAGCTGTCGCAACCACTGCCACCGCAGCCGGTCCAACCACCAGTGCAGCAAACAGCTCCTCCGCCGGTCCAGCAGCCTATTGTGCCTCCTCCGGCACCATTTTCGCCTCCGACCAACCAGCTTGCCAACACTTCACTGAACGAGAAGGCACCAGTGCAGCAACATCCTCCTCCGGGACCGCCGCCGGGACCGCCGCCTGCGTACGGCGCTCCGGGGGTCCTGTGCACCGCTACAGCCTTGTATGCTTTTGAGTACAAAGACCCCGGTGACTTGGAATTGCGACCATATGACAAAATCCAAGTTCTCAAATACACGGCGGATGAGTGTATGGCTACCGTTGGCGATCCCCTTGTCTATACCTGGCTGATGAGCATATATAGGGTGGTATGGGCGTAACGAACGAACCAACCAGGAGGGTATCTTCCCTCGTGCCTGGGTGAACGTGATTCAGGATAAGGGTGCACCTGCGACTACCAACTATGGAAACATGCCACTGGAAGTGAGCCAGAGCGGTTCTGCACCCCCCGGGCCCGAGGGCGAGGACAAGGGCAACAAGTTCGAGCAGGGTGGCAAGAAGTTTGGTAAAAAGATGGGCAATGCCGGTACGTTCTTCCTGAATTTTCCTATTAGTCGCTCTGTACATACACTGTACTAACGCTTTACTTTCATTTTAGCGATCTTCGGTGCCGGCGCTACCATGGGATCCAACATTGTGAATAGCATATTCTAATTTGGGAAAACAAATTTCGATATAACCAGGCGTGCTTTGGACAAGGTGACAATCTGGACGGACTATTTTCTGTTTTTTCGATTTGATTTCCACCGGGATGGTGTTAGTGGCTCGTTTTTCTTTT